AGGCCTGTATGTGTTCATAGCCAATGGGAGAAATGGATGAACTAAGAAAAGTTAGCTCAAACTTAGAGGACTTCGACAAAAATTGTTCCCAGTCGTTCTGTTGTTATGTGATGTGTGATAAATGTCTGATTCTATTCATGCCTTACCCAAACATGCACAGAAAAGAGCTAAGAAAGCACAAGTCAGCAGTCTTCTACAGTGAATTTATTGTTTACGGAGGGCCGCTATTTGCTAAATGGGTCAAATTCTTCGAGGTATGTTGCTAAAATTGCCTGACACTATAAAAGTGTACCTCTTAATTACATTTGTATGCAGACTTGAATAATTTACCATCTTCCTCCCCTCTACTTCTTAGTCGCTCTCCGGTTTAAGCAGGCAGTGTGCGTTATAATCTGTTGTGTTTAGATGAGAGCTGCTTTAGAGAAGGACCAAAGTGCTCCGGGAAGCTGAAGGGGGGATCGTGTGTTCTGGGAATTCTTTGACAATTTGATTCACTGTAGTTCACACAGAGAGAATCTCCATTTCAGAGGTCCTTGCACGCCAGCAATCCAGAGCCACGCACAAAAATCTCTGTGGCTGCTTGTTCGTTATATAGTTGTCTGTATCAGCATAAAACTGATGAGTGTTGTTTTTTTCATCCTCATTCCTCATCACAATGTTATATATGACGGCTTGTTTTTTCCATAGGGGCTCACCCATAACCAGAACAGTAAAATGGGGAAATCAGTTACAACCTCATGTATATTTCCCACATAAACGAAGCGACTAATCACTTTAAGATGTACAGGATATTTGGAAGGGTTGGGGTATGCAGGAATATTAACATTTAAAGAAGATCCAAGGTTTGGTCCTCGACGCCTCTGTTATATTTTATAGCTGTAATGGCCTTTTTGGCTCCCAGAGGGATTCCGATACCAAGTCCAGATTTGATTTACAAATCTAAAACATGCAGATACCAGTCCACTGGAGTTTTGTATTCTTAATAAAGAGATTGTTCCCCTAAAAATCTTTGGGGGGGGGGGGGGGGGGGGGGGGGGTCTCACCTCGCATGTCTCGGTGACAGGCCTGAACGATGTGAGTTTTTAAAGGCGCTGGCCACAGGCTCTCTCATTCATCAAAAGTTTTTTTTTACAAAGTCAGCCAAAGCCGGCATCCCTTACCGACGCGGGGGTTTTCGGTCCGGGCGCGGATCGGTCACTTAAACGCAGGCCCCTCTGGCAGCGGGGTGCAAGGGAGTCAATGATGTTGGCAGGTGCACAGGGTCAATGGGAAAGGGGGGGGGGGGGGGGGGGTGGGGGGGGGTTAGGGGGGTTGAAATAACAGGGAAAGGGGTGAAATCAGGAGAAAAGTTGCAGAGGGAGAACAGCGCTAATTGCAGAGCGGGGCTAAGATCAAGAGGGGAGCCATAAATAAATAGGTGGCAAAGTTATTCATCTCCCCCAAGGACGCCTCTGGTAAGAGGGGCCGTAGGACAGGGGGGGGGACTGCCCAATGTCTCGTTCACACACACATCCTGACTGATGACTGAAGTTCAGAGAGTGAGAAAATTCTAGGACAGGAAAAAAAAAACATGACTGAAGGAGAGAGAGAAGTTAAAGATAACCTTTAACCCGAGAGGTATCGCGCAAACAACAACAACCGGCTCTTCAATCACATGGCATGGTGGCATATTGGTTGTTATAAGAGGAGCGAGAGATCAGGGCTGTCACGGTCTACGAGATGATATAAAGTGCAAAGCTTCTCAACTGTCTCATGGGAAAAAAAAGAAGAAGGAAAAAAAGGACAATATCCTGTCAAAAGTGTCTGCTGGGATTTGAAATTCCTGCCGGTGCCCCAAATAGAGCACTTCCATGTATTAGAGAATGAAAAACGCTGGTCAGTACGAGTTCCGTTGGGCTTAACAGGATAATAAAAAGTGTTATATAACCCATATGATGAAAGTTCCATGTCAGAGAAAGCTTTGCTCTTAATTGTTTTATAAAGGAACCAGCAAAGTCATTCCACGGTGGAAACAGAATACCTGCCGTTGGGCCGGGTTCCTCTTTGGGAAGCCGGGAGTTTCTGGTATGTTAAATTAACTCGCTTACTTGAAAGGATTTTTGTCGCAAGACTCTAGTCTAGTCTAATCGAAGTTGTCCCCCGCTGATCTTCTTCGTTGAAGGGAATGTGGATCCCTCCAGGCCCCTTGGACTCATGTCTTTGGTCATGTCCAAGTATTGTAAGCTTTTCGAAAGATGGAATAAATCTAATGTCCACAGTATACAAAGATGTATCTATTTATACACTGTTTTTTTAGGTATTACCCTAGGGGAAGTGCATCTTTTAATGGTAAAGTTGGCTTAAAAATGCCTCTAACCACCTATCTCGTGTTGTGCGTCATGTTCTGTTTGCATGTACAAAGACGACCTTAGAAAAAATAAAGTCTTTAAAAAAATGAGTGTCTACCTAATTCGGTACGAAAGCAGTCTCGTAAAGCATTGTTGCCTCCAGTTGAGTTAAGCCAACAACATAACTCGGTTAGGGGAAGTAGACAATCAGAGTTGTGGCTAAATTAAGTTGTTTTTTACGACATGTCCGTCGCTGGAATGGACTGAAATTTCAAGGTTGCCTTGTTCACATGTACATAACACATTACAACAAAAACATTCCTTTTAAGCAGCCTTTAGAACCAATTTGGAAACATAAATATCCTTCATAAAGGATACACATACTGAAGTTACCTTAGACGTAATGAGGTAATTTCGTCTAAGGGATATAATAAAGCAGATTTCCAACAAGGTGGATTGCATTGGACTTAATTTGTATCCCTTTTGCTATTATAAGATGATTGTGTGATTGTGTGGAAGCTATTCATCTCATTTCTATGCCCAGTTCATGGTCACCGGGGGCTGGAGACTACCCCTAGCTCCAGTTCCAGGGTATACCCTGAAAGGGTAATCGATTCGTCACAGGGCCACACCGAGAAAAACAACTCAACAACCCACACTCGTGCTCCACTTATTCACCCCCTGTATACATAGTATTCTTGTTCGTAGAGGAGCAGCACAACTCACAAAGGTGGAAGGAGAGAAGGAACCGTGACAGCAGAGGAGGATTCACAATCAGCTGAAGAGCCTGCTGAGGAGGACGGCTTCGAAATGCCTGGATTTCGGCTCCCACTCGCACTTAAGTGAGGAAGGAGCTTTAACACAGCAGGGCTGGCAACACACGGCAACATCGTCTTTTTTTCTCTCTCTCCGTCACTGCGGCATACCACTGGAGGCCGCCTATCTTTAAAATTGTATTAGATAGAAACGTTCTCAAAGGAGTGAACTTAAGAGTTGTGTCAACGCTGTTTTCCTTCTTTAGTGTCTTTGCTAAAGCATTTACACTCCCTAGTGTTTGACCTGATTTAGTACCTGTTATTTTTATTATTTTAAAGCTGCGCTTTTGTGTGAAAATGTAAACATTGAAACCATAGATAATAATTCCACATTACAAGTGAAATCCTTCCATCTTTTTCTCCGTATCAAGCTTAGGGTCGCAGCCAAGGAACCAACCAAGGAGCCATGGGGAAAGGGGGATGGGGGGATACTGACTATAGACTTGACTCATGTATTCGACTCCTTTACTTCAAGGCCATGAATGAAGAACTGCTGCAGAAATATTGTTCCATTAAGTGCATTTGTGCGATCTATGAGTCATTGGCGATCTCAGTATAGAAACACCACAATCTGCAACCTTACTGAAAAATCTGAAAAATATCAGTATCTCCCCCCATATTCCTCAGCGAAATGGAGCGATACTGATTCATAATTGTAACAACGGACCGAGTAGTGGCAGGTGGTGGGAGAATCATGCTCTGGGAATGTCCGTTATGTGCGATGCAACGGGAAGAGTTCAGGGTCGAAGGGGGTATAAATACTGGAACATTCCTTGGGTAGATCCTGTAATGGTCTTCCAGGGAACTGACACTGGGACTGTGATTGTTAGATAAAAATCGAGGCCCTGGAGGACAAACAGCGCGGTTGTAAAACAAACAGATGAGCCGAAGCATTGAACGTGCTGCCAAAGCCTGATGAGATAGAGGTTCCTGAGATGTCTTGTAGGAATCCAACTTCGTCATAGCTATCTAACAGTTGTATCTCAGGGTAGGGCTGCGCTATCGGCACATTTGCTACAGGCTAGGGGGGGGGGGTTGGGTGTTGAGGAGTCAGGGTTATCTTCTCCTTCTGGAGCTTGATGACTGAGCTCTCAGGCTAAAACTCATCGTCAGCTAAACCGTTCATTGAAAAACAAAATAATTCAAATGTAGTGATTTTTTCCCAGTCCAGGTGTACATCTCCCCCACTGCAATGCGTCAGCGTTTTGAAACTTTCACCTTTCTTTACTCGTACTTTCAGAAAATTGAGTCCACTGGCAAAATATAGTTTGTGAAAGCCAGTTGAGCCGAAGAGCGGGAAACTCCTCAAGCTCATTCTTAAGTTTTCATAAGGATCTCTCACTAAAACCCAGCCGTCCGTGTGCAAGTTCGCCGAGACGCAATCAAACTTTGGACGATAATCTGACGTTAAAAGACGGCAAACAGAATCACGGGAGACATGGTGAACTCAGGCTTTCCCCATTTTGATTTTGTTGTCAGTCAAAAGCCCCCGTGCGCGTCACCCGTGTTTGGCCTCCGATCGTCACATGGGTCGACTCAATTTGATTTTATCCCACAGTCTGCCTTTGTTCAGGCTACATTTCACATGTGACATGGGCAGTAATTGCTTTCTAATCTGATGGAGGGAATACATGCTCCCGGGGGCAGAACCGGGTTCAGCGTACTGCTGATCATTGTCGCCATCTTGTGGCTGAAGATCCTCTCCGGAAACTCCGGGCAGCTTCGACTGTTCGGGGCCTTCCGGCTTTCTCAAAGTTCAAAATAGCTAATCAAGTCTACAACCACCCAATGAACGCCTTCAGTCAAGCAACAGGTGTGGTTTATTATTTATTCACATATGTCATAGAATACAAAGCCCCCAAACCCAATCCTGACCAACCTGACCCTTCCCACCCCCCCCCAAAAAAAAAGAAAAAAAAAAAAGAAACAGAGTGCGCACATCAGATCCAATGGAAACTATTGAGAGGTTTAGGAGCGTGAGAGAGATAAAGAAGCTTTGCTCTATAAGCGCTAGAGTGTACAACTGTGGTTAAATGTGTTGTTGATATAAAAAGTATTCCCTCGTATCGTAAGCGAAACCCTTTCAAATTAAAAGGGCCGGAGCAGCTACAGCTGAACCAAATTCTGCAAAACAAAAAAAACAACAAAACACAAGTTTCCTTTCAGAAATATTTTTACATTTCTTCCCATTGGTCTCGATTATGACCACAAGGACATCAGAAACCATGTGCAACAATAACTTAGCCTTTTGTGACTTGAAACTCGGCCGCTTTTCTCTTCTTTTACAAAATCCTCTTGCCAAGCAGAATGAAAGGAATGCAATGTTTTCTGAATGAGAAACGAAATATTTGAAATCTTTTTTTTTTCCTTTTTCTTTTTTTTTTAATGTTAAAATTGCAGAAGGAATGAGAAAAAGTGTTGACGGGGCTATGAGTGAATACAGCCTCAAGTGTGTTAGCAGCCAACCTAGGTCCAAAAAAAACAAAAACAAAAAAAAAAAATCTATATTTTTTTCTTCCAGTGGCTTTGGGACGTCCAACTTCCGGTGAGTCTGTACCGATGAAACCCCCGAGCGCTGTCCTATCAACTGGGACTAAAACAACAGAAGCGTATTAAGCAGCCAGCTAGCTAACCCCCCGTGACGAGTAAAAGCAACTAGCTTTGAAGTTAGACAGGGATGTTGAAATGATTTACAAGTATGCTGAATTTGAGAAAAAAAAGAAAAAAAAACAGTAACATCACTGCCGAAGAATCCAAACATTTGGATGCGAGACAAAGTCTGATCTGTCGCACCGGTTAGAAGGTGTTTCGAGTTCGCTTCGGATCTCGTCCTCGTCACTACACATCAAAACACACCAGAAAAAACAAGTTATTCCAACACAATACACACAATCCAAGGTTCATGGTCCGAGAAGGTGCCTTTTATGCAAAGAGCTGTGGGTCCGCTCAGTTTGGCCTGTCGGAGAAAGCGGTTCGTCCGGCGGACGCTGGAAAACTAATTTCAAAATAAAAGGAGAAAAAAAAAAAACAGCAAAAAAAAAACAAAAAAAAACGGGAGACTGCCATCGGCTGCCATCTTCTGGCAGTGCAACGAACAAACAGGCTCCGGGCAAGTCCGTGTTTATTCTCGATCTGCTGATTGACCCGGTCCGGCCGCCCCCCAGTCCTTTTCCTGCCCGGCCCCTCACACCATGTAGGAGTTCTGATTCTTCAGTTTGTCCAGCTCTTTGCTCTGCTGCCTCAGAAACAGGATTCTGTGGGAGGAAAGCGGCACACGTGTCAGGGGGGAGCCTGGGGGTGGGGGTGGGGGGGGGGGCTGGGCCCTGCGGTTCTCACCTCTGCTCCCTCAGCGTGGCCTGGATCTCGCAGACTCGCACCAGGGAGCGCAGGTTCTTCATCTCTGTGCAGATTTCGGACATGTACAGGCTGCCCATGTTGTGGAAGTCCTCTCGCAGCCGGGCCGCCTGGAGGAGAGGGAGGAGTGTTCAGTCACCGAAAAAAAACCCGCTGCCCAACGCCTCCCTCAGGCTTTGGACGATTACCTGCTTCTCGGTGCTCTCGGAGGGCCACCCCTGGATATGTCGGATCAGGTTTTCGTCGAAATGAGCTGCCAGGGTGGGAGTGAAGGAGCCGGGGGGGTCCGACTGGGTCTGGCCGGTGCCGCCGGGGGGCGCGTGGGGCATCGCCGAGCCGGATGCGTTTGATCCTGCGCACAGCGCCTCCTGGCTGCTGAGGCGAGACAACCGGTTAATAGTGTACAGACTTACAAAAAATTTAAAAAAAACATATAGGATTATAAAATAGAAGTTCAGAAAAATGCTGAAACATCAGTATCATGTTGGTAACATTTATTAAAGCGGCACATATAAATCTAATTTAGATTCTTAATATAGACTTATAGAGTTTATAGAAGTTTCTCTTTTAATCATAAAGATCACAGCCCAAGTAAAGCTACGTTCAGAGTGTCAGACGCGGGCCAAATCTGATCCTTTGCTCGTGTTTGACTTGGATCGGGGGGGCATTCTCCCCCCGCCCTCAGATTGTCTGAACAGCACAAGTCGCATGAAAAACATCGGCATAGTAAAACTGATTATGATCTGATTTCTTTTTCCTGTTATGAGACTTCAGTCGAACCTAATTCACGCGACTTTTATGTCACTCTCGATTGGCGTCAAGTGATTTTGGGGGGGTTTTTGTGGGTTTTCCCACTGAAATCTGCCTGGATTTTGAGGCTGGGGTTTGGGGCGCGGCTACCTTCTCTGCTGGAGCGTCCTCGGGTCTTCGGGGCGCTTTTCGGCGGCCTGAGACGAGGACGGCGCTCCTTGTTTCCCTGACGACATGCTGCCCTGAAAAAGGGGAAACAAAGACGCCATGGGAGGAGGGTGGGAGGAGGAATAAGAGAAGGGCGGGGGGGTGTCAGAGGAAACAGGTGGAGGCTGGCGACGGAACACCAGAAATGAGACGTGGCTCCCCCGGCTTGCGGCAGACAAACCTACCCTGCTTTGCGAGGACGCCATGCTGCTGGCGTGCATGCCCAGCAGGGACTTCTGGCTGTTCTGGGGGGTGCCGTTCCGCGGCGAGACGTACGGCCGGGGGGAGGACGCCTCCGTCGTCAGAGAGACCGGAGACTGACTGGAGTGCTGGGCTGCAGACGGGACAGAACGGGGCACAGACACTCGTGTTAAGGACAGTAAGTGAAGGGACTTACTTCAAATCTGAAAACAGGATGGTCCACAGATATGTTATAGTGGGGGAAAAAAAAGTGGTTATGTGGGTCCCTTCAGTTTCTTTTCAGGATTTTGTCCCATTGGGGGACTCATCGTATGTCCATGTGAGTGTTTTTCTGTTTTGATTCAGTAATTTTGCTGATCTTTGTGCTTCAGTTTGGTTTCTTTGCGGTCATTTCGTCTCTTTATTTTTTTTTATCTCTGTTGTACCTCTGCCTTTGGACAGTTTGTGGTGGCCGTCCACACGTCTTCCGGTGAAAGCCGATAAGAATTCCTCGCTGTTGGGACGCTAAACAACACCTAAAGCCGGTGACATGGCAGGCAACTAATAGCTTAGCAGATTTATGGGGAGAATAAGAGGTTGTGATAGAGCCATCCTGACTATATTTAGCATTATATCATTGTTACCACGGGGGGAGTCTGCAATACACAAGATAATGTTTTGGATATTTGTTTTGTTTTTCTCACACAACTGTGTCCAATTGAAATAATCCTCGGGCAAAGTAAGGTAAATTTACCGTGAAGATCATTAAAAAAAATGTATAAATAAAAAGGCACTAATCCGAGGGGACATGGAAAGAAGGATTCCTACAAACAAACAAACAAAAGAGCTGCATTGGTTTGTGGTGGCGGATGGAAAGAGGCTGTGGAGACGCCGTACCCTGGTTGGAGTGTTGAGCGGCCGACAGCAGAGCGGTGATGTTGAAAGCCGGTCCGGCGGCGAGGAGCTTATGCAGCACAGAGCGCAGGGAGGCCTGGGTCACCGCGGCGGCCAGGACTGGAGAGGGGAGAGAAAATTAAGAAACAAACGTATAAATACAGACCGGAACACTTGAGTGGGCAGGTATGCACATAACAGGAGTCAACAGAGACCACAAGGTTCATTCTGGATAAATAAACAATAACATTGCGGGATTTTGAAAAGTCAAAGTTGCTCTAACCGGCAAATGACCGACAAAAATCTGCCAATCAAGCGGCCACACATCCCTCTACAATGAGGCCAGGTAGCAGGAGTCCAATCACAAAGACACTTAACTACAGGCTGGATCAGAGAGTCTAAGTTTAACTGGGATTAAACACTACGTCCAAACGTCTGACGAGCAGGGCCACACAAATTTGGGAAATCATCCCTCATTTTGCCGATTTATAGAAACATGAGAGAAGTGTCCTCATAGAGGGGGAGCGGGGGGAGTTGTCCAGATGTTCCCAAACGAACACACAGAGGGCCTGTGACACTACGCAGGCTGGACAAAGACAGGGAGGTACACAGGTTTTTTCTGCATACCAAAACATCAGATGGAACAGATCAAACTGAGGCTTCACACTAAAATACAAATACTGCTAGTTGTCATTTAGAAAACGCTAATAATCGGGACTGGAAACCACCCACAGAACCAGACCCTTCAGCCCACAGAATGCCCGATCCAGCTTTTGGCACTTCCAATCCGATCCCGACCCCGGCCTATCAGAACATGTACTAAAGTTTAGAGTTATTTAGCCTACTTACTTAGTGTCAGACTCATGTTGAACAGGGATTTACTCTTTTAACAACTTAAAGGTTAGGACACAGACCTGTGGGTTAGGAGATGCTGATGCTGGTGTGGGATCTGACTTTTTTTTTTTTTTTTAAATTGATCGGGAGTCTGGATCGGTATTTTCTCCTGCCGGCCGATATGCATTTTTTTGCAAATATCGGCGGCCGATCCGATCCAAATATATATATATATATAACCCTAACCCCCCCGCCCCCAATGCCCTCACCCTCGTTGAGCTTGGCCATGTCCATGTTGCCGTTGTTCATCTGCAGCGTGGCCTGCAGCGCGGGCAGCAGCTGGTGCAGGATGGCGGGGTCCTGGAGCAGAGCGGGCGACGGCGACTGCCCGGATGGGGGGCCCTGCCCCGAAGATGAGGAGGAGGAGCCGGCGGCCGCGGCGCCGGACGACGAGGACGACGGCGTCGACGAGGATGCGTTGGAGGGGGCGGGGCCCGGGGCGGCGGCGGCTGATGAGCTTAGGCTCTGAGAGGAGGAGGGAGTGGAGGAATGGCCGGAGTTGGATGATGTGGCGGATTGGTCCCCTGACGCCGTCTCTGTGTTGGACGGAAACGCCACAAGGTGGTTAGTAGGGGTGGGACGGTTCACAAAATCCACGGTTCGGTTCGATTCACGGTTTCGTGGTCACGGTTTTCGGTTGATCGTTAGGAAAATCTATTATGTCTTGTATAGTCAGGTTAAAACTGAAAGAAAAAAGCTGTCTGACATTTGATACATTATTGTGACAGTCTTATGTTAAAAGTAGGTGAGATTCTGGCATTGCAAGCGAGGAAACAGTGCTAATTCCAACATGTGCTTCCTTCTAAATGCAAAGTGGTCCCATACAGCAGACCTATAAACTGCTGTTGGCGCGTCAGATTTTTATCGGCTACGCTGCTTCGCTTCTTCTTCTTGTTTCCTACTGGTGGTTGGCTTTGGGCGCAGTAGCGCCCCCTTCTGCTCTGGAGTGTAAACGCTTCCCTCTGAGAAAAAGGAGCAGCAGGAACCGAACGCAACACACGCGAACCGAACCGAGACAGTCGAACTGAACGGTTCGGACGGTTTTCAGAAACCGTCCCATCCCTAGTGGTTAGTGTGGCGGGGAAACACCGGTTGAGGAGAGCCCGGGACTGCGTACGTACTGGCTGCGGCTTTGTCCTGCAGGGACTCCTGCCGGTAGTCCATGTCCTTGGGGAAACTGTTGGCCGCCGCCTTAGCCGGGTCTTTCTGCCGTTGTTCCCTGAAACAGAGCAGGCAGATTGTTGGTTTCGGCGCCCGAGGCTGCCGCCGCCTCCGGGCAAGGCGAGCGTCACGATACTAAAATTTTCAACTCGATACCGATACTCAGGAAAATACTCGATACTCAATACCATTTTCGATACCACAAGGATTAAAAAAAGACCCCAAAATTTAAATGAATTTTGACAGGTTAGTGTCTTTCATTTCAAACTGACCTGTTACTAATGTTATCGTGACTGGTGGCCTGCATTAATAATCCTAAACCTAACCCTCCACCCTTCATAATTGTGTGAAATAAATATTTTTGGGTTAAACTTGTTTGGACTATTTTGACAAACCTATTTAACATACACTATTTTAACATAATAATATGTATAGAGTTTAATTAAGTGTTTGAAAGATTAATTTCACAATTTTTAAATGAATCTCTATATTACTATGAGGCAATTAGGATTTTCTTGCCTGGAATCTTCCTATTGTTAATGTAACTATAATGGCCGACTTCGATGTGGGCGGAGTCGGATATGTACTTGATTAATGGTAGCACGTTATTATTAGCCATTAGCCGAAGCTAGCAGTTCAAGGCTAACAACTTGTTAATGACCATTAACAACTTAAAAAAATACATAAATAAATCTGAGAGAAGGGGGGCAGCGACATCAGGTCAGCGTCGCGCGTGCGCGGTAGTATCGATACTTTTGAAAATGAGTATCGTATCCGGATACAACATTTTAGTATCGATACTTTTTGGAGTATCGATACTTTTGACAACCCTAGTGCCTTGCCTCTCCAGCAGATCCTTGGGCTTCTCCCACTGGGACACCTCGGTTCTGCAGTTGTAGTAGTACTTCTTGCCAGAGGAGCTGATGTGCTCCGTCCAGTCGTCTGCTGGATCCTGGGTTCGGGGGAGACAACACAGGAGATGATGTCAAAGCCCAGAAGGAATCAAGAACGCGCAAAACTTTGAGAAAGATGGAAGGAAAATGTCAAGAAGCGTTCCAAGGCGTCAGTTTTAGGCCACTTTGTTTTTCCCTCATGAAATTTAAGACGCTAAGTACTTGAGCAGGTCGCTGCTCTGGATTTTGGCTTATATTTAATATTCATTCTAAGAAGAAAAGAAAAACACCCAGAGTGCCGCAATCGTATCTGTAGACGGCCGACTTCGACATGCCACATTCACATCTGCTGCTTTACTTCTTTTTATTTCCAGCGTCTCATGCCGACAGCTCGAGTCCACGTACGTGTTTCAGGGCGACCTTTTGAATTAACTGTAACATCACAGCTCGAGTTCAGATTAAAAACGGCTTTCTGATATGTTGAAATAGGAGGTAGATGACTCTCCCCTTGCACTCCCAGGTAAAAACAAGCTGTCATTCAAAACACAGGATGTGGTTCACTGTTTTTTGTCGGCTCATCTTCAGAAATGAGAGTCAATCCTTTCAGTGTAAACCACCTGATGAGGACCAGATAAAGTGCTTTATCCTGCTGTTGCACGTTCACCTCTTGGTTTTTTCAGCTATAAAGGGACAGCAAAACACCAACCCCTCGCCGCCTGATTGGTCCTGTTCTGTGGCAAATTTGCTTTCACCTGCTTATTCGCTTTAGTAAACAGAGCTCCCCTAGTCTCAATAATCACGATTCAAACAGGAGAGGAGGCCTTACCAAAACAAGCTCTGTTTCACTGGAGCCACGTTCAAGTATGTTTAAAAAATGCCAAGTGGCAGTGGTGCAGTGACGAGTATAAACCGGACCATTCTTACAACATCCACCCCATGCCTCTGACGGATGGAAAATGTGTTGAGTGAGGCAGCCTACAATCTAATCTGGGCATCTCCACCCATCGCTCCCAGCCTGACGATTGTGATGGTTAAATCTGCACACGTTTCATTAAAAAAAATGTTTAAAAAAAGATTTGGTAATCAAATGAGTGCATGAGGAATTGAAATCAGCAAAGATAAAGCAGTTATGTGTTTGGAGTGTGTGGAAACACATATCTGATACATTGCAGATTAAAAGGATAAAGTTGACACTTTTCTTAGCAGTGACAGGCAAACTGGAATTCAAACTAGGAGGGAAAAAACGTGAAGAAGAGAGCTACAACCATTTCCAGCAGGCTTGGGTGTGCACATTTCCCCAATAAAATAAATTGCTCAGTAGAAGAAAGCATTAACTGGGTCGATGCTGCGATATAAAAATGAGAAGTTTATTCAACCATCGTTGTCAACTTGATAACATGAAAAGAGTAAAAGCGCCACATAGACCTCTGCAAACTAAGTCCCAAGATAAAGTGAAGACACTTTTTACAATCTTCCTACGTGTCTATCATCACACAGACCGGGTGTTACCTTACCCTGTCTGCAGGTTTGCTCTGAGGCCCATGAGAGTCGGCGCCATGGTGGGAGCTGTTGTTGTGAGAGGTCTCCATCGGAGAGCTGCTGGTCCCTGCAAAACAGTGTTGTTTGTTTGGTCAGGTATCACAAAATTTATAACAAGCTGAAAACTTCAGAAAAAACAAAACGACTAAACTTAACTGCGTCCTTTAAAAATGGCAACTTAGACTTACTCCACCAGTCAAAGACCACGATCAACGCGGGGCCCAAATGCAAAGCAACCCTTACCGTTTTTTCCTCTGACAGCGTAAGAGGCTTTGGCCTTGCCATGTCCGGCGCCCTCTCCGTGTCTGCTAACGGGACTCTCGTCGGACCGGCGGGGCATCTTGTATGGGGGCATGGGATCCGATGAGCCATCTCGCACTTTGTCATAGCGGTGAAGGCTGCTGGACTGGCTCTTTGGCTGGGATTTATGGGTCTAGAGAGGACAGCGGAAAGCAGATTGGGTTGATGGGAAATCCTGTCTTACAGTGATACCCATGGCATTGCAGGTCAAGGCAAATTAATGACCTGTTACATTTACAATCCCTTTTCTTCATAGTTTTAATGGAGACACATCGCATACCATATACATCTATATATATATATACACACTTGTGTGTTTTTAATTAAATTTATAACACGTAAATGTAAAAATGTTGCTAAATGTACTATACCTGATAGGATTGTGAATCCCTTCTTTCGGTGCACCTGTGGACAGAGACAAAATTAAAGTTAAAAGCTTAGCTTGGCCTGTGGAACACAGTTTGTTTAGCAGTTAGCTAGCATTAGCCAACCTAGCATGTTTTTTTTCCCCGTCTTATCCGATACGGTTTTTGTAGATATTGTCAAATTACGGGTTCAAAAACAACACCTTACAGGTATTTATTCGTTAAAACCATCGAGTTCACGCGCGTTTGTGATGACGAACTTAGCCGAAATTATGTTTACGCTGGTCGACGAGCTAAGACATCCGGAACCACTAGCTAACTAATTTCGAGAGAGCTTCTAGCTGGTAGCCATAACAGCTAACGGCTGGGAGGAAACTTCCAGCCTTCGAAACCCAAACGGACGTGTCCCTCCGTGTGTGTGTGTGCTCAGAGGGGGTGAGAGCTTGGAGCTTGGATTTACCCATCGCTGACTCTTGCTGGTTTCCTTGCATACATCACCATCAAGGCCGTGATGATGTGTGTGTGTGTGTGAGGGGGAACCGTGGCCTCCTGTCTGTCTGCTCCTCACAGTTCTTTTTTAACTTCAGCTTCCTGGTGTCGGGACTCGGGTCTACCCTACCAAAGCGGACAGATACGCGTCGAGTGCCGAGCACCAGCACTGCATAGCGGGCGGCCTTTGTCAACAACCACCCCTCAGCGCATCGTCTGACATGTACTTATGATATGCGCTAGACTCGGTCGATGTAGCCCAGCGCAGAAGCAGCAGATGCAGCAGGAAGCGGAGGAGACGCACTCCTCGGTAATGTTCGACTCCGAGCGGGGGGGGAGGGGAAGGGGAAGCGGGTCGACTTCCGGCGGAGCCTTTCACAATAAGGGGAAACGGTTTTGTTTTGTGTATGTTTTTTTTTTAACACGGAAGTGTTCCTAGGGAGGGACTCAAAACATGCAACTTTCCCCAAGCTAGAAATGCCAAGTCATTTCGAGGAGAAGGGGCGAGCATTTTCACTCATGTGGGCCTCCTTTTAGGCCCATGTCCACTTAGCACAGGTCTCATACCACTCCAAAATGCCCCTAGAAATCATACCTTCTCACTATGAGAATCTCTACTTTTTGTCTTTTAGAACACCAGTTTCCCTACTTTCTGTGGTGGTTCAGACGCTGTACTGAAAGATGGATGTCTGCTGGTAACTTTGACATTATTATAAAAGAAAATAAATATTTGTTAGCCCTTTGAAAAAGATAACTGACCTTTCCAAAGCTTAAGTAATTCTGATACTGGTGCTGCATGGGAGCGAGTGAAGTGGTGGTATTCTTATCGTAGTCTCTGCCCTTTCATTGGTATTAGGATTGTTTTAGTTTTCTTTCTTTATCTTGCTTCGCAGAGGATGTTTCTAAGTTGCAATCTTTGGCCAATGTAGGTGTTTAGATTCCCAGCCAATGACAGGAGGCGCATGTGAAGACAATCGCTGCATTCCATGAGTCAGAGCATGGGAAAAAGAAGGACGTCACACCCATGTTGTCCATCTACTGTGAGTTGGTCACAGATCCTGAAGGGACGTCGTTGTCATGAATGTAAGCAAAAAAACACCAGATCACACTGCATTTTGCATCCGAAACAATGTAGTGATCAGATAAAGGTTGCACATAATTTTGTTTTTATATACTGGGTGCTAGAAGTGGAACCAAGTTTGAAAGCAGAACATATAAAAAGAAAACAACTGAAAAAAGGCTAATTGTTTCAAGGAGAATTTATGTTTTGCTCTCTTATGGTATCGATTCTATGTTCATACATGTGGAAAATGAATGACTACAGGTCAACATTATCCTCCATGCTTTACCATCTCTATTGTCATGCCATTGGTTTATTGATTCTTAGCCGGCTTTATTTAGGTCAGAGCTGGCACATATTGAGTCAGTGAGGGTCTCTGTTAGAGACTAACCAGTCGAACAGTTTGTATCCTCTCAGTAAAAGTGTATTTTTGAATACGGCTTAGTAGTTACCACGGGATATGGCATGCCTGAATGGGGCCTGATGGTATGGCGAGTGTCTGGTGAGTGGTTTTATTAGGTATTTATTCTCTTGAATAACCTGACATTGTTTGTGTTTGGAATTGTATCAAACACATAACTTGTGTGTGTCTTTTGTGTATAACTAATTTCTTAAAGCTCACCCGTGTCGCATTGTGTTGATTAAGCTTTACTAAATGCTTTGATAATCTTCTTATGTGGCTTGAACAAATCAAAGAAGAACACTGTGCAAATGTAAATCTGAAGTGTTATTTGTGATTGAAATGAACAGTTGACGTGGCTTCTGAAAAGTGGCTCAGAAATGCTGAGGTTGTAATTCCTAACACTGCCAGTAGGGGGCAGAAATATCTCATAAGAAGGGACCAGTGAATCTGTCCATGCATTTATTTCCCCCACCCAGTGAAGAAAAACAAATGCATTTTCCCCCTTCTTGCTCGTTTAAAAAAAAAAAAAGAACACAATCAGATGTCATGTTTGTTTTCTCTTCTGGATCGTAAAACCAGAAACAAACCAACTCAAGTTGAATCAAAATGGATTCTGTCAGTCTGTCATCATTTCCTAATTCATGTTTTTTTTTCCCAGAATGAAAAGGATGCTGAGCAGAACTGAGCACAGAGGTGAGTCCAAGGGAAAGAGTTTATTACTTTTACTATTGAAGAACGTGTAAATTCATAGTTAAAACCTTGCAATAAACTTTTTAACAACAGGAACTCTGTATGAATTGTATATTTCTGGCCCCTGGTTCTCCAGGCGTGTGCAAGCTCTTATCATCGGTGATGTCTGGAACAGAGTCTCACACAGACAGGGAGGAGGACTACAAGTTCCTCCACAGTATGCTGATGGAGAAGAAGGTTCACCTGCTCTTCAAGGTGAAAATTGCTTTTGCACCTTGCTTTTTTTTCTTCTTTTTTTCTTTTCTCCAGAGAAGGAGACGTTAAAACAACTACAATTCATTGGGAATATATACAGGTTAGGATCTAACCAATGTTGACCAGGTTTATCTTTTCTAAACACATGAACAACTGATTTTTTAAATACATTTCCCTCTTCTTCTCTTACATTACTAGTCCCAATTTAGCAAAAGGGAGCTGTTTTGATCAGAGTTAAAGCAATCTCCTATTTACCACCCCCCAAAAAACAAAACAAAACCCTAATCCTGATGCTGTCCTGACTCGACAGATCCACGAGCGGCTGAAGCGTTTTGAGAAGCGAGGCCCCGTCCCCGTCCTGGAGCGCGCGGCCTGCCTGGCCTCAGACGTGTGTGACTCTCTCCAAACATCTTTTGCAGATAGACACGCTGCTGTCGGTGACAGGTTGACAACGGGAGGGTGGGGGGGGGAGCAGAGGGTGGAATGTGCGCTTTTTTCCTCTGGTTTCTGCAACCCTGGCGCGCCGGACGTGAGCGGTCAGAGAGCTGTTTTACAGATAAATGTATCACTTCGTGTCCACGTGCGGGTCACGGAGGACAGCGGCGAGCGGCGGCCTGCTCAAGTCATTTTGTTGCGCGGTGCCGTTGTGATTCAGCTTTTAGAAACACGGCTGAGGTCAGATGTAAAACGAAACAGCAGAGTCCACGCATAACTCCGTCCCGAAATGAAATGAAAAGCATCTCAGCGTGCGGAGTGTGTTATAAACCCGGCTCTCTTTTGTTTTACAACCCCTTTCACGACTTTTCCTCATTTTTCATAATCTTCCAACCTCATTTACTGATTTCCCCCCCACTTTTGTTGCGAGTCAAACAGCTAAACAGCACTTATACTCCTCCTTCATCATCCTAATTAATCCTTTCACATTCTTTCCTCACTTGCCCCTGTTTTATCCTCGACTAAAACCAAACGCCGGGGTAGGTTTCTGCCATGTTTCCGTGCTGTTTCTCTCTCCTGCCCTCCGCTCCTTCCCCTCAGTGCCGTTTGCTTTTGATTCGGTCGGACAGCCACTCCTTTTGCCTGGCTCAAATCATCAGGACCAACTGGAAGGGGCCAAGCCGTGGATCTGTTTCCTCTCAGAGAAGCTTCTGTTTGCTCGCAGTGGAAACTAATGACCTTCATGCATTGTGTCTCTGGAGCGTTCCTAGACATCTTGAAGCAGTAGAAGTCATTACAGTAACACGCTTGACCAGACGAGCGACTGCACACGGTCGCTTGCAGCCATTTTTGCTCGCCGTCCACAGTCAAGGCCCCTCTGTTTTCAGTTGACACAGCAGCTATTGTGCTGCCTTGATCCTTTTAAATTGTTCCCCAAAAGCAGCACAAAAACAGAAAACAAATACCTACCTTACATAAAAGGAGTCAAAGTCCGAGAGATTCAAGTGTTGGTTGTTGGACATTTTTTAAACCAACTGTATGTTACTTCAGATATGGGCTGTACTTAACAGTCAATTTTCTTTTTTTTTTTCTGTATTTCATGTTAAAAAAACAAAACCAACTTCACTCAAAATGAAAAGAAATACATGTGATTCTTAAAACAAAACAATAAAAACACAAAAAAACATATTTCCCGCCTGTAATCTAAAGCTTTGTTTCAGTTGGCGGACGAGCTGATAGAGGACAGCTGGAAGGATAAGGCCAAAGAGCTGGTGGTCATGTTGTCCAAGCCCCACTTCAAGGTGAGAGCACCTTCTTTCCACGTTGATATGTTAGCCTGCCGTACAGACACTGTCCACGAAAGAAAAAGATAAGCTTTAATTAAAAAAGAGTCCAGCATGTTAGTGTCATGCTGTTTGCTGATTGGACCCTCAATGGGTTTACTCCATGTTCCTCCAGGCCACATGTCAAAGAGTCGTTGGGCAAGGATCTGAACCCCAAGTTGCCTACCAGTGCATCCACTGGTAGGCAAATTAAAAATCTAAATGACTTTTTTTTAAACAGTTTTCGAATTTTCTCCGATGCTAACTGTTTACATCCTTTAGCTTGTTGCTTGACAGCTGGTCAGTCCGGGTGTTCACAACTTTCACATCTCCAGTTAAGAAATATAGTAAGATGAAGAGATCATCCTAAAATGGGTTTGTCATCAAAGATTTAGTGGGTAACATGAGCTTGTTTCATAAGAGTTCTAAGAGTATCTAGAAACTAAAGTTTCTAGAGGAACAATAAGTTTAGGAGATGAACGATATGGCGTTGGGATCTTTAAATGAAGAACGGAAGATTTAAAATCCGGTTCTTATTTTTAGGAGAAGGTAGTGCAGAGCATTAAAAACAGCCAAAGTGCATTGTGTTTTGGCACGACCAATCACTCCCCATTTCATTTTGAGCCGTTTTGGATGAACATTTTCTGTAATTGGGAGGAGGATACTGCCATAAGAAACATTAAACACATGTAATACCAAAGTTTCCCAGCAGAATATCGCACCAATACAAGATGATCCACGTTCTGTTATTGTTGTGTTGTCAAAGCAAAATGTTTGGTAACCCTTTCCCCATCTTCTGACCATGTTACATCCTGTCCTGGAAGACTTATCAATCTTGTTGGATGAATTTAATTGCGGCTCAAGTTCTCTTCTCTTGGTAGATTTCCAATTCGAGAGGTTGACTTCATCGTAGTCATGTTTCACCTGAAGCTATTCAAGTGACCGATGAAACTTACCAACTCTTCGAAATTCTGTACTGAGTTCTGGGCTGTGTGGCTTAAACTTGACCTCATTAACTGATAGGTGCTGACGTCTGACAGCCACACTCGCTGATCATTTCCCGGTTTCTGTTCATGAGTCGACACGAAGTCGTCAAGTGCTTGTTTCCTCGGTTCGGACCTGCTGACGGTCATCTTTCAGGCACACGTGGAGAGCGTGTCGTTTCTCACAGAACACGGCTTTTCCGAGGAGCTGTCGAAGCCGTGGCTTTTCCTGACGGGAAGCCGAGGCCTGCTGACAAGTCCCAGTTTGTTTGAAGAGTTCTAATGGCCTGTTGGTTTTTTGGCCGCGCACGCCTGTGACAGACGGCGGGTACGAAGCATTGGGAGAGCTTTAGAAAGCTGACTTTGAGAGAAGGCAGACATAGACACAACGGCTAACGTGTTGGCAGCTGCTGAGCAGGGAAACCGTTGACGGACGTGAGGATAACAAGCGGCCTAACTGACAGAGAGATTAGCTGATTGTTTAACTAATGATGACGATCTGGGGTTTCCTTCATTCTCAATATTTCCATATTGCAGCAACCCCTCCCAATCCCATTTCACTCTTATGATTACGTTGAATTTATTTCTTGTTTTTGCTCACAAAAACAAGCTGTTTGTTTACTTAAATCAAACAGGAATGGACGGTGAGTCATAGATCATTTGGGATGGGTAGCATTAACCCTGGGCTAAATTGCTCTCAGGTGGCCGCTGAGTTGGCAACACTATGCACACAAGGTTAGAATTTAGATGTTGGCGTTGATGGTTTCTCTGTAGATTTTGTGGTTGATGCACAGAGTGCAGTTAGACCAGCTGAACCTAATGTTTTTTCCGCTTTTAGTTCTTCTGGTGAGTCCAAAAGCGACCTCGTTTGAGACGTTTTCGGAAATTTTTCATTAATCCGACACATTCTGACGTCATTTGGGGGCATTAATTGAGCCAGTGAAGGCTGCTCACCATGTTCCCTGCATTTTTTTACAGAGTCTGCTGAGTGTCCACGATGCCGTAGCTCAAAGAGACTTTGAACCAGCTCTCCCGGCCATAACCGACGAGGCCCTGGAGGAAGAGGGGGACTCCGTTAAGATCGTCAGTCTGGTCAAAACCAAAGATCCCCTGGTCAGTAGCAAGTTTTTCTTTTTTTTTTTCAATGGCAAAATCTTCAGTTAGCTGTTTGCGTAGACAGGAGAGCTGCCAACCGGCTTGTTTCACTCTCATAAAACTGGGTGAAGCCTGTAGGAAACTTACGTTCTGGATGACAGCAAGTGTGTGTTCATTATGAATGGATTAAAAACTTCCTGTTTCTGTTGTGGTGCCTCTCTGTGAGGAGTCAGACTCCTCCCAAAGCAGCAGGGACAAAAATAAGGTGTTACACCGCCCTGATATAGACAAAACATGTCCATGCCCATTCATAAATTCCAAAGCAGAGCTTAAGCATCTTTAGTTCATTCTGAAACATTACAGCTATCCGCTTGCAGGGTTAAGAAAAAAACGAGAAGTGTGATATTGAAAAGGGAGACAAGAATATGAAGTCAAAAATGTCGGGGTGCCAGCTATTAAAAGAGGTCAGGGGGCAAATATCCATCTTTGAATCAATGGATTTCTGTGGAGATTAGCTGGTGACAGATTTCAGACGTTCAACTTCACAATGAGTGCGATGAGATGGAAATTTGACATAACAGGCACCGAGAAAACCGTTTTTTTTTTCTCCACCAAAGTGGTCCTTCAGCTAGTGGGCCAGAGTTTAACTTAAGATCAACTCTTTCTGTTTGGAAAACAACAGAAAGATTTCAAATCTGGCAAAATCCAACACCAAGTTTTTCCCAAGCCGGAGCGAAGAGCTTCCGTTCTTCTTTTTGCCGCTGTCGGCAGGTCGATTTGGACCAAAGAGATCAACGAAAAAAGCCGACCGACATATTCAAACATTCGGGGTCAGGGCAGCTTGAAAAGTCGAGGCGGTGGCGAGCGACCATGAGCTCAGTTTTTCTCCGGTTTTCGAAACGCTCCGTAAAGTTTTATAACCTCAGTATCATCCATAAATGCTGTCCAGTGTTTTGGAAGAAACATTTAAAGGGATATATAAAAACGTGGCCACGTGGTGGCTCCCTGGCCTTGGCGAGCCATTTTTTTGGCCAAAACCAAGCGAGAACTGGCTCTGGCACCAGATCGGAATTAGCACTGGATCCACTTATACGAAAAGGACAGTGTGAAGATTGCAACATTTATTGGGTTTGTAGATTGTAGAACAATCTACAACCAGGATCAATGTTTGAATTGGCCGGACCAAAATAACCAGGCGTTATTTAGCAAACTTCGACCTGCAACTTTTTAACTACATATCGCTAAAAACCTGCACATTGCACCTTTTAGTGGAGACAGTATGTCAGGAAACTCACATTGTCTGTAGGCCTGATAATGGAGTCTGCGGACCTGGAAAGGATCGGAATTCTTTTCTCGCTAATGAGCGTCAGTCGGTGTCAGAGTCAGTGATCATATCTCATTGTCTCGGTGCTACACTAAAATTATACGCCTTTTCCCTTCCAAGCCATTGTCACTTATTCCTTCAAGGGTCCTGGACTGAGTTAGACTGGGCCGCAAACCAGTGGGCCCACGACGGCCGCATACCTTCCCCAGTGCAGCAAATCCTCCAAATTTGTTATTTCAACGATCGAAAAAGTCGAGATTTATTTTTACTGTTTGCATCTGGAACAAGATCTCCATAAAACACGTACAGTGATGAATAACAACGGTCACATTTTCCCCATTTGAAAAGACATAGACGCTCACCAGAAAGTGGAACAGATGTTCCAAAAAAAAAAAAAAAAAAAAAAAAAAAAAGCATTTAGATACCTTTAAAGCTTTGTTTTTTCCCCCCGTTGAGGCCTTGCTTTCCAACAAATTTAAATGAAATTCATGCCAGTTTTTTTTGTCAGATTAACTGCTAAAACATAAACAGCCCCATTAAAGTTGCACTGGTGGGTTTAACCCGCAAAATTCAGTTTGTCAGCAAACGTGAGAATCATCTACTTTCAGAAAAGTGTGTAGTTTCACGTCTTGGTGGCTGGCATCCAAGAAGACCTCTTCACCAGTAATGGTGAACACACTTTTGTATTGATCCCAAAACTGGGTCGGATGGGGGCGGGTGGGCCGAGGGGGTTGGGGGTAGGGGGCTGACCTTTTCCTGACACGGCCTGTTTGATGCGTCCAACATGTTCCCGTTTTCCAGAAACCGGGGGGCCACACCCCGGCGTGCGCTGATTGTAGCCGGCTACATGAGATGCTATTTCCACTGTGACCCGTCCCGCACCGCATCGGGAACATCTGCTGAAAACCATGCTGATTTCCACTGCGTTGTGTGTTACATGGAGAGCAGCTAAATGGTCCCTGTCTTTATACGGAAAAAAAAAAAAAAAAAAAAAATTCTAGTGGAATGATGAGACACCAGTCTGGACTTTAACAAAACCAACATGTTCAGAATCAGAATCAGAAATACTTTAATAATCCCAATGGGAAATTATGTTGTTACTAGCTCCATAAATAAAACAACAGCATATACATATATACATATCTATACATTTATTTATATGTATATATACAGTGGGGGAAATAAGTATTTGACCCTTTGCTGATTTTGCAGGTTTGCCCACTTACAAAGAATGCAACGATCTACAACTTTAATCATATGTACATTTTAACAGTGAAAGACAGAATCCCAAAGAAAATTCCAGAAAATCACATCATATGAATTTATAAAAATTGATAACCATCTGATGAGGAAAAATAGGCATTCTTTGTAAGTGGGCAAACCTGCAAAATGAGCAAGGGGTCAAATATTTATTTCCCCCACTGTATATATACATATACAAAATTCCACACAGATATAGATAAACATATACATAAATAATTATATGTATATATATATATATATATATATATAGGTCTAAAATAAGTAGGAATGTTCGTTTTATTCTCTGAAATTGCATCCTTTTGGCCTTTGCTTCTGCTTGTTTGTCTGTTCTTCGATCATTGGCCAATCTTCTTCTTGAAGGGGGCAACAATCAAGAGAGACAAATCCACAGGGGCTATTGTCGTGGCAAGGATCATGAGAGGGGGTGCGGCGGACAAAAGCGGTGAGATGATTACACCTGCCGTAAGGACTGTGTGATGGTTTGTGTGAGGTGGGACGTCCAGATTTACAGGTCCTCCTGTTTCTCTGACGCTACTAAGGCCTGATTCACGAGGGAGATGAGCTGAGGGAGGTCAACGGCGTTCCATTGGAGCACAGGAAGCCAAAAGAAATCCTTCCTCTCCTGGTCAGTTTTACCCTGGATGTATCAGTTCCCCCCCACCACCACCACCACTACCCCTCTTTCTCAGTCTTTTCTAACCCTGAGCCTTTTTCTGGCTACTTAAACGTTTGCGTCGTCTTCCATTTTTACGACTGGGAGCAAATTTAAAGGAAAAGCTAAGTCTCTTTAATGACAGAATATTCAGACAAACTTCAGATAAACTTACTAAAGAATTGGGAATTAATTGAACATTCAGCTGTTAAGATGTCTGCCATCGCAATGCCATTATAATAGGGCAAAAAAAGAAAAAAAGAAAAAAAAGACGGCATCAGTCTTGACCAATCCAGGCAACAAATAACAGCATAAAGCTATTTACAACAGATGTCATAGCTTTTTACAATTCACACCGAAGCTAATATTTACAGCTAGCTCATCCTATTTAAAAAAAGAACAAAAAAGCAACTGTTATTGGACATGTCAGATGGCTTTTACTGGTTATTTCTCAGTTGTTTGGTGTCTTGAGTGGTTTACGGAGTACAATGGAAGCAGCACAAGATAGAAAAAAATCAATAAAACTGCAAAATTATGAGACAGCTTAGTTTAGCTGAGAATAGCTCAGTTGTAAATAAGTTGAACTTTGCTTTTGAATATTCAGAGAAACTTACTTAAGGAAAATTTATGGAACAAGTAAGCTGTAAAGATGTCTGCCATTGGAAGGCCGACAAAAAAAGGCAACTTGTTTCTGCTGTCAATGGCAGGTGGACTTTGTTTAATATCCCAAAACTCCACTCAAATGTCTCAATCTTTGAACGATCAACACACCTCCGAATAAGAAACTCTACATTTTGCTTCACTGTGTCTGTGCAGGCTTGCTCCGATGGCGAGATCAAATTTAAAATCGTACCCAGGAGCTCTAAGGAGGACGCGTCTCCGGAAAAGACAAAGGTAGAGCGATCTTAAAAAGTCACTTTCATTTTGCCTGGTTTGTGCGTTCACCTGTCATTAGCGTGATTGGCCAACATGTTGTCGGTTAAGATTGGAACCGGTGGTGAGTTGCCCATTGGGGGTGTGTTCTGTACTGAACACAGCCGGATTCTGAAGCTCAGAAAATCGTGGATAACACACTGTCTGGCTTTTTATCATTTAAACACTTCAGCTGCATGGACTTAATTTAATATTAACGGTGATTTTTTTGTGGAAAACTTTACGTCCCAGATATGAAAGAATTATAGGCTACCATCACCACGTACGCACAGCCAATGACCGAACTGGAAACTGCTGAAGCGGGGTGTAGTGGTTGTGGAGGGGGAGCATTTGCAACGGATTAAGACAAATTATTCTCAGTGATTGTGGTCGTTTCTCAAAAGATGACAATGTGAGGAAAAATCCAGACGCAGACGTGTGCGCGCTGCCGGGGTCGCGGGGTTCGTGACACGGCAGTGGAAAAAGAAAAAAAAACGGGGGGGGAGGCATTTTGGGGGGCTTTTTTTTATTTCCCCCCCCCCCCCCAAGTTGTTGGTGCGGGCCCTGTTCGACTACGACCCCGGCCAGGACCCCGCCGCCCCCTGCAAGGAGGCCGCGCTGGCCTTCAAGAGGGGCGACGTCCTGCAGGTGGTCAGCACGGAGGACGAGGTCTGGTGGCAGGCCCGTCGCCACGGAGACGGGGGCGGCCGGGCGGGGCTCATCCCCTCCAGGCAGCTGCACGAGAGGTGAGCCTTTTTTTCCTTTTTTTTCCCGTCTTCTTTCGAAACCGAAACCGGACACAAAAACCCCGTTCTGTTTCGGTTTTCCTCCGCTGTGTTTTTACAGGAGAGTGGCATTACAGCGACCCAGAGCCCTCTTCCAGCCCCGACCGGTCAAGCCACCAGGTGACCGGGCCGCCGTTGGCCGTAAACGCACCACACCTGAAAAGCGTAAAAACACTTTCCAATAAACACATTTGAGCTCCTTTAGTGTGGGTGAGAGGGCATGTCTGAAGGTCCAGCTGAAGGCCGGGGTCAGGGGTCAGCCTGCTTTCTCTCCTGGGCTGTTCTAACTTCCCTTGTTTCCTCCACATGCTCTGCAGATGAGGGGGAAGGTAACGCTTGCATTTTCTATCAAAATAAATTACCTTAAGCATCCCTTTTAGGATTACACGTACATGCTTTGGGTTTTGGTTTAGTCTTTTAAAGCTACAGTGGTGGAAATAAGTATTTGACCCCCTTGCTGATTTTGCAGGTTTGCCCACTTACAAAGAATGCCTATTTTTCCTCATCAGATGGTTATCAATTTTTATAAATTCATATGATGCGATTTTCTGGAATTTTTCTTTGGGATTCTGTCTTTCACCGTTAGAATGGACATATGATTAAAGTTATAGATCGTTGCATTCTTTGTAAGTAAGCAAACCTGCAAAATCAGCAAGGGGTCAAATACTTATTTCCCCCACTGTATGTTGACCAAGAATAATAGTAATAATAGTAAAATAGTAATCATTTTGGGGCATATTCCAAAACACAGAACAGTTACTTGAATGAAAATAAGCTAATTCGAAGGGTCTAATGACAAAGCTGACCTCCAGCAATGTGCTTTTGTGCTTATAGTCAGTCTATAAGAGAGGGACTCCCGTGCATGTTCAAGATTTGTAGATGGTATCTTTAAGTAGGGCTACTATGACCGTTTTCAAATAAAAATATCAGGACATGTAGGTCAGAACATATGCTAATACTTTGAGGATGAAGCGTCAGAGCGGCACACGTCATCGCTTTTTGTGGTTTTTGATCCAGGATTTCCTCACTCTTTCCCCATCTCTTTTCCTGTTTTTTTTCCAGTCCCGGAGGACGTAGATTACGGCGCAATAACGGGGATCCACATCGGTGAGATGTTTGACTCGTTGCTCCCTTCCCCTCACGACAATCCCAATCCCAGAGAATGTGCGGGTCATGTGACCATATTAACCCGGTTATATGGAAATGGAGGATGTGGTATAAAGATTTCAGGTTCGGTTTAAGCATTCGCTTTTATTCCGTTTAGCCTTGACTCTGTGCACCGGATGGGACGTGCTCGTGTGCACGAGAGCAGTGCAGGATGTTCGTACGGGGTTATTGTATTTATGGCTGATTGTAAAAAAGGGGCTCCTTATGCCGGCGCAAGGCAAGTGTAATTACAGATGCTGCATTATATCAGCTCGGAGAGTCATGTGCGTTTAATAACGCAAATTTCATCTTATCTCAGGCCAGCTTCCACCTGAAGACACAGTTCACGCTGTGTTCCTCCTCTTTTTCTGGCACGTGAAGCCAGACTGAGTGGCTGCATGTACAGTAATCAGTAAGGAGAAGGGATGTATGGGATAGCCATTCTAAGGCCACATACAAATCTAAGTTTCTAAAAAGAAAGGTGGGGGAAAGATCATAAATCTGTCTCTTTCTTCATTTATTGCTTTTATTATTTGATTATTTTCTTTTTTCTTATCTTTTGGATTACTTATTTTATCAGCCTTTAAATGCAAATGTATGCAAAGCTTAAAAAAAAAAAAGAAAAATGGGGTAATATCCAAGCCAGTGTTTGTTTGTTTTTTTGTTTTTTTAACTAAATTAGTAAATTAGTAGTTTAGTCTCTTCTAATTGGTGAGATTCGGAGTTTGTTCTGATAGGAATTTGGGTTGCTACACATTTCCTCTGCTTCTGCCTAATCCAAGCTAACCAGTTCTTTTTTCATCTTTGATATTATCCAGAGTCTCTTAAAAGGTATTGCTCATTTAATTTCCTACTAGTGATTGACAACCCTTTACCTCGTGGGCCAGCTTCAGATTGGAGAAATTTTTTTTAGGAAAAATGCTTTTCTGTCACCACTTACATTCAAGAGTGGAACAAATCTGTAACTTCTCAAGCACAGGACTGAATTGTTTGGTATTTGTGGTTTGCCACCCTGAAAAATCTGTGAGGCCTCAGACTCGTGTCATATCTTTTTTACATCTATCTTTTTATTTTATGTCATGTCCAAAAACCTATGGTAGGGAGTGTCACCCAATTAAACAGAGAAATGTATCAAGAAGAATTACTGATGACTGGCAATTACAAGATTCCACTTGCTCTGATTCGATTCTTGGAAATAAGAATTCTTTGATTAGTCAGAATTCATAGTCCTGTCACTTGTCTTAGTGAGCTCATCTGTTTTACATATACATATATGTATGTATAAAGTGAGAGAGGGAGGCAAAAAAAATCGTTTAATGTCTCTACTCTGTAGTAACATGTCTTTTTTTTTTTATAATGAGGCCTAAAGAGGAAATGGATAGATACGCTTAGAAGGTTAAATTACGACCAGGGCCAAAGAAAGCCTGGCACCCTGGCTCAGTTGTGGTTTGCATCATGAAAAGCAGCGAGCCTGCCAGGACGGGCCAGACCGCAGTCGCATGGCAGCCGCTGGATGTCTGACAGGGCGCAAATGGAGCGTGGCGGGCTAAGTTGTCGTGTCTTGACCGAGACGTGTGCTGTTCGGGATAACGCGTGACACGGGAGTCCGGGTGCTGATGCAGTCGGTCGTTTTCTGGTCGCTTTCCGAATCTCAGTTTGCAGAAACAGAGGTTAGAGGGACCAGAAGCCGGAGTCACCAAAGCGAATTAGGACAGGAAAAACACCCGGACTTACACAACTCTGATGTAATAACAGACCGGTAAAATTTAGCAAAATGTAAAACGGCCGACAAATAAAATGACAAAGTATATAAGTCTACAACAAGAAGAGATTTTTAACTCATTGACTGCCAGCCATTTTCAGAACAGAGAGTCCCACACTGCCAGAGTTTTTTTAGCATTTTGACAGATTTTTCAAGAGCCACAGAATAGTTTGTGCTGTGACTATGTAAACACCGAACGCACCAAAAGAAAGAGTAGACTCTCTTCTTTCATCAGGAAAAAGAATTTGTTTCTACCTTATTCCGTTCTTCCTCGACTTGCGTCTCACCGGCGCCATTTTTCGCGTAGCGAACCATTGCGTTTTTTTTATTTGCCTACAGTCTATGCTCATCTCCCATCAAAAGTGGCACAGCTACCTAGAGGGTCAATTTGTTAGTACATACTCTGTCTAGAAGCCTGATATTTACGGAAAACCTTTAGCCGATCGTCCCCCAAGCTACTCTCGTTGAAAAACATAAAAGACGTCTATAGACGTCTTTGGCAGCGAACGGTTGTATTTGAATTGACGTCTATAGGCGTCTTTGGCAGCCAATGAGTTAACATCAGGTGAGAGGAGATGATGCCAGTCGTGGGGCTACTTCTGTGGCTCTTAGCCCGGGCCTTTGGGAGCCCGCTGCCAAACATCTGTAAAACCCCGCCGAACGTGCCCCGACTTCAAAAAGACGGCTAATTCGGCCGTTAAGTTTAGCGTAACATCTGGCAGCGTCGTGCACCATCCATTTCCCCTCAACGCTCGGCGGAGATTAAGATCACGGCGGCGAGGAAAAGTGATTTATGCTCGGGCGTTTATCAAGCAGCCGGAAAAGCGACTCCAAATGTCTGCTTCTGCCGCCCCGTACCTACCGGCCCGAGGAAGCTCCCAGAAGGCCGTTCGCTAGCCCCTTTGAATGCATTTCCAACTATATATATATTTTTTTTCCTGTCTCGTTCCCAGCTGGCCTGAGGAGAAGTTTCCGCCTGGGCAGAAAAAGCAGCAGGGCCAGGAGAGCTGCCCGGTGCCGGAGGTGGAGCGCCGAGGTGCACGGTACCATCCGCCCCCCGACCTACATGGAAGTGATTCCCTACCGCCGGAAGCCAAAGGACCGACACCGTCTGGTGGTCCTGGTTGGTACGTGTGAGCTAGTCGAGCCCATTTGGATTTGAACTGAACTTAGCGGAATCGTCCATTATGGATTCATTCATCCATTTTTTGTTTAATTTAGGTTCAAAATCATAGCTTCATATTTGCTTCCCATGTGAAAAACAAGTTGTGAAGTAACTTAATGCGAGCAGGCTGAGAATCCATGGTGTCTTTACCGATACCCCTTCAGATCATGGCCTGTCCAGTCTTTTTTTTCATTTTTATTAAACTTTTTTTATCGATCAAGCTTTAAACACACACTAAAAAGGTCCACATAGTATGTTACACTGTCCTATTGTACATAGTTTCCCTATACGCCACCTTGACACAACAGAAAATATGGTCCAGAAAATAGAAGTAATGATAAATGGAAATAGAAATACAACGGCTGTCATCAGATACACCTTATGTCCCTTTCCTGTGTACCCAGAAATCATCCCAGATCATCCGTTTCTCATCATTCAGCCTTTCCAGCATACTCTCATAAGAGGCTGCTTCAATTACAGCATTGACCCAGTCTTTTAATTCCAAAGTTTTAACACACTTCCAGTTACGTCGAATAATTCTTAACGTTGTGACACAGCAGAGTTTTACTGTCCAGTCTTAAGAAATGGTAAATATCCCTTTCACAGGCTTTGTTGTGAGGGGAAAAGTGACTAATCTGTGAATGACTGATATCTGAAAATATGAACATATGAACCGTAGCGATCAACTGCATACGTAACATCATAGAATATTTATGTATCCCGAGATTATTCTAAGTAACTGTGGTGTTGCACAAATAAAAGTGCTGCCATGGTCAATTGTATTGTTTTATATGGTCCCCCCCCACCCTTTTTTCCCATATAAAAAGTTCTAAGAACTGTGATCCCATTCAGTAAAAAGGACAGCTTTATGGAAGCTGTTGTTGATCAAAAGAAAACGCTCAGCATTGATGAAGATTTATGTTCCCGGTCCAGAGCGCAAGACGAACAATCCTTTCCCATCAGAACCACGTAAACACTGTCAAAGGACTCCCAGTCAGAAAAATATTGTGTTCTCTTAAGTTACGCAGCGGCCCACCCCAGATTCACTTCCCTGCCAATCTTGCAGGTCTGCTCTGTGTAGTTTTGAGCTATATCTCTCCCCGGGGGGAATTTATATTGAGCACCGCTGAATGTCTTTTTAATGTCATATTAGGATACAGCTTCAGGTCATCTGTGCCTGGACTGAGAGACGGAAAGAGAGGTAAACACACATTGAGAGCAGAAAGGAAGACATCACGAGGACAAAGGAGGTGCATCACAAAAACAAAGTGAAGAAAATGGACATAAAGGACAGAAAAACGGAGTCAGAAATCTAACAGAAGATCACTGTGTCAGCCCAGTTCTTTTTCATTACACTGGAACAGTTAAGACAGCTTGAATCTACATTCAGAGCTCTTTATCTGCGCCGGAGCTTCCACCCACTCTGGCTTAGGTTTTACTGTCCGCTGTGAGGGCTCTTCGTTGACCGGAGGTCATCATTAGGAGTATATTGCATATTGGCAATAAAAGATACGAACAGGAAAACCAAATCCTGGATCGTTAATCCAGGACCAGCTGGATAATGTTGGACTCTGTCAGAGATATATCCCCCGTTTGCACTGCGTACGCATTTCCAATGAAACAATAGACCCTTATGCCCCAGGAAAGCTTGTCAAAGTCTCTGCCAGCCACTTTAAGCCCACAGATCGTGTAACCCTCACAAAGGTTCGCTTTTTTTTTTTCTTCCGAAAAGAAGACGTCGTACACAGAGTCTGATGATGCTCCCCTCCGCTTCAGCGGGGCAGCTGTGGAAGCCATCAGCACCGGGAGAGTAGCGAGTCCATTAACTTGATATTTTGTAATGTATCAAGCTCATGCAAACCCGGTGATGGAAAAGGCAGCTATGTCAGGAATCCTACTTTTAGACTGCGCTCCATTAGAGGCTGATGCAATCTGGGGCTGCACAAGGCCCGAGTTGGGAGAAAATCCCAGATGCTGCAGCCCCGTGTGTGTGTGTGTGTGTGTGTGTGTGTGTGCGTGCTTATGCAAGCGCCCCATCCTTTGCATCCTACACTATAGCGACACTGATCCAGCCCCACATTTGCAGATGTCGCATTTTTCGATACCATGTTATGGATTTTCCAGAAAGTATAGGATAATTAAAAGTCGAACAGGCAGATGCAGACAGAGGGTGGTTTGTGCATCATTCTCAAAGAGAAATCAGAATGAAATCAGAGCCCCCGCTCTGTCTGACTTTTTCTCCCGCTCTCCCTCTGATGGTAAAGACAGATGGGTCATTTAGCGTTGGGCTTGTCTTAAGGAAAGCATTACCGCACCGTGATGCGGAGAATTAATCCCCGCGTTCGGAATGACGCGTCTTGATCTCTTTTTTTTTTTTTCTTCTCCAGGGCCCGGCGGCGTTGGCGTGAGCGAACTGATGAGGAGGCTGGCCATCTCGGACCCCGACCGCTATGGCGTCAGTGTACCGTGTAAGGCAGACGAGCTCAGGTTTCCCCTCACCCCCTTCCGCTCACATTTCCCAGGCCTTCATGCCGCCCTCGTCTCCCTGTCTTCCAGACACAACACGTGAGAAGAGGCAGCAGGAGACCGAAGGGGTGGATTATCATTTTGTACCCGTTCATACATTCGAAGAGCACATTTTGAACCACAGGTATGGTTAAAAAAAAGCGGGTTAGCCTGCTGTAAGGGTCTGCTCACCGGGCTCTAAAGGAGCTGTAAGACAGCTGCAGAACATCCAGAACCAGGAGACACGACCACATCAGTCCAGAGCTCAGGTCTCTGCACTGGCTTCTGGTCACTCAGTTAACTTTAGAAAAGCTCTGCTTGGGTACAAGTCTCTGCTTGGCCATAATACATTTCTGAATTGTTAGAGCCCTATGAACCAGCTCGGACTCTGAGAACCTCGGGTTCTGGTCTCCTGCTGGTCCCCAGAGTCAGAACCAAACGAGGAGAGGCTTCATTTCCTCCTAAAATCTGGAACAGTCTTCACAAAATGTGCCAAGCTAATAAACTTGGCTGGCTTTGTTGTGTAGCATAGCCAATGGTGAACTCTATCCCCCTCATGGCTCCCCGGACTTCCTTCTGCTGTTTGAAAGCCACCTCTTGCAACCACCTCACCCTAGTTTTCTCCTGGTATCCCTCTCTGTCTCTCTCCTTCTAGATTTGTAGAGTACGGGCGTTACAGAGGTCACTATTATGGAACAAGTCTGGACTCCGTGCGCAGGGTGATGGCTAAGGACAAGGTGTGCCTCCTGGACCTGCACCCCAGCGTAAGCCTTTTGTATCCCAGAAATAAGAGGCGCCAAATGCTTCAAACTTGTGCTTCACAGACTGGTTTCAGAAAAGCTTTGAACTTAATAAAAGTCCAAAATGGGCAAGGCCACAAATAGAATTATCTTCCAGCAGTAGACTGTTAATATTTCCATTTCAATCACTGGGACTTCATATTATTGCCTTTAAAACACATGAGAGTGGTCAATAATCAGAGAAAATGTATGGAAAAATCCACTCGGGCCGCACACCTCAGCAGCCATGTTTCAAATGCCGGCCGTGACGTGACCTCCTGACCTCTCCCTCCTCCTCCCTGCCTCGATTTTCCAACACAGAAAATAAAGCACGTGTACACGAATGAATTCAAGCCGTACGTGGTGTTCGTGAAGCCGCCGCCCTTCGAGGAGCTGCGGCTCACCAGGCGGAGGGCCAAGTTCGTGTGCGACGGGGAGGACGCCGGCCAGGCCAGGACCTTCTCGGTGAGCCTCAGAATCCCTGCGTATCCCACTTAACTGGCGTGTCGTCGTCGATGTCGAGAGCGCCTCCTTACTCTTCACAGTGTCTCCTCCAGGGCGGCGTCATTCTTATGTTAAAGGAGACATATTATACCATATTTCAACAAGTTAAACCAGTTCCCTGGTGTCCTAATGTAATGTCTGTGACAAGCTTTTGTCAAAATACCATAAAAATTAAGCACAATAGCAGTCTTTTCACCCTGCCAAAACAGCCCCATTCAGAGTGCTTGGTTTGGAGTGCCTGTCTCTTTAAATGCAAATGAGACAAAGGCAACCCACCCACTTCTTCCGGGAGGTGTGCCCACGTCGGCACGCTAACGCTACCATGCTAACGCTCAAGGGTCAATTTGTTAGTACATACTCTGTCTAGAAGCCTGATATTTACGGACAAGCTTTAGCAGATCGTCCCCCAAGCCACTCGCGTTGAAAAACATAAAAGACGTCTATAGACGTCTTTGGCAGCCAATGAGTTAAGAGAGACTCTCTTTGTGCAAAAAACTGGAACGAGTAAGGCTGATTGTGTTACGGCAAACTGTCGCCTCCATTGAAATCGTGTCATTTTACATTGTCGTTAGTAGGGGATCGCCCTTGTGTCGTCAACATCCCTTGGACATGCATGGCACGTCTGGCTTACCCCAAAAAAAGAGATCCTGGACATCTTGAACCTCCTTTCGCAGTGTAGACTCTAGGAGGTGTGTGCGTGGTCGGGGGCTTTGCAGCCTGTGGGCCGGGCGCCGGGTCAAAAATGCTCCGGCCTTTTCGACACAAAGCCCAGCCCCTCCGACACACCTCGCTTTGCACATGGCCGACCAGGTGGTTTTCGGGTGGTTTAAATCTGGAATCTGGAAATATGAATCAGTTCTCGGCCGCCCCAGTAGCGTGGACGTTTGCGTTTGAGGAGGGTACACGTGGTATCACTTGGACAAAACCGGGCCGGGCCGCTCTACCGAGGCCCATATGGTCTCGCATTCAGTGTTTGACCCCGGCTGCCCACGTGGCCCTTATTAAACCCGCGGGGTCACACACCTGGGCTCCTGTGTGGCTTTGGCGGTTCGGCCGGTGCCGAGCATCGTGATCCTTGAAGAGTTCAAGCCCGTGTGAAAGGTCTGTTTTCAGCTCCTGGCACAGGTGGTGTGAAAGAGTCTCCTGTCCTTTACACCCAGCATGTAACGACGCGTTATGCCTCGGTCCGCGTAGCTCACCGGTCACTCTCCGTATCCTATTGTGTTACAGTATTTGCAGATTACGGTCAAACAAGCACTTTTTTCAAGGTTGTTCAAGGCGCCACATTGCCACATTTTGAATAGCATGTGCACATTAGGACAACCGCCGTCCCTCAAAAGGAGATTTCTTGTTCGGCTCGACAGTTAAGGGAGGAGACGCTGGTCAGAGAGGGTTTTTTTTTTTCCCCTTTACAACAGCCTCTGCTCACAGCTGCTTTCTTGGTTCACAGGAGGAGGATTTGAGGAGCATGATCGATCTGGCAGAAAGCATGGAGAGCCAGTACAGTCGCGTGTTTGACCGGGTGATCGTCAACGGGGACATCGCCGCCGCTTTCAGAGATCTGAAGGCCGACCTCGAGAGGATCCAGGAGGCAGCGGTCCAGTGGGTTCCCGCAGAGTGGGTCAGCAGCTCGCCCGGAAAAGAGTGGAGAAGCTGCAGCCATCTGACCGGCTGGATCTGAACTCCCATCTCTCTTTTTTTTTACAGCTACATATGCAGAAATTTCATGTTAAGGTTTTACGAACAGAACTGAACACGTCGAGTTCGATTCCTCTTGTCTTTTGAAAAATTTTCCACAAACTCTCCACCTTTTTTTTCCTGTAACTTTCCTAAAATGCATCTCCCTTTTTTTTTTCCTCCCTCCCTCCCTCCGTCTCAGTGCCAGTTTCTATGCTGGCATGGAGCTGACACAACTTCAACTCCGAGGATAAAGAAGAGGGGAAAAAAGAAAAAGAAAAGCCCCAAAGCCTGCGGCTGAGTGTTGTCTCTCCCTGCCAAGTTGCAAACATCAGCATGTAATTATTCTGACAGCTGCTGCACCTCAATTAAGTGTAATATACACCAGAGAAATATTACGAGCAGCAGTCGGGGGAGGAATCGTGCCAGCAGCACGCTGTTTGAAACACAGACCCAAGCCCGATAACAATAATAAACCACAGATTAAGCACTATGAATATCTCATAAATCTGTAAAGGTGTCAGCTCCAGTTAAAATGTATTGTGCACTAAGAACAAGCTGAGTAAATTAAAAACATGAATAACAGACAACATTTCACCAATAGTGACACCATTGTGGTAAACAGCCTTTTTTAATTTATTTTCTTTTTCTAATTTTTTGCTGTAATGGTCTATGCCGAGATGAGGCTTCTTCCTTGGTTGTTTCACCTGCTATCCTGCCATCCTAAGCAATCCCGACCATTTTAAAGTGCTTACAAATGTGCACGCTTTCGCCATTATTTCATAAAGGACCACGTCTGGAATAGCAGTGGTTGACCTTTGACCTGGACCACGCAGGCTAAACATGCTTTAATCAACCTTTTGAGGCTGGAGCTGCTTTCCCACAGCATTCAGACCAAAAGTTTTATCGCTGTGTCTTAAATCCTAATGGACAGAATCATTAGGCGATCAACATGCAATTGACATTTACAACCATTAAGCTTCACTTGGGAGGAATGGCCACTTTGTCTGGCATGTTTGGGCTGATAACAATTTGTCTAATCTGCTGTCTACCCAAAGACTAAATTCCTATCAATCTCTATTATTTACTATTGTCAAAGTCCCCCTAATTGCTCCTATCCTATTGGAGTTGCTGAAAAATCCTTCAATTATAAGGACCCTAGATCGTCCATTGTCATCCCCCTTGATTTCTAACAAGCTATCTTTGCATTGTGGGTCCTTTTTGTCTCCACTCTGTCTTTGGCTACCTTACACAATGTACACCCTGCTTTTTATATGTCTTAGATCAGCTATGTTGAAGCATCCTTGGGCCTGACATGGTGAATGTGGAATGTCTATTTCTGTGGTAGAACACTGAACAAGTGTTCATGCCAACCGAGGTTTTGTAAATCTTGTCCGGGTCTCTTTTTACTTACCTTTGTTCCCTTGTAACCTGATGTGAAATGTGCCAAGCCTGGAACATATGGAGAAAAAAAACACGCAACCCCAGTGCTACCATAGACATGTCTGCTACAGTACAAGGAGGTTGCCCCTAAGGAAAACCAGGAATTCTCCTCCTCCTGGAGAATTACCTGCCGACCTCTCCCACTTCTCACCCCCTGTTTATTCATCAAAATATTCCACTCTAAATAAACCATTTCCCATTTGACTCGCCTGTCTGTCCAAGTCTTTTGTTGGACCCTGCTTGTGTACAAAACCACAACGTTTTATAGTCCAATAGCCCAGCTGTTGGCCAGTCTCCTCCTCTCATTCACATATGGTGCTTAATCTAAATCTTTTTAATGGCTGCATTCCTTCCTCTCTTTTGGATGCTGTGCTCAATTGGGTGTGAAGGAGTGTTAATGTGTCTATCATGTAGTATTTGGGGAAAAAGGGAACGGGGGTGTCGTGTGGGAGTGGTTGGGGGGGCCGCAATGGTCTTCAAGGGACTCAAGGCTTCACAAACGCACAGAGAGAAGTTATGAGCGCTCATAAAAGCCTACTGTAAAAGTGCAGCGAGGCTCCACGCGCTGGATTAGCGGCAGGGGCAGGTTTAGGGTCAGCGTTGGGAACAGCGAGGTGCACGGGACTGCGTCCAGACGTGTTGACCGGTGCGTTGGCGTGCCCGTCCGGTCGCCACAACACACAAACGGTCCACCGAGAGACAAAAGGTGACGCTCCTGCCAGGCCCAAGGCCTACCGCCCCCCCCCCCCAACCCGCGCCGACCAGGAGCCAGGAACCTGGCGGCGTAATTTCAGCCCGCCGCTGAGAATCTGCAGGCACCCTCTGAGATCATAACGGCACCATTAAAGACGCGGAGCGGTCCAACCAAAACCCGGCCCTTTTATACATCCACTCCGGCTCCCACTTCAAACATTGCGCACAAAAGGATGATGTCAAGCGGTCTCGGCTAATTTGGCCCATTCGCGGAGCCGTCTGCGCGAAGTTTGTGAAAATAAATAAGGCGTGCCTTGAACAATGTCTTTATTTTTTCTGGGGAAGTGCACGAGAAAAGCAATGTAGATTTGTACAGTGTATACTGGGATTTAGCCGGTATACAGAGCATACATAGCAGCTAAAGAGGGAAAAATATTGTAAATATGCAGACAATGACGCATATTTATGAAATTAAGTGCATTTAAATATTTCCAGTGATTATCATTTGAATCCCTGAACAATAAAAAGCACCCATAATTAACCATTTTAGCTTGCATTTTTATCAATTTTATATTTATTCTCTATATCTTTTTGTGCAGCACTTTGGAAACCTTGTGTTTGTTGAAATCGTGCTATATAAATAAAGTGGATTGGATTGGATTGCATCTTGAATCACTAAATCCAGTTTGCTTTTTAAAATTTCTTCATTTGCTCAAGATGATCAGGACCTGATTTTTAATCAAGAACTTCCACCATAATTAAGTGATGTTTGCCACTTAATAAGTATGTATCTGTAAGGATATTCCAAGATTTTACCCTTAAAAAACTGCAGGGATTTCTTTCTGTGTAGCATGTAACACAACAGAAAGCAGTAGATGACTCACTTTTAAACCAACAAAAATGGGAGCTCGTGCAAAAAAAAAAGTCAATTTGAAAACCATATCCTCTACCTTGCTACAGTGTTGCTTTTTTTTTTTTAATAGGTCAAGGTTTGGTTAAACTGTAAGCCATACCGCTGTCGGTGGAGACAAAAAAAAAAAATGTGCCCGGATGTCTAAATAAAACATAACGTATGTCCTTCCAGCGTGTTTTTTACTGCTCTCCTGGCTGTCGAATGGAGGCGTGTTCCCAGCTAGTGTCAACAGTCTAGCCGGTGAACACAGCACAGAGGGACGGGGGGGAAATGGAGTGTGTGATAGCATGTAGCATTCTCAACTGCTGCTGAGGAATGTGAGGCAGGAATTTACTGCACCTACCGGGGATGCTTCTGCTCCATGTGTTTTTCAGCTTTTGAAAGGAGTGAAACTCCATCTCCCCGCTGATACCGCTGAATTATGAACATGAGGGCTGCTTCTCGAAGTTTTATATGCGCCGGACAAGTGCTGCTGGGGTTTTAGGCTCAGCTTCGAAAAGCCCGATTTGCCCTGGGAAGACAGAAACACTTCTTTATTAGAGTTTCTTTAAAGATGATCGCGGTCCAGTTATACCGAGTCTGTCATGGAAGCGCGTTGCCTTCCAAGAGACAATCAGACGTATCATATCACAAAGTATCATACAGTCAAGTGGTGAGCTCAAAGCCTGCATGTTGTCATCTACTTACACTAATGACAATAGGAAACTTCTGTCAGATTGGATTTACGTAACTGTGCACAGTCCCAGTTACCCTAAAATGGAGACTGACTCCGACATATGTGGACTTTATCGTTAGTTTAAAGCTGCCCACGAAGACAGACTCAAAAAGTCTGAGAATAACACACATGTGCAGGGCATTTTCTACTCTAACCGGCCTTTCTGGAGGGACGCTTTGCGCCGAGATCCTTTTAAAAAGGAGCGGAATCCACTCTGTAACCCAAAGCCCGACTCTTGTGGGCTTCTTTTTTTTTGTTTTTCGACGGCTATTAGCAGCCGTGTAATTACACCCATAAATCCGCCGAATCCCCTGATAAAACATGGATTATTATTTGCTGACATGATTTTTAGTCGCGCCGCAAGAGCCGCGAGGATCGTTCCTCATGGAGAAAATATGAGATGCTCGCGCTGCTCGGCGGGCAGCGCAGTCACACCAGATGAAACCTCCCCAGTAAATCAGACGGGCCGGCCCTCGCTGCTGCTCTTTTCATGTGTAATAATTCTCCTATCCCAAAGAGCTGCTGCTTTCCTCTCCTCTGCAGGTCCCCCCCACCCTCGCAAAGCAGAAGGGATTGGACAGCGCCGGGGCCAATAGGTGGGGGGAGTAGGCAGGTTATTTGAACTCCTCTCACAGCTCAGCTAAAACCAGACAACATCATCGAACTTTCTGAAACATTTTTTGCCCCCGAGTACGTGCCCGCCTGTTATCTGCTCCCTCGGACGACCTCCTTTGTTGTGCTTTTTTACTTAACTGAGCAACCCCGGTGGGGAATGGGAGTCTACGGTGGGCGCATGAACCCGGGAGTCTACTGATGCACCTGCCCACCGAGGGGGGAACCGCCGCGCGTCTGAGAATGGACGAGGCCGCCGCCACGAGGTCCGAGGCTCCGCTTCAATCGGAGGACGGCGGGAGGGAGGACGGGAGCAGATATAGCCGCCCGGACCTGCAGCAGACGGCTTTAACAGACCCACACCCACACCACGCGGACCTGCTGCCAGGCCGGGACGCCAGCGAAAACAGCTCCGCCTTAAAGTACAGAAGACCCGGGTATGGTTTGGGAATTTTGTACTTTGGTTGTCTTTTTTTTATGGCATGATCAAAGAGGAAACAGGGTTATTATGTGTCGTAATTCGCTTGTCAAATCCTTGAATGTCCGTGACTGAAGGACAACAGTAAACTCTTTTAGTCACGGACAATCAAACGAAAGACACACCGATAGGTCCGACTGCATGATTCCGGGTTGCTAACGGCCCTCTAAAGAGAGAAACCTGTTTCAGTTTGAGACTAATTGGCCCCGCGGAAGGGTTGAAACCGAGCAGTCCGCAGCGATGATTCCAGCTGGCTCTCGACTCCCTTAGATCTCGTCTGAGCGGGGTCAAGGTGCGGCACAAGAGGCAGGTGCTGCAGGACATGGCCCGGCCGCTCAAACACTGGCTCTACAAGCACCGGGACAACCCCTACCCCACAAAGACGGAGAAGGTCCTCCTGGCTCTGGGCTCGCACATGACGCTGGTGCAGGTAAGAGGACGGAAAGCCGAGGTTTCTTTTTTTTTCCCCAACGTCCCCTAAAACCGATCGCGACCGCTGCAGGTTTCCAACTGGTTCGCCAACGCCAGGAGGAGGCTGAAGAACACGGTGAGGCAGCCGGACCTGAGCTGGGCCCTGAGGATCAAGCTGTACAACAAGTACATCCAGGGCAACGCCGAGAGGCTGAGCGTGTGCAGCGGCGACACGGACTCGGGCGGTGAGGGCGTTCTTCCATCCGTAACGCTCGAAAAGCAACCACCACCCACCACTGAGTATCGGTCAACCCGTCCCGCTTTGGGTTTTTTCTCCCCGGCAGATGAAGACTGCAACCTGCCGGCTCCCATCGGCCAGTCCGGCTTCGGGCGGCCGGCGCCCCTCCAGGAGCAGGGCGCCGTCCTGGCCATCGCCGAGGGCGACGACGGCGCCTCGCCGCCCTCCAAGTACAAGAGCAGCCTGCTGAACCGCTACCTGAACGACACGCTGCGCCACATGATGGCGGCGGAGGCCGGGGGCATGGCGGCGGCGGCGGCCCGAGCCAGGAGGAGCCACTCCGAGTCCTTCAGCTCCAACGACGGCGACCGCGACGTGGCCTCGCCGGCCTCCTCCTACGAGACCGAGGCCAACTTCATCTACCGCATGGGTGAGAGAACTCCCTTTTTTTTGTATCCCAGGGCGGGTTGGGTTTCGTTCTTGGTGACCAGCCGGGTGGGGTCAGGGGGTGGGGGTGGGCTTGTCTGTGATCATCATAGCCAAGTAGAGTCATCGACGTAATAAGGAGTGCGCCGAGATGAATGAAAACGTCCCCCCGTCTAAGACACCATAAAAGCATCTTTCTCGTTAATTGGAGATTAATGCTGAGTGTGAGGCACGCTGACAGTTTAACTGCCCCGTTTCCCCCCTCGGTTCTGTTTTAACACACCGCAGTGAACAGTAAAATAAGAACAGGACGAACAGAAAAACTTCCACTTGGCTCGTCCGAGCTCCCTGACATTTATAAATCTCTGGCATTCCGCTGGAAGTCAGAAGCTCGGCGAGATTCAATCACACGTCTCCCGGCAAAAGCGGGTTTGACACCCGAGTGCCCTTTGGAAGCCATAAAGGAGCACTGCGCTCTGACAAGCTTCAAATCGGCAAAAAAGCGCAGCGGCCAAAAGCCCCTGCAAAACATCCCTAATAAAGACTCAGGCAGACGCTGAAATCCCTCATTTCAAATTTGGAGCGGGCTCGCGCTGGCTGCCACTGAACACCGCAAATATCATTTCCATATACCAGAATGTGCCATTTGTTCCGCTTCAGCTTCGAGCCACGATGGAAATGTACAGTCCGGTCTCAAGGACAATTACAGAATGTCTGAGACTTTATTCCTCCCAGGGTGAGAAACCGAGGCCTCGGCCAAGAGGAGAAATGGAGCAGTCGGTAAAACACTGAGGACGTCTTGTAGCACGGCTGTAAGAGCTGCCACTCAAGTGTGGGACAAGTCGGCAAGATCCCTAATATTCATTTGGCTCGTCTGGTCGGCGAGGGTGTAGCTTATTTGTTCCATCGCATGTGTGTTTTGGCTGTATGCTTCCCCCAAGTGTTACTTTCCCACTCACAATCAGTGTATAACACAGCGCAGAGCAATGAAAACACGTCTGACTCCAGTCGTAGTCCTCAGCTCTAAGGTTTCACCGAAAAATTAAACAAGACATGCTTAACTGTTTCTAAACTCATTTCCTGGCAGGAAAGTTGTTCCGATCTGACAGAGGTGTGGATATCTTCATAATCTATGCATGGAACAGTTCAAATGAGGGACTGCTTTAAGTGTGAAGCGGTTGCCTAATGGAGGAAAAATTCAGAATCTAAGGAGGAAACTGTTGAAATGAACAATGATGTTTTCATCCCGTGTGAACAATTATTGCATTGCTGAAGCTATTACGAAACGAAATGATCACTTTACGACTAATTCAACTCATATGAAAAGAACAACTTTAAGGCAAAGCTTCTCGTTCTCCTCAATTTCTTTCGGAGACGCTTAAATGATGGAATCTTTCAAGTCAGCGCACCGCACGATTAGCAAGTTAAGCTAGCTAGCCTTGCTTACTGGGTTCAAGATATCACCAATTATAATAATTATAAGCAAACTACAAGAGTTTGCTTATAATTAAGTATTGCCTATATTTGCTGAAAAAGGTATAAACCGGTTTGTCTTTTTCTGTTTGTTTCTTTGAAGCGTGCAAAGCTACAGACAATTTTTAGTTTGGAAATCCTGTCTTTACGTTCATAGTGTCTTTAAGACACTGATCATCGGAAAATTTAGTTGTAATTTCAGTAAAAATATAAAACACCCACCACCTGTAAGTGGAAATCAAAATGGGGAGGGGACAAAATAAAACCTTTGTCCAGGGTTTATTACAGGTTCAAAAGTCAGCAGCTTTACCGTATTAGTCCTAAAACGTGGTGACTTTGTTGGGCCATCACTCATGTAACATACGGACAGCATCAATTTTAGCTCTTGTATTTTGACATTCAATATTTCACAAGTTTAGGGACACATTTGGCAAGCCAGCCCCCGTATCCTTCTCACCACATGTTTTGCTCTTGTATCTGGTTGAGTAATTCAGAAATCCCAGAAAACTGAGTAAGGGGGGGAAAAAAATAACAATCCCTTCACTGTGGCTGATGTACTGTTCACATGTAAAGACTTTACAGTGTGGACACCACATGAAGTTGTGTGGGAGCCATTGGTTCCCACCTGTCTCCACAGAGCTCCGGTGTGATGTTACGTTCGGAAACCGGAATACCGCCACAAGAAGCAAGAAGCAGTTGGTGTGAGGTTTTAAAACAACCACTTTTGGTTGCGTCACAGCTAAATGCTAAATAGCTTTTTTTTGGATTGGGCATGTCATCTCTCGACCACTTTTTCTAATGAACACTGGACAAGGACATCCCCCTATGTATATCCTACATACTTCACACTGTTTATGTAAACCCTTTGTCAAAATATGGTACCTAATTAAGTCTAACTTTGTCTTTCACCCAGCCTCTAGCCTGATGTCCACAGGCCCCATCTCCCGCCCCCATAAGGATTGAGCTTTATCTTTCCATATGTCATTTTTTAAAAAAAATCTGCATTGATCTTTCAAAGTAGAGCATTTGTGAACAGTTACACAATTAAGCTCCACTCAGGGAAACCTTAACCCGGTGCTCAAATAAGCAACCTCCATACTTTTTCTGACATGTGCTCACGTTTGACGTCGTCCGACAGCCCAAAAAGCCCCCAGAAACGCACATCCGATCGTTCAACCAGCTGCTTTTAATACAGCCGCGTCGATTTTTTTCTGACGGCAAAGTCGTTTTTCTTTCTTTCTTATCAAACCTTATTTTCTCGGAACCCCGACCCGATTATTTCGACGCTTTCCGTGCTCGACCTCGACCTCGGCCTCCGGCGATGTTATCCCCCCCGCTCCCTCCGGGCTGAGATGTTTGCTCAGGCTTCTGATATATCCCCGCCGGTCGTGTCAATCCTCGGTGGAGGTGGAACGAAAAAGTCAAGCTGCCTGAGTTACGGCTGCCACTAGCGCCATTAACACGTTTATGCTCTGCCCGGGAGACGACTAAAGCGGCCACTAAAGCGAAAGTGATTTACTAATAAGTGATGCCACTTCGCCGCGCGCCGCCAGTCCCACAGGTCATAAAAGCCAAACAGATTTTCCTTGTTGCTGGATGGGAATGCAGACGCCCGCGTAGCGTAGTTACTCACATCGAGTTTAGTGTTTCCCTTAAAAAGGGCCGGGGGGCCGTAAAGGTGACCGGAACGGTGTTTTATTGGATGTGGAGCAGCGCAAAAACAAATCCGGACGAAACGCCTCAGCGAGTTTTTCCACTCGTCAGGTGGCGCGCAGGCAGGGTGGGAAGTCTCTGTGGGGAGAACGGCCCGGTGATACCGGCCCTGGAGGCCGACTGCGGGGCAGAACATTTAAATCCACTCGGGGTCGCTCCTGGAGGGTGGGCCTGTAGTTTCGCGCAAAACCGTTCGCTCAGATTTTCCCTACACGGTTGATCGTTTTACACCTAAATGGGTTTTTTTATTTTAAATTTGGCTTCTGCCTTTTATTCTGTCATTTGTGGGAATCCGGCCGTCCTCCTGTTCCTATGGAAACGGTCCCACTGTCAGATTCAAGGCCCTAAAAACGGCCACCGAGGCCCCTTTTTCGGATCCTTGAAATGCCCGTAAAGGCAGCGTCCTGTGTCCAGTATGTGCAAGCCCGGGGTGTGAGGACAGTTAAACGGCATGCTGCAGACACAGCTTGAGGCTGCTTAACGGTAATAAAGCTGCAGCTTTTTCCTTTTTACGCGTCGCTTTTCATCAACAAATCAATGCAACATTTCCACTGACGAGCTTTAGAGGCAGACCTGCCTCCAAACACCTTGACCTAAAAAAATATATATATACCATAAAAAAGCTAAATAGACTGGTCAGCCAAAAGTGGAAGTATGTTTTTCTTACGTTCTCGTTTTTAGCGAATACTTCGTGATTGATTTCGGCTTTAAAGCGAAAGCAACTGAACACGGTCGCCAATTCAACACATTGACACAATGGAGGAGCTGTGAGCAGATTCATTAGCCCTGGTAGTGTAGAGGTAAAACAACGTTTTTTTCTCGGCAATAAATACATCAGAGGTACATAACTGCTTTCTTGGCTAGACGCGTTGTAGTTGCGAGACATTCAGTAGCTGAAAAAAGAAAAGAAAAAAAAAGAGGAGAAAAAAATAAACATTCAAATGATTTACTATCAGTAAGAGGCTGCTTTTGGCTCCGGCCTGCGTAAAAAAGGAGGCAGGGGAGGGTGGATTTCGGGGGCTGTTAGCACTGAAAGGCTGCGTTTCAGCTGTGGGCCTCTAATTTCCCCCCGTCCATTGCTCTCTGAAGAAAAATCCATTTTGACCGCCGTCTATCTGCCCCAGTGAAATAAGGCTGTGTTCCAAAGCTCGGATGGAAAGTGCGTTCTACAAATATTGCACGTGTACGCACAGACCGCGGACATAAATCGTACGGGCAGTGTAATATTACCCCAAAGTCTCTTTTTCTGTCCCTCCAGCTCTCTTCCTCCTCTCCTTAAACACACAGAGAGCTTCATTTCGGGGTTGTGTGTAAACATCTAACCCTTCATTCGTCCGCAGTTGGCGGGCCGAGTCGTCCGAAAAAAAGTTCGAACGACTCCGAAATAGCCCGTTAGCGTAGATAATGAGCGCACGTGTTGTGTTTGGGTTGAGGAGCTGGGCCGGGCCCACCGTGGCTCTATTCATGTGGGAGGCCGGCGAATACCTGGCTCACCCGGGAGCACCGGCACCGTTTTCCCCCTCCCCTCGTGTTCCCTCAACCGCAAAGTTCAAAGAGAACTCTCCCCGTCCAGAAAAGCCACCGTATCCGTCAATTCTAGAACTTCGTGGCACATCCATCCATCCGTCCATTATCGTTACCGCTTATTCCCTAATGGGGTCGCGGAGAGAACTGAAACCTATCCCAGTGGCCGATGGGCGAGAGTAGGGGTACACCCTGGATGGTCCCCAGTCCATCACAGGGTCACACAGAGACACACAAGGACCAACAGCCACACACACTCACTCTTAAGGGCTATTTGGAATGTCAAATCAATCTAATATGCAGGTTTTTGGACTGTGGGAGGAAGCTGGAGAACTTGCAAACTCCACACAGAAAGGTCCTGGGTTCCCCCGGGATTTGAACCGTGGAACTCCGTGCTAACCACCACGCCACCGTGCCGCCCCTTCGTGGCACATTTGGTCAGTTTTTCTTTTTTCTCTTTTCGCAGACACGGTGGACTATTCCTCGACCAAAAGCGACGGGTATGTAGGATCAAATCCCTCTATCTCCGTCAGTCCAGCTTTGCGCGAGGAGGGGGAATCGCCCACCAAACGCAGTCTGCGTCTCTTTGAAAGTCTCCGCAGGGGCCAGCCCCAGGGCCGGGGCCCCCAGGCCTGGAGGGAGATCCACGCCGCCGTGGCCCTCACCAGCCTGGCCCAGGGGCCCAGCTCGGCGGCCGACCAGAGCGCCCCCCCCGTCGCCCGGGAGCCCTTCTGCCTCTCCAGGACGGCCGTGGCGGACAGGGGGTTTGTGGGCGGGGCCCCATCGGCCCCCAGGCCGCCGGCCCAGGCCCTCACGAGCCGCATCATCCAGAGGTCCTCTCACATCTCCGAGGTTCAGACTGTCAAAGTTTCCCTGGCCAACAGCGGCTAACCGGTAGACCCCACCCACCCGGGACCCCAGTGTTGCAGTATAGACTATGTACAGAATAACGTTTTGTAATGCTGACTCAGCTTTATGTTTTCAGTCTTTTCTCTTTTATATTTTTTTTGTAAAATCCAAACGCTAACCTGAAGGTGAACACGAAAAAAATGAATGTTTTTGTCTCCATATTCTTAACGTGCCTTGATGTCGCAGTAAGTTATATTAACTTCCAGGAGACCGGACCATCATCCAATGACCACGCAGCCGTTTGAATAAAGCCAATGTGAAATCCTCTGCCCGGGTCTTTGAATCATTGCCGAGCTGTATTTAGCGGCGCGGCCTTTTCGGCGCGCGCGCTTCCTTTCATAGCTTTCCAGACGGCGGCTTGAAACGTTGCATTGCGGATAGAAGGACGGCGAAGAAGAAATCACTCATCTAGAATCTCCACAGCGCCAGCTGCCCAAAAGGAGGATTCTCAAACCTCACCAATAACACGCCAGACAAATGCCAGGGTCGGGATCGGGGAGTGAAGTGGGCAAAAGCTTGAATCTGACAAGACGGCGCTCTCGTTTCCTCTCACTAAAGAGCCCCCGTTCTGTTTTTGATCAGCAAGTTCTGTGGAAAAAAACCCCCCAAAATAACCACGATGATACTCAAAAATGCGATCATGGCATTTAGTCTGGGAGGAGTTTCCTTAAAGCAGGATGATGAGTGAATCCAAGTGGAACTGTGATCATGTTAAACTTTTTTTTTTCTAAATGTTTCAGACATGGGCATGTTGGTCGACTCCCAACGTGTTTTTTATGCCTTCAGTAGTAGCAAGTCTTCCTTTTGCTAGAGCTAGCTTGTCATTTCATTGGTTCCTCTAAGGATTAATTCAGTTGGCATTACAGGTAGGTGGGATTCAGTGTGTTTAATAACAAAATATATCAAACTTATGCCTAATTTTGCTTCTTGCAACCCAAGAAAAATCTCCTGCAAACACAATAAATGGGTGAAAACCTGCATTTTTAACTAAAGGGCGACAGTAAATGAAGCAGGAGACATTCTTTCTGTCGAAAAGACCAAAAAAATAGATGTTTTTTCAGTGTTTGGATAGAACCATCTTAAATTTAAGTGACTGTCAAGAGTGTAAAAGCTTCAAATAAGCCGTCAGCTTAAGGTTCCTGCTCCCGGGCGACATGCGATTAACAGAACTTTTCCACGTGTCCCGATTTTGGCCGGTTTTTCCTCCTGCAAAGAATGTTTTCGCTCTTGCATGTACAGCGGTGGAGTCATCCGCAAAGTATTCTGGATGGAGCCTGGCCTCGCTTTCCGCCGTACACCTGCTTCTGATTAGCCCCACTTTTACACGGCAAAGAAACCAAAGCTCTGGAGTGGTCACTTTAGGGACACGCCGGAGGCGAGCTGACAGCGTCCCCGGCTTTGTCGTTTTATTTCAGTTTGAGACAATTCAAACATTTCGACCGCAACTATAGCAAAAGGTCTCTGGAGGTTAAGGCAGATTTTAAATACATGTGTGGACGCATGCGAGTCGAACACAAAACACAACAAAACAAAAAAAAAAACACGGTGAATGCGACAGGAAAAATGCATTGAGGAAGATTTTTTAGGAAGAATGCAGACTGTACATTAAATCCATTACATAGCAGAGAGAAAAAAAAGGAGGGAAACACACAGGAATGTCTTCCTTCTAAGAGCGGGAGATGACAACGTAAAATGGAGCACAACAAACAACCCGGACGGAGCCAAATGGGATACACAATAAAACAGGTTCAATCTGAGTAGAAATGCTAGAGCAAACAGGCATCGGTTTTTTAAATGTTTTTTTTTTTTTTTGCAAATGCGTCCAAAGCTGCAAATCTGGCAGCTCAGAGAGCCAGAGGCCGTTCAAGCACGTGCAGAGCGTGATCGAAAAAAAAAAACATTATTATCTAGTTTGCATACGTCCTTGTTATCAGGAATAAAAACCACGAGAGCAGCTCATTGGAAATAATCAACGGAGAGAAGGGGGGGAAAAAAAAGAGAGGAAGAAATGAAAATAAAAAATGTCAGTAACTGAGCTCCACTGGAAAAAATGCCGTCTTTGGAAGCGTGCGCTGCGATACCCCTTCATTAGGCGCTAAGCGGACACTAATGCGCTCAGCGCTGCTTCTGTCGCCGCCCGCCATCCCAGCGGTCGGCCCGCGTGTTTGACAGAGCCTCAGGTTACTTGTGTAGTGGAACAGTTTGTACTTTGCAGCTACACGGAGGTCGACGCTTTGCGGCCAACGGAGCGCAAACGGGGAACGATGTTTTTTTTTTTTTTTCCCCTCCTCTGTAATAAAAATGACAGAGCTCAGACTTCAACACCAATTAGCGTTCAGTACTTTTAATTAATGCCGGCGGGCTATCTACTGGGAAGAACAAACGGGTTCGATGCCACACCTGTACTTGGCATGTTTGGGTTAATTTAAAACACTGTGCCTGTTGAGAGAAGAGGTGACTTATGTGGATTTTTCTTTTTTTTTTTCCTTCATTATTCAAACAGATTTAGTGACAGGCGAGAACTGACGGTTGAAGAGTAATTGTGCAAACTGCAACGTACGTTCAAAACAACAGAACCGCTCCGGCGGTTTGCTTTTTTCTTTAACAAAAAAAAAACCAAACAGCTCTCCACTTCCGACCCTCTTTTTCTCCTCCCCTCTCATTCTGTGGTCCTTATTCATAAAGATCGTGTCAGGAGTTGTTGTTTTGTTTTTTTACTTCCTGTTTCGACCGGTTTCAGGGTATGGAGCAGTATCCTCCGCACGCCCTGCCTCCGGCCTGGTGGTCGTGGTCCCCGAGCTGGATCCTCTGGCCCTGGCTTTCACTCTCCCAGAGTCCTGGAGTCTGGAGGATCTTCTCCACCAGCTCCTCAAAGGCACACTGGACACCATCTTTGGTCTTTGCACTGGCCTCTGGGAAAACAAAGAAAAAGGATTTAGACACTCGGTTAAAAAAAAAGGTCAGTTTATAGTTACAAAAGAGCTTAATAACAATAACATCAGGTTTAAATGCAAAACCCTGGTCCAAGAAATCTAAGTGTCAATCAACACGACATTTAAAGCACGATATGACTTCATTCGGTGGGATGAAGACATCTAAACAGCGGATCATCTCTGACATCTAACTGCCCAGCCCCCTTAAAAAAAAAAAAAAAAACATGAATATAGCTTTTCTAAAATGGAAACTCCACGACAACGCTAACCTAATTTCCCCAGAGAGGGCCAGCGGAGCAGATGAGAATCAGGACCACGTGCACATGTGGAAAACCTGCTCGATTCTTATCGGGATGCACTTTTCTTTTTCTCTTTTCTTTTTTTTTGTTGTTGTTTGGTGCAGACACAATCCCAAAAGCCGGGTAAACAGCAGCAATCCCAAACTGGACGTTTGACTCTGTACATGGTGTCTAAACCCAGTCCAAGTGCGCCATTACTCCCAGTATGGGAAGTTCTACTGGTCTTAAGATGCAGTGTGGGGATGAGCGGAGGGTGGTATCACACTCACCGATAAAAAGCATTGAGTGTTTCCTGGCAAATTTCAGCCCCTCGTTTCTGTCAACTTCCCTGTCGTCCTGAAAAAAATAAAAAAAATCAGATATTCAGGTGTTTAAATGGAATAAAGCGGTTCAATGCACAGCTTTGGGAACTTCCAGCGGCGTAACCAAGAGACACAACAACGCCAGGAGCACTGCAGCTATAAAGTCAAGAGTCCACGGCGAGCCGAGCGCGAGGTTCCAGGAAAAAGAGATGCGCGGATGTGACTCACCATATCGATTTTGTTCCCGACCAGCATCTTTACAATGTCGTTACGGGTCGAGTAGGTCTCCAGCTCGTTCAGCCAGTTTTCGAGCTTCGTAAATGTGTCGCGCTTCGTGACATCATACACTGTCGAAAAAAAAGAAGAGAGAGGAGCAGCTGCATTCAGCACGTAAGGTTAATCCGAAAGTAGTCAATATTCGGGACAATTCGATGGCGTTCTCTGCTAAAAACGAGCCAAAATGGGATTCTGACAGCAGAGGACCGGAGGTAACGATAAACACCGGGGAGGTTTTAGCTTTAAAAAGGTAAAGATGTTTACCAAGTATGACTCCCTGTGCACCGCGATAGTAGCTGGGTGTCAGAGTGCGAAACCTCTCCTGTCCAGCTGTGTCCTACAGAGAAATAAAAAGCCAGAAGATCAAACTTTTAAGACCTCTTCATGACAGAGAATCACAAGCATGATTCTGACTGAAAGCCTGAGTGCTTGGAGCCATTTTCTGTATCCGAGCCTGTTCTCCAGTCATCGGGAGCCGGTTATCAGCTTTCTCCTGCTTCTTTTTTTTCTTTTTGGTTGGCCTACAGCGCCCTCTGGTGGAGAAACACCTCAACTCCATCGTGTTTTTCCTGTCATAAACACCACTGTGGACATAAACACTCACCCAGATGGCCAGCTTTGCTTTGTTTCCTTCTATTGAGAGGGTCTTCACTTTGAAGTCAACACCTGAGACACAGATATGAAAAATTACAGTCAGTGGCAACTTACAAGTTGTTATGTATCTTTGTAATTCAATGAGTAAGTTTAATGGACAATAAATTAAGAGTGCAGAACCTATTGTGGCTGACTGCTCTGGGTCAAAAGTATCGTCTGTGAACCTCAAGAGGAGGCTGTTGGGGGAGGAAATAAAGATGAGATGAGCAAGGGAGGCAGTACACTTGCCTATTGTTTGCAGGCAAACAGCTTTAGCGACCTTCCTGCCAGGAGGATCACATAACAACAGCAGAGACCCTGTTCTGGTGCTGACTTAAAAACTTCCTTTAAACTACGTTATCCCGAGCAAAATAACACAAAAACAACAAACAAAAATACAACTAGGAAGGGAAAGCTCGCGTTCACAGTTACAAAACAACAAAAACGTCAGCTTGTTAGCTTGAGGAGCGAGGAATAAACTTACATAACAAGAAGTAAAAAAAAAAAAATGTCAACATCCCAAAACAGGCTAGCTGGTCGGCTCCGCTAGGAGCAGAAACAAACCTGGACTTTCCGACTCCACTTTCGCCAATAATCAGCAGCTTCAGAGTCGTCAACACGTCTTCGTCCATATTACCACGTCGGAAAGTTCGTCCTTCACCTAAAGACGCTTTCAACGGAGAATTTTGGGTTAGTTTGAGGGCAGCAGGCGGCTATCGGCTCCGATGACAGCCTGCTGTTCGCGCAACTTCCGCTTGAGCTGAGACATGTGACGTCACATGGGCTCACGACGGTTGACAATAAAATAAAAAAATTATATCAATTGTTATATTTATTTTAACTTTTTTTTTTACTGAATTACTGTTACTTTGGTATATTATGCATTATTAAAATGGTATGATACAGAAAGTGCAAGATTGTTCCCAAATTGTAACTTGAAATAATACTTTTGGCCCCTTGAAATAAAAGATAAAAAAGATAAAATCCTTTTGTTTGAACCTATCTGCATCATTCCTCATAGACCCTTTTGCAATATTCATTTCGTTCCGGTTCTGCTTTGAAATGATGGGTCACGTTATTGAATCCCACTCCTTGTGTGAGTCAGTCTGGGGGGCAAATTACATTGTCTCAAGGACAGGATTTCCAATAAAATCGAGGAACAGTGCACGTTCACCAGCCAAGTTGGAGATGAATTACATTCAAAAGACTTTTCCGACAAATAAGTCCATGTTTTCAAGTTTAGACGGGAACCGTCTAAATGCCGGGTCATTTCACAGTTTCATCAGTTTAGTTTCAAATGTCTTTAAAGCAATCATAATACAGCTTTATTTGACTTTTTTTCTAGGTATTTTTAGCCAGATTATTTAGTTGGAACCCTAAGAATAAACCAGATAATTGATCAAGGTATAAATGTGTGATTCATTCAGGTCACAGGTAAAGTTAAGAGCTGGGCTCTTATTTGACAAAGCTCCCAGAGGATGTCAACAGAAAGGAGCCCAGATTTCCGGGTGTGATGGATATTTATTTTCTTGGGCTGGGCCTGGCTCCTATAGGAGGAAGGCAGGACGCAACCGAGTCTTATTGACCAGTACCCCCTGCCATGATCAGGTCAGCTCCCAATTCCAGCAGATTCCACTGAAATGTAATACTGTGTGTGTGTGTGTTTGTCCTTGAAGACGTGTATCTAATGTTTCAGAGAAAGAAGAGGAATTTGGGAGTACAACCATGAGTTCAGTGTTTGAATATAATTCTATAAAATGGACTGGCGGACTGTCCAGGGTGTACCCTGCCTCTCGCCCCCGCGACCCCATGAGGGAATAAGCGGTATTGATAATGGATGGATGGATGGATGAACAAAAAAAAGTAATTAACATGAATTTCAGTGATAAAGTTAAACGCATAAGTTAGCAAATATAAGCCAATTCTGACGGTACATATACCATATACTTGTCAATTCAGTGGGAATTTGATCAAATTCCCCATTCTGTCATCTACTTATTCTCCATCACTTATGCCATGGCCATCTTGTTTTCCATTTTGACCTGTTGGAGGTGAGCAACACATCAGAAGAATACCATTAGCTCTTTTGTCTTGTTTTCTCCTCTTAGATAGATATTGTCAGGACGAGGGTCTGTGGGGGTCTTATCCAGAGGTCTATCCTTACCGAGTGGGTTTGGGGTGCTCGTGTTGCTGGGGCAACCCTTTGAGGATTTATATGGCAGTTCTAATATTAATAAAGAAACTCCTCTGATAGTTAACAATTGTAAAATGGACTTAAATTTGTATATTAGAGAGAAAAAAACAGGAAAAAAAATCTGCCAAAGTCCAATAAAGTCGCATCTTTTAAATAGCTCAGTGCAAACACATTATCCTAACAGCCACACACAGTGCAACACACACATCTTCAGATTTGACTTCTTTATTTCAGTTGCACATGATATTTTTGAGAATGTCATCGCACTGTTAAGATCTACAGCCATTCACTGTGTACACAGCATAAGAGCATAACTATACATTTATATACAATGTTCTTGTCACATTCCGTTCATATATACACACACACACCTTAAAACAAGGAGAACGGGTTAATGAACAGAGAATAATATGTGTTAAGAGTGAGGCGGAGGGGAATCAAAAAGAAAACTAAGTAAAAGATGCTGCAAACCGACTCACTTAGAGTTTATTTTTAAAGCAAATTCATACTGTCAATGTTGATCTCCCACACACAGTGGGAACAGACATTCAGCACACACAAATTTGGGCAAATGAACTACTTGTGTGCACAGAGACATCGTCATCTGTCAGCTCCACTTTACACGCCTCCCTCTTTAAACCCCCCCCCCAGCCAAAAGGCCACCTGTAAGCAGAAGTGAGGGCTGTGTGATCAGAACAAATTCTTGGAGGGAAAAGCTTCATCAGAGTAACACCAGCTGAAAAAAAACAAAAAAAAAAAACACATCCAAACACACACACATATGTGAGTTCAGCTCTTTTTTACCAGGACAGTAAAGCAAAGTCTTTGGATTAACGTTGCAGCTTTTAAATGATAAGTCTATTGGGACGCCGGCCATATTTACATTCACGAATCATTTCCTCCCACAAACTAATAAAGTGACCTGAGCAACAAGCTTAAGATGTAATGATTCTGTGCACCACATAAAAAACTGCTTATGTCTCAGCACAGGGAAGTCAGGGTGGAGTTTGTTTTTAGTTTAGTTTTTTTTCAACAGGACTACTGATGGGACTCCACGAAGGGGAACAGCCTGAAGGTGGGAAGATGAGCAGTAGTCAGCCATTAGGTCTGACCCGGGCCTGCTGCTTTCATCTGGTCTGCAGGGTTTTGCCCTCTAGCACCTGCTGGATCTCTTTGGCGTCCAGCGTTTCGTACGTGAGCAGAGCGTCGGCCAGGTTCTTGTGCTCCTTGGCGTGAGACTTCAGCAGGGCTTTGGCTCGCTCGTAGGACTCCTGAAGACAGCAGATACAAATCTTTAGCAAAAACGGCCGCAAACTGGAGTTCAAAAACAGCCAATTGCTTTCTTTTTTTGGGGTTCTTGGTTAAAACAATTCAAACTTTGCTTATCTTTCCTGATAACGCAGATGTCCCATATCAAATCAGTAAAGGACCCAAAAATTATATTAATAATAATAGTAAAAACCAATTAATAAATTTGCACAATGATGTTTTTTGGTGTAAAATTACAGGGGTGTGATGTGCATTTGCAATCGAAAACAGGTTTACTGGCAAAACTTCAAATTGTTCTAGTGTTTGGATTATACAAATGACACAAGAACAGTTTATGTAGTTAAATAAAACCCAATATGAAAGAATGTTATCTGAAACCACCACTTAAATCCTGCTTTTAATGAACACGGCTTCACTGGACGTCAGGCACGTGATTAAGTCAGGAGAGTTGTCCAAAAAGTTCAGAGAAGAGCTCACTGCTTCCCACAAAAAAAGGAAAAAGGCTACAAAACAAATAGAAAAGGCACTGAGTGTTCCTACAGATACAAGGGGAAGCATATTTGGCAAGTTACAGTCAGATACTGGTCTTGGCAGAAAGAGGTGGTCAACACTTGGTCAAAACCACCAATCAAATTAAAACCAATCAAAACCACCAATAAAAATTCAACCCACTACTGACCCCTAAATACAAGGAAACAAGGCTCCAAACATGCACAAAACTAAGGGGGATTCTGTTCTGTGCAGCGATGAAAATAAAACGGGAACTTATTCCCTCTCCAATGAAGCACGGTAGTGGCTGTGTGATGCTAGGGGATCGGGAAATCCTGCGAGAGGAAATACCACCTGGTCCCCGCTTGGGTCAGTTTATCTGTTAAACGTGTTTGCAGAGTGAGGCAGACCTTCAGTAGCACTCGGATTTCGTGCTCCACGGCGGCCTGCGTCTCGGGGCTCTGCGCCGTCATGTCGGTGTAGGTCATCACGCCCAGCTGGGAGACGGGGGGGAAAAGAACGTAAATGACAGCCGACAAAAATCTAAAGCCCCCTCCCCGCCCCCCCTTCAGGTCAGCCTACCTTTTCGCACATTCCGAATCTGGTTACCATCATCTTGGCAATCTTGGTGGCGCTGTCGAAGTCGCTCGAGGCTCCTGGAAGGGGGACAAACCACACACTCCATTCCACATTTGTCCCATCGTTCCCCGGCTTCGTTCCCCATCGCTGGTCCTTTTTTCCTACCCGTCGTGATGTACTCGTGGCCGAATATGATCTCCTCCGCTACGCGGCCGCCCATGCTGACGTCCATCTGCGCCAGGAGCTGGGAGCGAGTCTCACTCCACCGGTCGTTCTCTGGCAGCATGGACACCTGGAGGGGCGAGGGAGGTCGAACGTTCAAGACAAAAAGAAAGAAAAAAACAGCGTTTTCATGAGATCTGATCTAAAGGGTGCATTTATGGGGGTTTTCCGTACATGTCCTAAGCTGGGGCCTCGGGGCATGATTGTGGCTTTGTTGATCGGCATGGCATCTTTGGTGTAGTACGCCACAATGGCGTGACCGGACTCGTGGTAAGCCGTGATGAGCTTGTTCTTCTTGTCAATCACTGCACTCCGTCTCTCGGGACCTTTGGGACAATAACAAGAAATATACATATATTCATATATAAAAACAACTAAGTGGCAGAGCTGTCCTTCAATGAGCAGCAGGGGCTTTACTCACCCATGAGGATTTTGTCTTTCGCAAACTCCAGCTCCTTCAACGTGACCATGTCTTTTCCATCCACCGCTGCCTTCAGGGCCGCCTGGTTGACCAGATTTTCCAGGTCGGCGCCCGAGAAGCCCACGGTACCCCGAGCGATTATGTTGGCTTCGATAGCTGCACACAGGAGGAAAATCCTCTGTAAAAGTTGTGGAAAACACAAACCCCAAAACCCTAAAAACTAGACTCCACCCCGCAAAATCCCATGTATATCAAATTGATTTTAATCCCAGAGTATTGGAAGCGGATGTCCCACCTGGGTCCACTTTGATCTTCTTCAGGTACCAGTTGAGGATCTCTGTGCGTCCTCTCACGTCTGGCTTGGGCACTGTGACCTGCATGTCGAAGCGTCCCGGGCGGATCAGGGCACTGTGGACCAGGAAGAACGGCTTTAACAAAATTGCTCCAAAAACCGATTGGGGCCAACAAAAGCCAGACATACTTGTCCAAAGCCTCTGGGAAGTTGGTTGCTCCGATGATGATCACGCCTTCGTTTGGCTTAAACCTAGAAGGCAAACACCTTGGGTCAGAGCCGGCGTGTCGTGGAGGATTTTCCCACTGTGACGTTAGAGCCATCTTTATCTAAATTAAGCTTCTCATTTGATGTCTAATTAAAAAAACACAAGGCAAGCCCTCTTTACACATTAAAAAAGGAAGATTCATCAACACAATTGGATGCTGTATTGGGTGATCAATACAAATTCTGACAGTCCCGATATGACGACAGAATTGAACATGGATAATAATAAGCCAACATTTGTGTAAATATGGTGCGGGTGAGTTTAGAGCGTACCCATCCATCTCAGCGAGCAGCTGGTTGATGGTTTGTCTGGAGTAAGGGTGCATGGGCGACTCGATCCTTTTCCCACCCACGCTGTCCAGCTCGTCGATGAAGATCACACAGGGAGCGTTGGCTTTAGCCTCCCCTAGAACACAAACAGGAAACATACAGACGTCACGCTTCAACGGAAAACGTTCTCCAGGGTGATTATTGACCGAACCAAAACCTCACTGAAAAGGTTCCTGATGCGGCTGGCTCCCACTCCGACAAACATCTCGTCAAACTCTGAGCCGGAGGCGTAGTAGAAGGGCACGTCCGCCTCTCCCGCCACCGCTCTGGCCAGCAGGGTTTTCCCAGTCCCGGGAGGGCCCACGAGCAGAACACCTGAAGTCCAAAAAAGGGAGTTAGGCTGGCGAGCTATGAAAGGAGCCGGGCCTCCGAAGAAGAGTGGCCCACCTTTCGGCAGCTTTCCCCCCAGGACGGTGAACTTCTGAGGGTTCTTCAGGAACTCCACCACTTCCTGCAGCTCGTTTTTGGCCTCCTCCACTCCTTTCACGTGCTCAAACGTCACGTTCTTCATCTGCACCGGGTCCACCGCTGAGTCGAGGCCTGATGTGGTTCGGAACCGCACTGTCCAAAATGGTTAGATTAAAGTTCCAAATCACGCCACATGCCTCTGTTAGTCCACTCCCGGACACACATGGGCTTCATAACAGGAGAATTAGTGTCCGGTTAGCGTACAGTCGACTGGTGAGAGCGGCAATTGGCTCTTTCGGGACAGTTAGTCTCAAAAGGCCAAAATATGCAGTTTGAATGCATCAATATTTTCTGGTGGTTAGCTGTTAAGTGTTAATGGTTTAAATGTGAGGACTAAGAAGCCATTACCCGATATGAAGGGCGTCTTGGAGATGCCGTAAAGCCCGACGAGAAGCAGTACCAGCAGGATCAGACGTGTCCTCCTCAGAGAGTCTGAGGAGTCAGAACAGGATGAGATCACATCACACGAGTCATTTTCCGACCGCGGTGGAACGGGTTGCGCCCCGCGTTGGCTCAAACCTGCCTTGAGTTCGCTGCGTGAGGGCTTGGGCCTTGAGGAAACCTTCAGCGAACCCCCTCTTGAAGGAATCCTGCTGTGCGTCGGGCACGCCCTTATTCTTCAACAGGCCGTCCAGGCTCTCGACTTCGACGCCCTTGTCGCGTGTGAGGAAGCCCTGCGGTGCACAATAAGACTGCTGAGGAACGGTCAGAGAGCAAGAGAGCCTGGGGGCTGTTAGTCTAAAGACAAAGGCAGACGCTACGAGTTCAACACGCCACTGTCGACAGCGCGGGGTCGTTTTTAATCTGAGGTAACGCAAAGTCCCAACCTGTCGGGGCGCAGAGTTTTAGCTTCGGCGTGCCCAAATAGAGTTTTTAAAAAATGTCCCTGACTAGAATCGCTTCATTGATGCTTCTGCCATAACATCCTGGACAACATGTGGCAAAACATCTTTGACAAAATTCTGAGCCGACAGGAGCACACGGGGAAGCCCCCTACCTTCATGAAGGAGGGTGTAAAAGCATCAGAGTCCACGGGACGGTCGTAGGCCGACTGCACCCGTCTGGTTCTGTTCCGTAAAGTTTTAAAGCCTCGGCTTTGAAGAAACACTTAAAAAACAAAAACAAATATGAAATAGAAGACCAAACCCCTCTAGAGTATAAAATAAAATGCAAATGCCTTGAACGTTACAGGTACTATGGAAGTAAATATGTGCCATCATCCACCTAATCACGTGACACAAACCAGTGTTTTAAATCAGGCTTTAAGATAATGTATCAAACTTCATGCGCAAAATAAAATATACTACAGAAATATGAAAGCATTAAACTCCCCGTTGGGTTTGAGTTCGCCTCCATGGGTGATACTGGTACTTCTTCAATATGACGGTTGTGTCACGTGATTAGGTGGATGTTGGAATCGGACATCCATTGCTAATGTCTGTGACACGAAGTAACATTGGCCATTTTTACAGCGAATTTTTAGACGCTGAATTTGAGACAGCGAATTTGAGCAAGTTGAATTGGAGGACAACGAAAATAATGCATTAGAATTTTGAAAAATTGAATTTTTTATATGCTGAATTTTTTAACACTGAAAATTTAAACTGTGAAAAATATGTATATTGAAAATTTGATCACTTTGAAATAGGAATGTGAATTTTTTTAATAACTGAAAATTGCAACCATGTAAAAAAAATTACACTGAATTTTTTTTTTAATGTACAAATAATGACATTGAATTTTTTTTAGGTTAAAAATATATTCTGAATTTATTTTAATACTGAAAAAGTAAGCACTAATATACAACATTCAAATTTCGGAGTTATTTTTTATTCAAATTATGATGGCACATATTTACTTCCATAAGGTACATTTATAAAGTATGAGTACAATCTCTGGAACAGGCAGGATAATTTGATATTACTGACATTACTGATTCCCTGTGTTGCTTTAAAATAGCTTACAAATCGTGCAACTTACAAGTAGAATTGCCTTAACATTTTTCCGTCAGTGACGGAAAAAAAAAAGAAAAAAAGAAAGGACGAGTAATAAGTACCAAACATTGACATCACCTGGCCAGTGTTGAAGTTCTGTGCTGACATTCTGGAGAGGGGACCGCTGACCTTTTGAGAAGAACGGGGCAGACATAGATGCCCCTGAGAAGCCTGAGGAAAGTCAACAGCTGTCACTTTGAATGCCAGCTACCCACACGAATGGTACTGGCTCTGATCATTTCTCAACACAAACACACACTAAGAAACTACAGGTAAAGACACCTTTTACCTGTTACTAATGACAAGGATCCAAAAATTTGGAGCGTTTAACAAAGGTAAAACAACTGTGCAACTGAATGTCACGGGTGCTATCATTTGGGAACCTGTTTTAAAGAAAAACTCACCATGCTTATTGTTGTAAAAGGAGTGAGCGGAGACATAGCTGGTCCTCCAAGGCGTCGGACCACCAAAAGGAGGTGGCGAGTCCTTTGGGCTCAAGCAGGGTAACACACAGCTCACCAGCTCTTCCAGCTGCTGTTTTCCGAGGTCTGAAAACCCCAATTCTCGTGGGTTCCACACGGGCTGCGCAAACAAACATGCGTACGCAGAGAAACGATAGCTTTAGGAATGTGATTCTGCAGTGTTTTCTGTTATTGTTAAAAACATCAGCAGAGGGTTTGAGCATCAACACAAATGAGTACACACACAAACACCCATCAAGTACCTCTGTACAATGGAGCTCGACATCTGCAGCATGCTCCTTGTGTTTTCTTGACTTGCAGGTGGCACTGCTGCTGCTTCCCACTGAGCTCTTAAGCGAGTGGAGGATGTTGATGAGGTGGCTGAGAGGTAGGGTCACCTAAAATCAAACAGTGATTGTCAGACCCCACATGCAACACAGCTTAAATACACCAGTAACTTAATGTAAAAGATGTCACAGAGTTCCATGACACTTACCAAGCTAATCCACAGCGAGCACTAAACAAAACTAAACCCATGTGCTGGTAACTAATCGTTGACTAACCCATCTGTCGCTGTTTGACGCAGTTTATTTAGCAGACAACAGAGGACGCACTAAGCTATCATTTTAGCAAGCTAGCCGTAGGTACTCTCAACGGTTCTAATTTTACACACACGTAAATATGTATATTTAATCACCAATTCAATGCCCGCCGGTTTACATAGAAATAAACACGTCAAAACCAGCTGAAGTTTGAGTCATAACACAAAAAGGTTGGGCTAACGTTTCTTGGGCGGCCGGTGGTCGAAACCAAAACAACAACAGTGCTAATGCTAGCTTGGCCTGATGTTTCTTACCTGTGACTGTGCCGTCATTGACAAGGAAAACATCCCGTACGTGTCACTGACGCGAAACCACCGCAGACCTGTTCAAGTTAGTATTACCGTCCCTGAGAGTTAAAGTTCTTCGTTTGTTTCCTTTAGTCTCTCCGCAGCAGGCATAGCGAGTTTAAACTGCGAACTTCTGCGGTAGTTGGCAGCGGTCCCACACCGGATATGACCGGGTTGTCACAAACATTATGTTCCCGTCAGAATGGGATACATTTTTTGTGCCCTATCTTCAGTTCCCCTTCTCTAACATATTTAGCGGTCTAGATAAATTCTGCCATGAATTTGGGTTTATATAGAAAGCAGGTCATTTTAAATTGAATTCCAACAGAATGTTAATAAAGAACAATATAAGAAAACAAAGATGTGCACCAAAGTAGTCAACACTGAACTCCTTCGCTCACAGTCTGTAGACATCACATACAGGCATTAAAAAACAGGTTTGTTCAAATAGAGTTTTATTGTAACTTAAACTTTGTTTAATATGTTTTGGTTCTACAACTGGAATCACTGCAACCTTGTTCAGAGTATATAGTTCTTTCATTTTCAATAAAAAACAAACAAGAAACATATTTGAACAACCTTATAAATCCAAACATTTTTTTTGCAGGAAGAGACAATAAGGTGAAGCACAAAAAGAATAGCAATAAGACAAATTATATTAATATGGACTGTTTTGTGTTCTTCACTTTACATCTATTACTTCTTTGTGAAATGTAATTGCATCCATCTTTTCTTTTCTGAGGGAAAAGACTGCCTCCTCGCCCACCCCCGTTGGCTGGTTTTAATTAGTCCATTAACCAATTAAATAAATAAAACTATCATACATAAAAGGCTATATTTTTAACACTAAGTGCCTATTTGGTCTTAAACAAGATGCCCGTAAATATTTTGACATGTCAAACAGTACATATAAAAACCGATTACCTTAAAGATGAATTTCACAAGAACAAATATGAACTGTGGCACAAATGAAATAAGTAGCTCTATCAATCTGGAAGACTCTTATCACCTAACGGTCTATAGCTAATGTATAATGACAAACCATTGGTTTATTCCCGTTACAAGTTATGCAAGTAATGTGTCTAAAGTCCTGGTCGTCTACGTTATCTTACAGTAAGATCACCACCTCATGCTAAGCTTACTGTAGCAACACTGTCAGCTTTAATAAACCCACCCGTCTCAAAAAAACCTAAAGAAATCTCCTTCAAGAACAAAGTGCTACGCTATATTGTCAGGGCTCATTTTCCACACCTTTCTGTTCCTTTAGTTTAACTAGCTTGTCCTTTCCGATCCTTGGTTAGACCCCTTCTGGTGGCTCAGGAAGCCAGAAAGGAGCAAAAGTGCATCTTTGCTTGATGTGGATTGTCAGAACACTTCACGGGGTTTTCCTGTGGGGAGAGGTGAAGAAACAGCTTTACAAAATGAGGACCTGGGGCAACGCATATGAAATCCCTTGTACAAGCATCCTGCCCACCTTCTCTTCCGTTGTAGATAAAGCAGGACTAGCCAATGAGTGATCAGAGGCCAGAGTGCAGCCAGCACCACTGTGAGGGGAGAGAAGTCGAAGGGCCACCAAGATGGTCTCAGGGACTAAGACACAGAGACAGAAAACTCAGCACTGTGGGTACAGCCTGTCTTTGCAAGACATTTGAGTACAAAGGACATGTTGAGGACAAGACAAGGACTGTAGTGCTTAGAAAACTATCCACGGCTGATAACCAGTATATGAAACGGACTTTGTTAAGCAATAAGAAAAGAAAACTTGATACAATAACAGGGAGATGCCTCTGAACCTTGAGCTAATCCATCTATTTCACTCAAGCCTAGTCAGAAATCAGCTCTACGGAAGTGTGGGCATCAAGAAGTCACTATTTAAGGAGAGAAAAAAGCCAGAAAAGGCTGAGGTATATGAGACGACACAAAAGCTGGACTGAAAATCAGCAGTGAGGGGAGTTGTTGAGGGATGAATCCTCCCCAGAGCCTGGCTCTCAACACTATTGAAGCAGTGTGGGATCATCTGACAAAGAAAGAAGCAAAAAGTGGTCAAAGATGAACTGTGGAATATCCTTAGAGAGACCAGGGAGATTACCATGGAAGACTACTTAAACAAATTACAAATATTCTATGTCTACAAGGGTTCAGACTATGCTGAGGAGTAACTTTAAGTCTCTATGGAATTGTATAAACTCTGTTTTTGGCTTATATTCTGTAAACTTATGCATAGGTAAATCTGTAAATTGCTCCTTACATTTCTTGTTTTCTTGTTGATACGCAAATAAAACAGCAAATAAGGATTTTTACAAATGACCACGATAACCGTCAATGTGTGGGGAGACATGGACCAATGAGGAGAAAAAAAGAGGAGGGGGATCCACATGGAAGAAATAGAAATAACCAAGAAAGACACCAGAAACTCAAATCAAATCGGAAGACAAATCACAGATGATAAAAATGACAAAATCTACAGGAACAAACAACAACTTCTAAGCAGAAAATCTGAGCACAAACCAAAAATCCAAAACATAACCACAACTTATGACAGATAATAGCAGCAAAAATTAGAAGAATAATTAAAAAAAAGCCACGGATCAAAGCGAATAATTGTGTGGGTTTGTTTCATTCTGACCTTTCTAACAGCTGGTAAAAAGTCTTCCTGTCTTGGTGAAGATGCCCTTGACTTAAAAAAAAAGAAAAAAGAAAAAAAAGACAAGTACATAGACATTTATCAGTGGAAATTTGACATTGTACGCCATCATTAGAAACACAAATGCTGATCCCGGACCCGGAAATGCAGCAGACGGCGTGGCTGACCTGTGACCTGGTCAGCTGCTCCAGGGCCTGCAGCCTGTGCATCACGTCCACCATGTCGTGCCGCAGCCTCAGCAGAGCCACCGCGATCTGCTCGTTGACGCTTTCCCTGGCCGCCGGGAAGGGATGTCCGCCCCGCGGCGCGCGGCCACACGTGGCGTCCGCGCTCACGCACCGCAGAGATCTGCACGCTGACCGCGGTGACCGGGAGCCTGGGAAGGGATTTACGAGCCAAACGCACCAACTTTTGAGGAGAATTGCTTTTTTCCCCCCTTTTTTAAAGGATTTCGGTGCTTTAGAAAGCAATCGGTGTCAGTATAAATAAAATACAGCCTCACCTCTGCCTCTTCTTGACAAGGAGCCGCTGTCTAAACTGCGACTGAGCCCATCTTTCACGCAGAAATCGTCCGAGCGTCTGTCCTCTTCGGCCTCTTTCAGGGTGGTGCTGCTCTCGAACCAAAGATCGCTCGGCCTGGCCGGGGCGGCCCCAGGTCCCGGCGACTGGCCCCTGGACGTAGACAGCCGCTTCTGGAGGAAAAAATTTACAGTTTGAGTACACACGAACGCACTTCACTCGAGTGATAACGGCTAATGAAATTCTGAATGTTCTTCACCCCGGGGGTGCGTTCGAGGCTTTGAGAAAAAGCGGGACGCCCCACCTCTTCCATCGCCAGGTGCTCCATGGAGTCACAGAACTCCTCGTTATCAGAGTCCGCAGATCGATGGGTCACTTCAGGGGCAGGATCGCTGTGATCTGGATGGCGTAAAGCGCAAAAAGTAAACAACCAAATCCGCCGATGGACACAGGAATAAATGGGCACAGCAAAACGTGCATCATTTTACAGCTCAAAGCAACACGAGGGAACTTGGCTCTTTGCACCCGAGTTCCCTCTGGAGTTAAAGAAAGCAACACCACTACCAATGAAAAGGTCAAATACACACTCTGAAGAGTACACAAAGATGTCAGGCAACTGTACAGTAAATACCAGAGCTGGAACCAAAAGTTGTGAACTGCGGTATCTTGGTGCAAGACAGAAATTCCTTGCATTAACAACTTAGAGAAACAGTTTTTAGGTTCAGAAATTAGTTTTTTTGGTCATTTCTTTAATTATAACTATTGTATTTGTTAATATTTTTTAATTTCCTCCATGTTTTTGCTACATATATTCGACTTTTCCATGGGAATAATGGCACATGTGTGACTTCACACATACCAGTCAGTCCTGGCTTTTTGTATTAAAGTGTACTCTTACCACTGAGGTGTCCGTTAAAGTGCATGTACGGGTTCTGCTGGGCGCAGGGCTCGATGGAGTAGATCAGTTCCTCCTCCTCCAGCTCGCTGTTGAGGGAGCTGTGGGTTTCATTGGTGACGGAGGACGTGCTGGGCTCCGCGCTGCTAAGGGAGCTCTTGGTGTCGGACCTCCACCTCTTGTCGTCCACCATCAAAAACCTGGGGTCGGGGCTCCAGCCTGGAATGGTGCAAAACAAGACAGACAATAAGAGAGTATGACAAAGTAAAGAAATACTTTACTTTTTTGCAAATTGATGGACAAATCGTCAGTTAGCAAACCATGAAAATCCGCTCAGGATCCCAGCTCAGGAAATAAATATCCCTCGTCCTCTTTAGCTGCCATTAATTAGGGTTAGGGTTTATATTAAGGAATAATTTTGGCCTTTTAACACTTAGTATAAAGTTTTCCGTCCAGACTTGGAGAGCTGACCCTTAATTAATCAACCTCTGCGATTGTAAAAACAGATATGAAACATAGACAAATTGAGTGACAGTGAAACTGTGGTTTAAAAAACGGATGTATGTAGTGACACTTCACCTCTTTTTTGTGGCAATAATGGATTTGGTGAGTTCGGAGTTAATATTGCCCTTTAAATTTGTAAACAAGGCTAGCTTTAAGCTTGCAAATCAGTCCAAATCAACCCCAATGCCCAGAGATGATTCATAGTGTAAAAGCAGTGAAATGTACCTTCAGCCTTTGGGGAACATTAAAAAAAAAAGCTTGTTTTTTTTTGGTTTGCATTTCTTTGTGTGGCCTTTCTGTCCGTGCCGCTTTGACAAAACGTCACCTCAAAACACAGCTAACCACTACTGCACGTTACCTCTTTCCACCTCCGTGTCTTCCTCTTCTCTTCGGATGTCCTCTTCCTCCGCCTCCGCCTCCTCCTCCTCCTCCTCACTTCTCCACCAATCGCTACTCCCCTCTTTCATCTCCACTTGGCTGCTTTCTTTGCTTCCCTCCTCGTTACTGACACTGAGTCTACGCGCGCTGCCGTCTTTGTCTATCTCTTGGACGTTTTGTATATCATCCCACAAATCCCCATAGCCTGAGCAGTGGGGGGGGGGAAACGCCAATTTTACTCAGGAACCGCTAATCTCTTCCCTTCTACTAGACTACAGCACACACGAATGCAAATAAAATGACAAACACGGTTCACAAGACAGACTACAGAGGGTATCCGACCCAATGTCAGGCTGCTCCAATAGCCTAGGCCAGTTATATGTGGGGAGATTGAAACTAAATTGTAGAATAAGCGACTAACCCATGGGATCTACACAGCAGCAAACAGCCAAAACTTACCTTCCATTGTTGGTTTCTTAATGGATCTGAGCAGCTCATCTAGGGATAAAGAGACATGCAGCGCTGGCTTAGAATTGGAGGGGAAATAAAACATCTAAAATGTGCGAGAACCCTTATTTCCTCCCTGGTCAGTAGCAGCATTTTCTGGAGCGGACTCTGATATTTCCATCTTCTTACGTCAGCGTTACCTGCTTGTCCCGCAAAGGGCCTCGTGAAAGCTCTCTTGTCCACTTCATTTTCCTCCACTTCTTCTCCCTCTCCGTTCACCTCCGTGTAGAAGCTGCCGAGCATCTGCACGAGCTCGGACACGTCGTCCGAGACCGGAATGGTCTCCAGAATCTGGAGAAGAGTACATTAACTTTTTATCCATGTACGTAGAAGGGAAGTAAAAACCTTGAAAATCAACAGGCCGAACTAATCAGTTTGTGGCCGAAACCAAGGCTACGAGATGGCCTCAGTCATTAAACCCAAACAGAGACATCAGGCTCCTATAGACTCCTTTTTCTATGCAAATATTAAGAAATAAATAAACTTTTTTTGCTCCCTGCAGACACGCTTACCAGCTGGATATCCTCGATATAATTCTTCATGGCCTCCTCCTTTGTCATGTTTCCCAGAGACTTCCACGCATCCCTGACAGGGGAAAGTTAAAAAAAAAAAACTCAATCGAGTTCAGTTCAAATGGTCTAAACTAAAGTGATGAGATTCAGGTTAGAAAGACGCACCATTTAGCTTTGCCTCGGTTATCCCAAAAGCCGTTGGGCCTGGGGATGCGGCAGGGTCCGAGGGTGGCCTGCTTGTAGTAACTGTAGAACATCAGCATCATGTCATCAGATGGCTGGAAAGGACCTGAAAAACAAGGAGATAGCAGTGGGAGATGGGCCAAAAGGGTCTCCAACAAGAGAAATGCTTTGGGCATCCATGGGAGACACAGCAACTAGTTAATCAGCTCTTATCCCCACCAGGAGACACATGCCAGGTCAATCTACACACGCAGAAACACACGTTTCTCACACTTTTCGCGCAGGGGACCTTAAGCCCTCCCCAATTCCTGTAACACATTACTAGAAATCGCGCACCTTCTTCTGGCAAACTCCGGATCACTTTAACCGCGGCGGCAAATTTCGCCTCCAGGCTGTGTTCGTCCTCCTCCTGCGCCATGCTGCGTCCACAGAAAGATGACAAGAGGCAGTCCTCACATCTTTGACAAGAAATGCGAATTAAAATCAGGGTTTCAACGAGGCGCAGGTTTTTTTTTTGGCAACCTAGTTGCCACCTGTCCTGTAGCCTACTTAAGCCATCAGACAATTGTTCTCCTTTTCAAAATGAATTTACTCTCTCTATAACATCACTTCTTATATTTTAGCGATGGAAAACTCTGTCATTTCATAAATATATCCCCTTAAAGCCTGATTCCCGACCAACTCACCGCAGCGTTCTTGCGTCTGTGTAACGGGCCTAATTATTTCTTAAGCCCGGTGTCTGTCTGCAATATGCAGCAGAAAAGCCAATCTGTACGCCGGTCAAGGATGAGTCAAAAGCTCAACGTTTTGATCCCGAAAACCTCTGGGAAATGTAGTACGTGGCGTCAAAACCCGCGGTGCTGCGGCCTCCAAAGCCGGGAGGAGTTATCCTTCAAGCCCCAGAAAGCCGTCTTCAAGGGGCTTTAAACCGCAGGGGGGGCTGGGAAATGTAGGCGAATGGGAGGCGGGTCTTCAATTATTTATTTATTTAGAACGGTGCAGCATAAGAGTCTTTATTACAACAATATATCCATACACATATGTGTATTTAGTTTGAATTACAATTTAGTCGTTTTATCTTATGGAATATGATGTTAATGTTTTTTGTACTGGTGAACTTAAAACGATTTCCTTGTTAAATCATTTACATGCTTCAGGAAATAACAGGTTTTCCAGGATTATTTTTTTTTATTTATTGTTATTTTTGCCAATGAATTGCTTTGCAAGGTACGTTATTACATAGGTGATTTATGGGTGTTACAAAATATAACTATTGAGTATTTTCATTATGAAACATTTAAATAAATCTTGTTTTTTGCACGTTGATGCAATCATTCTCAACAGACATATTTTTTGGCTCTCTTCTCTGGGTAAAACTAATTCAAGTGGGAAATTAAAGATGAAGAATATATAAATGTAAGCTGATTAGCTAAAAAAATATATAGATATCAAATACATCCTTAAAATACCATTAAGGATGTATGTACATGTTTTGATTAGTGTTAACATTTTATTACGTCATGAAAGTGACAAAAATATGTATCTTATCTGTAAAAATGTGTTACTATATTATTACGTACTATCCAACCGCAATGTGTGCTACACTATCGCAATGAAATGCTATTGGTCAACTGGTTCTCTCTCTCGGCCTCCGAGCCAATCAGCACTCGCCGTCTCCAACGTAGCTCCGATTAGTCACGGGCTGCTGTGAATCGGAGGCCAGCGGACCCACAATGCCAGGCGGGGGAGCCCCTTTCTCAGCAACACACCACAGCATCACCGCCTCGCCTCGCTAGAAAAAGACAGCCAGGAGAGAAATGCAAAGGGATGTAAGATGGCAGAGCTACAAATGCTACTAGAGGAGGAAATCCCCGCCGGCAAGAGAGCGCTCGTGGAAAGCTACCAGAACCTGTCCCGGGTAGCGGAATACTGTGAGAACAATTATGTTCAGGTAAGAGTGGCATAATGAGGCCGTTATACTCGGCGAAAGTCTCAGTTCTCCTCCTCGTCCCCGCAGACAGGAAATGCTGGTCGCAGCGAAAGCGAACCCTCAAAACCGCTAGCCTCACCGAGTGGCCTTTTTTTTTTCTCTCCCGGTTCTCCCGGCGAGCCTCGGCAGGGGCTCGGCGTCGTGTCCGGCATGGCGGAGCGGGGCCGTTTCGTCGTGTCGGCGTCGGTTAAAAGGCTTTCCTCGGTTTCGCCGAAGCCTGCTGGGGGTCTTTCAGAGGGTGTGTCGTTGTTATGACTAAGTGGTTTGTCACTGACTGCATTCTCGGACAGATACCTGACGACCCCCTCCCCTTTTTTCGTAGTCATATCTGCCCATTTTTAAATTTTTTAAAAATCCATTTAAACGTCATTTTACAATGACCGTAGTCCTCAACGTGTTGGGCCACAGAACAGCATTTTAAACGGATTGAATCGGAGCAAAATCATTCCCCCCTGCAAAATGCTAAATATAAACGCTAAACTAACTATTTAGACTTATTTTTTTTCTAAATTATTCATTCAAATGTTATTATAAGCTAATTGGTCAAATACAGTAGATACTAAGCTGTAACGGTTTAATTTGAGCATCAATGATACATCATTGGTTCATTTTTTATCCCCTCTCAGCATTTAACACGTGTCACGTTTTCATTCCTCATTAATGTCCTATTTTCACTTATATAGGCTGTATAGGCTAGACCACATAGGGGAGGGGGGCCATACCCCTGACAGATTTAGGAGTTAAATACAGAAGTCACGCTTGATGCCTGATGATCATTTGCTTGTGGTTAGGTGGATGGAAGGTGTGCCCACTTCTCTTTTACCCGTCGTGACAGAATGCCAGAATCGACAACCTTAAACGCTTAAACGATTGTGTCTGCACACTGACATTGCAGGCAGCTGTAAGGCTGAACGATCGGCAGCAGCGTGGTGTCGTGAAACACCAAATCTGGGCTGTAACAGCAGGTCGGATCTTTTCCATCATAACTGTCCTCAAAAATGCTTTAGAGAATTAGACCTACCTGCCTTCTCGCTGCTCGCAGGTAGTGCCGGAAGCAAATAGGTTTTAATGCCTTGATAAACTAAAAGGCAATGCCTTTTGACTTTTGGATTAGGGGGTAAAACGCCAAGGTTGGCACTAAACAGCAGGATTAGTGGCTCATGAAAGTATCGCGGCTAGCGTTCCAACTTGTGTCGGCGCCTTTTGGAGACACTGTGTAGCTCGGTTTATTCATGCAGACCATTCAGCCATACATCTATTTTGTACACCCGCTTAAACCAGATCAGATTCACAATGGGGCTTGCTGCCATGAGAGGGAGGCGGGGTACAAACTTACAGGTTACAGCTACACACACACACACACATCGTCAGTCAATCTGGAATCACTACTGAGCGTAATAGTGTCGTAATTTGGCCCTGAGATAAGAACCTCTAACCTGTGAAATCTACTGGATTCACCTTTTTTAATTTTTTTAAATGAGAAGGAAGCCACGGCTTGGTGAGCATCTTAAGGAAATCTCCGTCCAGGATCATGAGGGGATCAGGCGCCTGCTGAAATAGCAACACTTTGCAAATGCAAAATGCATACCATGAGAAGTTAATCCACGCTGTGATGACAGAGGAGGGAGGATAAAAAAACAAAGTTTTCTCCCTAGATCATATATTTAGAAAGAGATACTGTCAAGCTGTCTCCCGCAGAGTTTGTGGCAACAAAGCGCAACGCTTGCTTTGGAAGGGCCTTTTTAAGCCAAAATAGCATCTCTTTGAAAGACGTCTGAGGAGCTGTACAGTGAAGTCATGCTGGTTTTGGATTACAGACGGGCCTTTGCTGCCTGCCATGGTTGCATGCTTGGAAACATGCCCTTCTTTTGTAGATTTGAAACCAATGTGTGCGAATCAGCTGGGTTCGATCACATAGGGGGAATTTTTACCATGTGAAAATGGCACCGTCTATTTCATGGAAGGAAAAACTGGGGTGTGAAGTGGAATCGGAGTCTTCTGCTCCTGCTCAGCGTTTTTCCCTGATTGCTGACCTCACCGACATCCTTCCATCAGCTCACACGACGGCCCTCTGAGTCACGGCTGCACGGTCAGGATTTAGGCCGGTGCGTAACTAAAAAGGAATTTTAAGGGAGCCCGCCCTCCAGCAGAGCTTTTTGCGAGCTTATTGTGAGACTCCACATCTCAAAGCACCCAGGAGCGATCGGTGAGGCTGGTGCAGGGGATGTGTAGGCCACTGTGGGCTGGGCTTTTCATACTTTTCGTTTGAACCGCCCGCTGCCCTTTCATGGGATCATACTAGATATGCAGTCTGCAAAGGCAAACGTATTGCCATGAAATCTTTGCTACATCATGCGCTAATCGGTTTAATTAGACACCTTAAAAAGAGCAACGGGCAGTGAAACATTGAAATCTCTAGCACAGCCGTTGCATGGTGAAATGAGGCTGTTCGCGAGGGGTGAAACTAATCTTTTTGCTGACATCTGTCAGTGGCGGTTTTGATGCCAAACACTAATCGCATACTTAAAGCAGAGACACCTGCTTTGTGGCCATGATGGCTGACGCACAAGATCATTTGGGTCAGAGTGGCAAGTCACTTTATTAAGTCCACACTGTTAAACGTACAGCTATAAACAAAACCACATGTTTGAATAACCTTAAAGCATAAATTCTCTCTTTATCCAGCTAAAATTGTAGTTAGAATAACATAGATGTAAGGTTTAGTTATTTTAAATGTAAAACAATCATGTGACCTATTAAATTGTGGGTAAAAAATCTTAATTTTTGTTTGAAGTAGAAGTGAAAATACATTTATGTATAAAGAAGTCAAACTTCCGTTCCCATCCTGTCCTTATTAAGTCTGTGAAGGGGTTTTATTCGACAACATGTGACATACGTCTCCCTCACTGCAGAAGCACTGTGAAAAGATCTTAGTCCGCAGGTAAATAACAGCCAGCCGCTGCCTATTGTGTGTGCTTTGTTGATTGATCTTCAGCAAATGTGAACACAAATGTCAGGTTTAGGCGGCCTGCTGGTCTGAAGCGTTCTGTGCCACAGAGTAAAGACACCAGTCAGACTGAGCAGCGCTCAGAAAAACTATTAAACTCTCCCAGGAGCTACATAGTTGAGATCCCACAACTAGAGAAAGACTAAACAAATATGACTTGTTTATAAGGTTTACAGGAGAAATCATTCCTCTCTGTAAAAGAGTACATGGCAGCCCAGTTTAAATTCTTTAGATTTTTATATCTGAACCAACTAGAAACGCAGACTTCTAAAAGCATGGCAGATGAGACCGAGGTGGGGGGCGTTTGGTCAGAATGTCCAAAAAAACGAAAAGCAAAAGAAAGCAAACGCAGTTTCCGGGCAGAGGAATGATGATCCGGGCTCGTTTTACAGTCACAGAACCCGGACACTTTGAGTGAGTCCATCTGTCTGAAAGCCTGAAAGCTAAAGCTGGGCTCAAACCGAGCCATCAACGGGACAAGGATCCCAAACAAAGCCGTAAATCTACTACAGAATGTCGGAGAAGGAAAAGAACGAGAGTCAGACTGATCCAGTCAAATCCAGACCTCTGTGGCTAAAAAGCAGTTTTACTGCCCAAAGACCATTTCACTGAAAGTGTACCTATATTAAACACCTTCTGCTTTTTAAAAACTATGTATTGATGCATACTCAAACTATACAGTTAAATATGTCCAAAAAAGCATGAAAGCTGTAAGGGATTATTTTCACTGGAGAAAAAAAAAATCGGTTGCGCATAGTCATGTAATTTAATCCGTCCCCATTTTCATTTTTAATTATAATGAATTCAATAATCTAAACAAGAAAAGGGGTAAAATGGTGCTTCTGAATTAACAAACACATACACACACAAAGCTGTTTTTGAAAATCGGCGTGAAGCATTTTGTCAAAATATTATTAAGAGCTCAAATGTCTGTTTCTTTTTTAATTGGAAAGTTCTAATAAATTCCATGTGCATTGGTGGTCCGGTGAAATCTGGCTCTGAAAAAGGCACGCGGCCTGCTGTCAGAACGCCTCTGTGTGTGGCCACATTAGCCCCCCTTTGCCTCCAAACTATAAATATGTCCGCTCAGTCCTTTAACTGTCTGGAGGCATCCAGAAAGCAGATGGTTTGTTCGGCCGGATGGTGAGTTGGGATCCCGGGAAGTGGCCTGGCATTCCTCCTTCTCTGGGCTTATCTCCCACCATCCACCTGCCCCACGCTGCCCATCTAAAGGGCTCAAAGTTTGGCTATCCGGCAGCAGGCTGCATTTTATCTCACAGAAAAAGAAACGCTCTTCACTCCTCCTCAGTTCCTAAAAGGGTGCTTTGTGGTTTTAAAAAGAGGAAAAAGGAGACGGACGCGTTGACTCTCCACACCCAGCAGATAAGAGAGTTACAGCGAGAGTACAGACTTCATCACTTCTTCCACCCACACTTCCTTCCAATGATTTTCCCTTTTTTCTGACTTTTTTTTCCCTCTCCCTGCCAGGCTCAAGACAAAAAGAAAGCTCTGGAGGAGACCAAAGCCTACACCACCCAGTCTCTGGCCAGCGTTGCCTACCAGATCAATGCCTTAGCCAACAATGTGCTGCAGCTGCTGGACATCCAGGCCTCGCAGCTCCGCCGCATGGAGTCCTCCATCAACCACATCTCCCAGGTACCCGGGACCCGTCTGGGCTGGTTTGGGGGCTGGGTCACCGCCCTGCACTCTTATGCTTTTGTGTGTGTGTGTGTGTGTCTCAGTGGAGCTCTTTGCTCCTCGTTCTGCAGATGTGTGCAGAGTGTTTGTCAAAATCGTGAAGTCACTTTGCAAAACGCTCCACTCCGGTTTGTCACTGTAACTCAGGCGTAGTGCCGTGCCCCCCCCCTCCTGTGTGACAGCGCGGTGGGAGCACCAGAGGGATTAAAGGCACATTCACAGGTTCTAAGCACTGGCAGATCCAGTGGCGGCATGGCAGACGCCCCCAGCCCCCCCCACCCCCCGTGCCTCATCAGCAGTCTGGCTTTGGTCGCCTCTGTGGGCTCCGTGAGGCCGCCCTGCCTGTCAGCTCACGGGCGTCCCCGTCCCTCCCTGTGGGCTTCATTAGGCCTGTCAGGAATGAGGCAAAGCCCTGACAGAAGCACTCTCCCCCGGCCCGCGCCGCCGCAGGACCAAGCCGCGTCAGGTGCGGTCGGTTGGAAAAAACTAAACAATAGGCTCTTATATATCGATCCTTTTAAAGACAGTCAGCTGTGATTCATGTACCACTCTTGATATTTCTGCTTTAGATCTAAGAGCTCTCCATGGTAACCAGGCCGAGAGCGAGCAGGGCTCCAGAAACAGACACTGCTGGTTACTTAACCGTGGGCGGGACCTTCTCCGAAGTATCAAAGAACGGCCTCAGCACCTTCTGTCTCCTCCCAGTGATGGTGATGAGGATGATGAGGATAGATCTTTTCACAGCAGGCATTTCCACTCGAGGCAGAAGCCAGCCAATACGCTCAGCTTCAAATGTTGTCTGTGGAGCACGGCCGCACCAGCGTGGCAGCAAACAGAATCCAATGAGGACCTTATTAACAAAACCAGAGGCCTAGGAAGAGAAGAAAATCCAGTATTTATGTGCGACTGATTACAAAGCAAAGAAAAGAAGGAGAATTTCTGCTGTGGAAGCTGTGCCAGCATCTCTGTCTGCTCAGGAGTTCCATTAATCAGGAAAAAGGAAAGTAGAGCCCGGCCCTTAATGATAGTTTGGAGTCAGCGTCAGTGCCTGTTGCCTATGCGGGTCTCAAACATGAGGCCATGCCCTTCCTCTGGACCCAACAGGGTGACCAAACAAAGGTCTGTTGAGGACAATCAAACGCAAACAAGCATGGAGTGTCCCCCGAATGGGATTCCAGAGCACACAGGGTGAAGCTGTCCGCCGCTCTCTGCAAAAGCAGAGCCGTCAGACGCAGCGAGGATCCAGCGGTGCGCAGAACATCTGCGGCATCCGCTCCCAGACACACTCTGCAGAGGTTCAGCAGACAGCCCCGCGGCTATCAGAGTAAAGAGATTACAAAAGAAAATGAGATTGAGAGAGCGCAGGAAGGGCAGACCGGAGTCGTGTCGTCAGCGGTTAGGTAACAGCGATTATGCGGCCATGCCTCCCATCCCCATCTACAGCGCTGCCTTTAGTCGGAGGAACTGCCAAACCAGGCTGAAGTCACTTCAGTTTTTCTCCTTTTCTCAAGATGAATTTCTCCTCGGGGTGGAGCCCTGACAGCAGCTGTTTGCAGCACGCTGTGTGTTTTCGGTTTTCAGTTTAAGCTTCAATTTTCAGCTCCGTTTTTTAATCACCACCTCTTTCCGTCACCTCTCCTCTTCGCAGCTTTTTGATCTTCACAGACCACCAGTATAGTCATCCAGCTTCACATTTCTCTGCCTCCATCAAGGGCCTTTATCTCTCTCTATCTCTCTGTTCCTCTCTTTTTGCGTTCTCACTTTCTCCAGGCTTTGCTTCACTTCTCCTCGCCCATTACTGGCAGGAAATAGGCGGGTTGTTTTTTTGTTTCTTTTTGTTTTTTTCTTACTTCCCAGCTGAAGCTGGGCGTGTCGCTTCAGTTTCCTCTCCTAGAGAAAAAAAAGAAAAGAAAAAACAAAAGGGCCCAACTCGTCCTCTATATTTATCTCACCTCCCGCAGAGGCCCAGAAAGACACTTATCAGACATGAATGCTGTTGATCCTTCTCCCAGAAAGTCGCCGGTCTGAGCCGCAGTGGGTGTTACCTCAGCAGAACATCCACTGAATGCCACAGATATTCAAATCTACAGGCCAATATAATCCTTTTTAAATAAAAAAAGAGGTTTTGGACTAACGCCACTGTCCTCTAACCCCATTACAGCCTCTTCCAGCAGCACACACTCATCCTTTCACATGCCACTCTTGGGCTTCCCTCTCTGTTTCCAGTTTCCTGTATCACTCGTGCACTGGGAGCCGCTCCCTGAGGGGACCTGCTGTGGGTGATAATGACAGTAATTGCCGGGATTTAGGTCACTGGCATCCTCAGCTGGGCCTGATGTGTGGGGTTGAAGGAAATCTTTGGTAAACAGAAGAGTAAAGATCCACAGCCAGCAGCCGTAGTCAGACCGTATGCGCCACATGCTTTCTGGTTTACCTCGGTTTTGAACGGCATTGTCGTCATAGGCTGTTTTAAGGTGTTTTGGATTGTGGTAAGAGACGTGTCACACCTCCATTGACACGTCCACTGTGACCATTTCGAACAGAGTGTTAACCTTCCTTAGGTACCTTCCTTTAGCTTTTTGTCTTCGCAGACAGGAAGGACTCAAACTCTCTGATAATGGTTTGCCCAAATACACAAACATATAGATATACACACAAACAAAAACACTCAAAAGGTGTGGCAGCTTTTATTTTGCCGCGGCGGTGCGCCAAAATCAATTACATGTAGTGGAAACCCAATCTCAGATCAGCAGCAACACATTATACATTACGCCGTTTCATTATTTATTGAACAAAATCTAAAATGCAGAAGCAGTGAGCCGAAAACCGATTGCACCCGCGACTCTGCGGCTTAGAGAACTGCCATCAGCACTTTGCGGCGCGTTGTTGTTATTCTTTAAGCATCCCGCTTCCTGGTTTCAGCACTTTGATCTGGTCATCGTGCAAGTTTGGGTTCTTTTCCTCTTTGGATAGCCGTTGTGGATTTACTGCTGTGTTTAGGATGATTTTCCTGTGGAGAACCCAGTTTCAGCCCCATCAGACAGATGGACTCATATTTCATTTCCTTCATTTCTGGTCATATGACTGCTGAACAAACCATTAACCCTCCACCGCCCTGCTTTACAGTTGGTATTTGTGCCGATGTGTTGTGTTTGGCGTCCTCTGAACATGCTGCTGTGCATTCCCACCAAACATCTCCACTTCGATGACCTTTGGGTTTGTTTGGTATCTGTTACTCAGCCTCTTAACTCCTCATGGGGCCATAATGGCGGAAACAGCCGCCGTGTTTGGGTAGATTTTTTCTAAAAAAGAAAAGTGGTTCCCGGCCCACGCCTGCTGTTTCATCCCCTTTTTCCTCTTTTCCAGACGGTGGACATCCACAAGGAGAAGGTGGCCCGTCGAGAAATTGGCATTCTGACGACAAACAAGAACACCTCTCGCACCCACAAGATCATCGCCCCCGGGAACATGGAGCGGCCCGTGCGCTACATCCGAAAACCCATCGACTACACTCTGCTGGACGACGTGGGACACGGTGTCAAGGTAAGACCAGCGCTGCCCTCTGTGTCCGAAGGCGGCCAACATCACCAAGCGTCTGCTAACGCCAGCCCATCTGGATATTTATTTGGCATGGGCGTGCTTTCCTCTACTCAACCAAACTTTATTTAGTCATTTCAATGACGCATGGTGCCGCTCTCTGCTTTCCAATGTTCAGCCACTGTTGCAAAGCAGGGAAACACACGTTTAGTCATGTTCACACCAGCTGCTTTCAGGCCTAATGCCTGCTTTATTTCCTGATTCGCGCGCTGGCTTCCACCCACGCTGCGGGCCGATCAATACGTCTGCCTTTTAGTTTGATTTAATCCACCAGCACCAAGGAGTGGATCCAACACCCATCCAAGATGATGCTGAGCAGGTAGCTAAATGCAGCTAAAAAGATTGCTTTCATAGCCTTTGAACATCCTGAGCCGGGAAATTTTCAGTGTGGGTGAGCGAGAGGGACACATCATTGCCAAGATTACATCAGCTGTTGAATCCCGGGGAAGGGAAGGCCTGTTTCCGGCTCTTTCTTCAATTTTTAAAATTCCTTTCCCTCCTTCTGATCGTCCCCCTCCTCTCCCCTCTCGCTTCCTCTGTTCTCCGAGGGTTGTTTGTGAGCGTGTGCATGCAGTTCCGCGCGTTAAACGCTACTTGATTTGGCCCCTGCACGCCCCCCCCCCCCACCGGCTCTGTCTCAGCTGAGATAGTCGCATCCGCTGATTTTCAAACGTCCGCTGATTCAAATTCAAAAGCTCATGTTTCCTCCTTTGAGAGCTGGCTCGCACCGAGACAGATTTGGCAGGGCCTGCTATGCAAATCAAGCATCATTCATGGATGCTGGACATAGAATCAGCCCAGAACGAGAGCAGGATTGGCTTTTTACTCTTCTTTTTTTTTCAATATTTGAGAAACCAGCTTATTTCTTAACAAGGTCCATGTTGCAGTTTTTCCTGGTTCTGGCCAGTTTTTTTCTCTTTAACTCTTTACTGCTTCCCTTGGCATGCATGTGTGTGAGGGTCCGCTCCTGGATGTGCATTTAAATAAAATTGTGCAGACAGAAGTGTATCTCGCACCCCCCCCCAGTTTCTGGCTTGCACACATCTGTGAATAATTCAGGGGGATTGAGACCCACTGCTGCAGCCCTCTCCACACAAATAATCTGCCTTCTGAGCCAGATACGAACACCCACGTGGGTATTAGCAGCTCGTATTTGCTTTCCTTAACGTTTACAGGTCCGCGGTGTGTTCACGCTGTGAGGAGACACATGATTTGAGGCCTATTATCGCTCCATCCTTCCTCCTGGCTGGGGCTTATTCCCTGGAGCGTTCAGGCCGTGATTATCACCCTTATGCCTCTGATGCTCCCATCCGGGGAAACTCCGGTTCGGGAAAAACGCAGTCACACACATGCATGGATAGCCATGCCCCCCCCCCCCCGACCACACTAAGCTATGCAGGCATTGCTGGGAGTTACCGTGGTGACGTGGTCCCAGCCAGGCCCACAGTCAGCTGTCATCTCTGTCATCCAGCAGGTCAAACACAGGCAAAGGGTTAAGTGCAAGGACTTGTTGTTTGAAAAAGAATGCATGCCTTTAGAGGAGAGGTTTCGGGGCAAATATAAATGCGAACTGAATTGGATCTGCTTTTGTAAGCACATCCCCGGCATTCGCTGTTCATCGGCAGCTTTCTTTTTTTTTTTTTAATGGCTTCAACTTCTTCTTTTGTCTTCCACTGAATTGTTTATATGTTGAAAGGACAATGGTTTGTCCATCTCTGCTGGAGCGGTCAGAGGGTCAGAGGGTCGTTGTGAAGGGGCTGAACAAGCAAAGCAAACACATTCCCCTGACAATGGTAAGGTATAACCGGACTGATCATAAGATGCCCAGAGAAAGACTTTAAAACGTCTGGTATCTTAGAGAAGAAATATAGAGATATATAAAGAAACCAGAAGAAAAAAACAAAACTGCACTGAAAACTGGCGTCTCAGTGTATCATCTCTAATTCATCACTTTCATTCAGTGAACAAAAGGAAGTTATTTCTTCCTTTTTTGATTGGTTTAGAAAACAAAAAAAACCCTAGGACCGGGGTTTTTTTTTGTTGTGGGTTCCTCTGCGGGCGGGTATGAAGGGAGTAATATCACCCAAAAGGAGCGATTGTTTCACTGAACATTCCCCTCACTTTTGGTCATCATTTTTTACATTTCTTATCTGCGTTCGATCCAAGATCAGGATGTAAGACTGAGACGCACAGTTCTTATCTTACATCTACTGCAAAGCTCTAGTGATGGTTTCAGGGTCTTCCGTCAGCTGGGAATCGACAGTTTTTCCATTCGACTGATCAAAAGTGGGGATTTTGTTTCAGTTTTGAAGTCCCTGACGCTTAAAAAGCTGCTCCGATTTCACCCTGGAACTTCTACCAGTCAGTCAGAGTTGGTAAAAAAAGGACTGCGCTTTTTATTTATTTATTTTTCTAGCAGAAGATTTAATCTATAACACTGAGAGTAAACGGCTCCAGAGCACCAGCACCGACACCAGGCTCAGCGCTGCTGTGTGGGACTCCCCGTCGGGCGGGGGGTGGGGGGGGCTTAAACCACAGGTGGACCACGAGCACGGCGGCTTCCTGCTCCTACTCTGATGTGGAGTTTGTGTTTTACTTTCATTCACCCGGCGACGGAGTGCAGCTGAACCCCACCGTGGCATCTAAAGTTTAGGCTCTAACCAGAGAAACCAGAGAAAAAAACGTTGCTCGCCGACTTCAAAGCTGTACAGTTTGCCGCAAGCAGACTCAGCGTCTTACACACACACACACACACTCACACATTCACAGATGGATGTAATGGTTGATGGTTCAGCTGGTAGTTAATTAAAAACGGAACGAACCCAAAAAAGTGTTGAAAAAAATCCTTTTCCTTCATGACTTTCAATCGTCTTCAGTTCATTTCAAAAGAAATTTCCTGACTGTGAAAGCGGTTTGTCATGCACGATTAATTTGCCTTTTCTTTTGACTTTTTAAAAACTGCCTTTCGCCACCATAACCAATGAGCACATGTTCTTGTCTGTCTCCTTTCCCCTGCTTGCTCTCAGTGGCTTAAGGCAAAGGTAAGACAATGTTGCCTTTTTCTCTTCTTTTTTTTTTCTTTTTGTCCTTGTTCGAATCCAGAATGTCTGTAAAGATATTGAAATGATTAACGCAATGAAACAGATTTAGTATATTTTTATATGATGTTGACATGTTATTTATGTTTTTTCGTTATCTGACTAACATCCAAAACGTATTCATTTATTTTTTTTAATACCGTCTTCCCTTTAATGGCTTCCTGGTCTCAGCATCGACAGGAGCACCTAGAGTTTAAGCAGATCCGATGATGCAAAAGCAGTCTTTTAACTCCCCTTTTGCCTCACCAGCAACACGGCAACAACGCAGCAGGACGAGGAGGGACCCTCTCCAGGACCAACCCGCCGTTACAGAAACCTCCCAGCCCTCCCATGGCTGGTCGTGGCACACTCGGGTAAGACACCACCGCCAAATGTTATCAGTCTGCTAGAGACGTTAGGGGAAACTAGATTTGAAAAAATCCTAAAATACAGTTTATTTAAGTAGTTCAATAAAGTTTCAAGTGCCCCATGTTGTCCCATCTTGTATGTGGTCTTCTCGTGTCAACTGGGCTTTCCGCTGTTTGTTTGAACCCAGGCGGAACACCCCCTACAAGACGCTGGAGCCTGTGAAGCCTCCGGTGGTGCCCAACGACTACATGACGAGCCCGGCCAGAATGGGCAGCCAGCACAGCCCCGCACGCACAGCCTCCCTCAACCAGAGACCCCGGACACACAGGTAACATCCTCCCCCCATCTGTCCAAAACTGAACTCGGACACTTTCCCTAACGTAGCCTAAAAGATGAAAACCCATTGTGTGCCGGGGGCGTTCAGATTTGTATCATAAGACATTGTCCTGTCACTTACGACTCAGTATGTCGTAAGCAATCTATTGTTACTGCCTCTTGGAAAACGTTGTTCTCACACGTGTGCGCAGCGGCAGCAGTGGCGGTAGTGGCGGTAGGGAGAACAGCGGAGGCAGTGGAGTTGGCATCCCTCTGGCAGTCCCCACCCCTTCCCCTCCCAGTATGGGCCAAGGTGAGTCCCAGCCCCCAGGGCTGTTTGCAGCCACCTCTGTTCTCCATCTTTATTTGTGCTGATTGTCTTCTATAAAGAGTCGCAATGCATCCATGCAGTGCACAAAATAATTGTAACTATGTCACCCCGACAGTGGCCACTTCCTCGGCCTCCGTGCCCCAGGGCCCCGGGCTGGGCCCCATCCCCATGTCCCAGTTCGGCACCATCTCGCGCCAGATTTCCCGCCACAACTCCTCCACCACCTCCTCGGCCTCCATGGTGTCGGCCACCGGCACCTACCGCCGCGCGCCCTCCGTCTCCTCCCAGCAGCCCCACGTCAACGGGGGGCCAGCCTTCCAGCAGAGCACGAGTAAGAGACACACAAGCCAATGCGAACGGGGGGGGGGTTGAGGGTAGGTCTTTCAGGAAGCGGCAGAAAAAGGATTGACAAAGCGGTGCGCTGTCGTTTTGAGTTACAACATTGCTTTTTCAGTCAGTTTGGGAGGGAGCGAAGCAGTCTGGCAGGACGTGTTTCGGGGTTTCGGGATATGCAGAAGCGTATTTTTTATTTTGTCGACACAGAGCGTGAAGGTGAGGGTGTTTGTGTGTTTGTGTGTGTGTGTGGAGGGGTCAATTTATGACCCGGACCTGTGTGACATCACGCCTTTGAACGAGGACAGCCGTCTTTCTGAAAGCCCGTCCATTTTAGGCCGCGCAGCTCAGAGCTGTTGCTGAATTCAGATCTCCCCCTCCATCCCGGTACGCGATTAAATCGCCGGGTCACATAGAGGAGCGGCGGCTTAAACCTCCCTAAACTCTAAACTCACAGCAGTGGCTTTGTGGGTCTTTGCGGTGCTTCGCTGCCTGTGTCGTGCGTCAGAAGCCTCTCGCCAGCCGCAGCCTTTGCTTGGACTTAAAACACGTGCTGATGAGGTCAGTCCTCAGACTCAGATGAGGTAAATGGCCAGGTGAATTTAACAAAAAAAAGAAAAGAAGGAAATAGCCGATTAGAGACGCGCTCCCAAGCTTTTCGTCTTCTTCCACACGCTGACTCTGCTATCTGCTTTCCACCCGCCGTGCGCCTCTGTCTGTCTGCTGCTTCCTCTGCTTGCCCGGGCGCCGCCGCTGCTCCAGTCGCCGTGGCCCCGCCGCCCCCCCCCATGGTCCAGCTGACCCCACAGATCCCTCTGACCGGCTTTGTGGCCAGAATGCAGGAGAGCAGTAAGTAAACTGTCACACTCAAACATCAATTGCCTCCCGACCAGCAAATCCGGCCCCGTCGTGTTGAATTTGGACACGCTCCTCACTAGGAACGCGAACACACACACACACACACACGCCCGTGCGCGCTGCTCTCTGCGGCTCCTTAAACACAGAGCACCTCTGATCACACTGTCTGTTTCCATGGTGACCGCTCGCTGAAAGCCTGTGTCCTGTTCTCTCTCCGTCCACTCTGGAGAGTAAATGTGACCCGACGGCTCGTCCCCATTCACCACCAGCTCCACCGTGGCAGTCCAACTGTCTTAAAACAGAACAAAACAAACAAACAACCAAGTTAAAACCAGCATTCTGGAGGGTTTTCTCTGTAGATGTTTCTTGGTGGCATTTGAAGTTATATTTTTGTATTTTCCAGCAGAAACAGAGGGTTAAAAGAGCTGATAGGCTCTAAAGAAAAAATAAAAGCATGGAGCTCGAGGTGAACCCGGCGCCAGGACACTCGCTCACTTCCTGAAATCCGTTTTATAGTCGAAACTTTAGCCAACAGTTTACTCAGACTCTGACCAAATGCTTTGTTGAGGCAGAGTGTGATAGATAAGACCGATAAAACCTGGCAGTTATTGTTTCTCAGTGAACCCCTCTCAGATGTTAACGCTTAAGACGATTTTCAAAGCAAGTCAATATGAAAAACAAGGAATTTCTGTAGGAAAAGATGAGCTGGTTTGTGAAAGCTTCTTCTTTTCGCCCTCACGCTTTGTTTTTGTTCTTGCTGTCAGGCTATCGTGGCACAAGAACATCTTCAGTCAAGCTTAGGTTATTCCTACATTTTTAACTTAAAACCTATTCAACAATAACGTTGACACAAAGTCTGAAATGAGCCAGTCAAAGAAGAAAAGAAAAGAAAACAGTGTCGACATATTCTCTCTCTCTGATGCTCCAGTAACAGACAGCCCCGCTCCACCTCCTCCACCTCCCCCAGAGGACATGGGCGTGTTTGAGGAGCCCGCCCCCCCTCCACCCCCTCCACCTGTGGACTACGAGGAAGAGGAAGCCGCCGTGGTCCAATACAGCGACCCCTACGCCGACGGAGACCCCCAGTGGGCCCCCAAGTCTTATTTAGAGAAAGGTCAGTGCCACGGATCACCTTATCCACACATGGCAGGGGGAGGGGATTGAAAAACAAGTTTCTTTTTTTTTCTTTTAATCTACGATTTGGCATAGGAACCACTGCCACCTGAAGGCCTGATGTAGCTGGTGTAGATAGATTTTTGTTTTCTTTCTCTAGACAGAATGGGGGGGGAGATACTCGCTTTTCACAGAAGCGTCTGCTACCTGTGCTCAGGGTCTAACCTTCCAACCACTGAGCACTCCCTTCTTCCCGTTTTGCGACAGTGGTGGCCATCTACGACTACATGAAGGACAAGGAGGACGAGCTGTCCTTCATGGAGGGCGCCATCATCTACATCATCAAGAAGAACGACGACGGCTGGTTCGAGGGCGTCTGCAACGGCGTCACCGGACTCTTCCCCGGGAACTACGTGGAGTCCATCATGCACTATGCCGACTAAAAAACAAACAAACAAACAACTACAAACAAAAAAGACAAAAGAAAAGAAAAACAAAGACGGCGCTCGGTTTTGGACGGCAGGTAAAGATGTACAGGCGGATGCGGTTCGGTGATAGCAGCTCATACAGCTCCCGTCTGGAGAGTTATTTTAGCGGTTTCCTTCTTTTGGAGGGGGGGGGGGGCGTTCTAGCATCGATTTGGTCTGCTTTAAAACTAGAGTTGCACAAGCTTCTAGATGGGGTTTTAACCTTTCGAGGCCGTGGTGTGCTTGTTTACATTGGAGCTGAAAGGGAGGAGGTAGAGACCCTTCCTTTTCAAAGCACCACCCTATCCCAGCGCCGTTTCCACCGGCAACCATCACATTCAGCCTCGCCAGACATCACCCTCAATCAAAAGGGTCAGGCACAAAGGAAATTTCCATGTAGCGCCAATCGAGCTATCTAAAGAGGACACTTTTCCCCCCTAGTATGCAGTAGGTTCGGCCAGAATTCGAACGAAATCTCCTCCTTCCAAAAAGACATCCACCTTGCCTTATCCAAAATAAGAATCAGAGAAGAAGAGCGCGTTAGGACGTGGCTGAATGTTCCACGTCGCAGACGCCCAAACCCAGAGATATTTGGGCGGGGAAAAAAAAAAAAAAAGGCACAGCGGAGTTTGTGTGTCTGCTGCACTCGAGTGTCGGTGGGAAGGATGTTTCAATTAAAAAGGGCGAGTGTACAGAAAGCCGTACGCAAAACAAAACAAACAAACAAAAAAAAAGAAGACAGTTTCTTCTACCCGCTGGGGTTTGGTCCTGTTCTCTTAACGTGTATATAAACTGTAACGTGACGAGCTGCCAGTACAGTACATTTTGTCAGTGTGTGTTTCACCAGTGTTTCCGTCGGCGTCAGTGGAGGCGGTGCCATGGTTTGATGCGCTTCTTTTTTAAACCGACTGTTTTATTTTTTTTATTTTTTTTTTACTTGAATGTCCATTTTCTCCATCGGTCACGGTGCCATTTTTACCTTTACCCCAGGCAAAAGTGATTGTGTATTAGCATTTATTTTTTTAACGTTGAGTCACGACTGTATCTGTTTTTATTTTTTTATGTTTTTCGATCACGGTCACTGTATTTAGTGATGCTGTCCAGCTACTGTAGCAGAGAGCTCCCTGACATGAACCAACCAGTGCGTCTTTTTGTGTTCTCCCTCCTCCGGTGTGTTCCAGCCGTGGTCAGCCAGCGCGGCGCCTCAGATTCCCGCCACGCTCTGGTTAACGTGTTGCTTATCTCGGAAGTATCGGCCGATATTCCCCACCTGTCCGCTCCTTCGGTGGTTGCTGGTGTGGTGCTTTACACTGGTGCTCGGCGACCATAATCACCAAACCAAAACAACCTCAAACGCAACACTGCTTTGTGCGGGAAACGCCACAAAGGTTCGCCCGATTCTGAACCGGGGCCGTTTCTGATTGTAACCCCCCCTTCAATCACTTCTGTGTTGTTGTGAATGTAGGCGACTGGGTAGTAATGTCAATCCAGGGGTCTTAAAAGGGGTCCTCAGGAGAGTTTCTACCGCAAAATAAGATGCCTGCCCTCGCAAAATGATTGTCGGTGCGAGTTAAACTGCCTGTCGGACATCTTTAAAGCTAACGCTCATTTTAAAAACCTGTTTGGAAGACATCAATACATCTGAAATAACAGGAATTAACATCAGCTACTTTAAAAGGGACACAGAGATCAAATGTTCAGGTGTCAAGAGACCAGAGAGGACTAGGACTTGTTCACGCTGACAGTATTTATTCAGTATTTGGATGTCATTACAGAGAGGGATTAGCTGCCACATCCCATTCTTGATTGTATTTTTTCCATCATGAGGTCTTTTTTTGTTGTCTTTTTTGTGAGAATCTTAACTTTTTCTACCTAACATATTTCTAGCTTCGCGTTCAACTTCTTTTTATGTCCGAGACTGCTGAGGAAGGTCCGCTCGAAGTTTGTAAGTAAAGGAGTTTATTTATACTTTTTTTTTTTTTTTCATAGAGAAAGTCAGGAGACGACCGCTGACGTGCAGAGATTTGTAACGTTTACCACTTAATGTCTAGCATTTCAGGGCATCACAGGACAAGGGCGCCTTTTCTTCGATGTGTTTTCTTATGATCAAATGTGAAATGAAGAGGAAATAAAACAACAAAAAAAAGCAACCATTTGCAACCTAAATGTCCACGGGAACAGAAATCTGATGTTTGTCCTCCTCTCTGTTTGTACATATGATGTGTTCATTGAAATTTATGTACAGTCTTTTTGTAATAAACCGCTCATTGAAACTACAACAGAGGGGTGTGATTCGTCCATAAATTACTTTTGCAACACGTCATTGTTAAGGGATCTGTACAAAACCAGAAAAAAATAGAAGCAGAAAGAATTGTCTCTAAAAATTCTACAGCAACCGAATCAGATTTTTGGGGGGTTTTCTCACACTGCTTTTTGTAAAGTCTGGACTTCTTTTTCTGAATTCTTAAAGATGTCTCAACTCTCCTTTTTAACGCCTCTTCAGGTGCCCCATGAAACGACTTCAGGAATCCAGGAGGCTGAGATCGGCCGTCCTTGTTTAAGGTCTGTGGAGCACCATAAAAAATCTGATCCCTGTAAACATATCTGTCTTCTGTTATCGCCCTTGAGTCCTGATGCGTAAACCATTGGAAGCTTTTTCAAAAGCCGCTCCGGGACTTGATGCCTCAAACACTCTCTGCCCCGGCCGAAAGAGGAGGAGGAGGAGGAGGGATGAAGTCCGGCGGCGGCTCGTACGGGTAGTCCTCAACACTTGTGGATTTGGGTGAAGACGAATAGGTCTGATCGTTTGTAATGTCTATCAAAACAGATTTAAAAAAAGGGTGAAATCCTGAGGGATATATTCAAGATTTGTGTATTTACAAGGCAGGTAAAGCTGTTTAGGCCTTAGTGAAAACATTTCAAGATGGCTTTATTTCTCAGTATTGTGATCAATTCAATGTATGTGGAGTTGTGTGTGTGTGTGTGTGTGGAGTTACCTCTGTGTGCAGCAGCAGGCTGAAGGGCTTGCTGAGCGGGCGCTCTCCTCGTTGCAGCTCGGTAATTCTCATACAGCACAGTGCCATACTAAACGCTCACACAGTGGACACGCACCTTTTAAAACCCACCGCCAAACACAGGCCGACACGTCTGTGTTTAGCCCGCTCTCACCTTGGCTATCCTGATGGCGTTGACCCACAGCAACAGGGTGTGCTCGTCGTCGCAGCACAGGAAGCGGATGTAGGGTGACTCCATCTGGATGCAGGGATGCTGAGAGAGGAGGGACAGAGGAAAAAAGCGTTGGTTCCAGCTGTGGCCGGGAGCTACCGGTGAGTGAACGGAAGGACTGGAGAGGACATTATGACTGAAGTATCAATGTAAGATGATCGAATGAGGCAAATATGAATAAATATCCTGGCATTTATCCATCAGCCACCTCTAACCCTGACACCCCCCACACACACATACACACACACTTCTGTAGTTCACAAAAACGCCAATAGAGGGCAGAGCATACCAGAGTGTGACTTACCAACTGTCATCACACATGTAAAATCTGAAAAGTATCTATCTATCATTCAGTAAAAGTATATATCAGAAGGTTTATTATTACAATAATAGTAATTATTATCATTATCATAATGCTAAATATCATATGGCTATCTCTGTTCATGATTTAGAACTAAGAGATGCTTTTTTTCAATGCTTAAATGACATTTTCACCCTGTTAGGAAATTAGATTTTTTGCTGTTTTCTTGTCCTTTACCTGCTGTAAATTCTGGCTACAGCCACGCAGAGCCTCCCCACACACACACACACCCCACATACACCCACACACACACAGCGAGAGACTCTTATCTGGTCTGCGCGGTTCTAAGAGCACAACCACAACTCCTTTTTAACTGCCAAAAAAAAAGAAAGACAGAAGTGCTACTACGCTTCTTCGCTACAGACACAGGTCCTCGGCGGGGAAATGGCCTCACATGCCCGTCAACGAGACCACCGCCAGCCCACGCTTCTGCTATTCTGGAAGCCGGGCCTTTGCCACCTAAGAGGTCAGGCAGTTTTTCAAGGCCGACTTTGAGTCAGCTCCGCGCGACCTTTATGTTTGCTTTCCTCACTTCCTTCCCTCTTTCTCGGGGGGGGACACAGTTGCATGAGCGTGTGTGAAATGAAAAGGAAATGAGATTCGGAGAAGTCTCTTTGAGTAGGGGTCACAGGATTTGGCACAGGGGCGATCGTTTCTCACCATGAACAGCGACATGCTGCAGGATGGAGAAACCGACCAAACGAGGCTGAATGCCTTTGTAATGTGCCTGAATAGGAATCCTCAATCCATGCACATGATATTACACTTAACAGGCATTTTTAATGGTTTAAAGGGAGGAAGGCTACATTATAGCTTAGGGAAAAAAAAGGGTATGCAGGGGAGAAATGGCTCATTGATGATTTCTCCTCCATAAACTGCTGACTGCTGACCTTTAAGATGAAGCAGAAGTCGGTGGGAGCCCGGTATTTCTGCCGGTAGCCGCTCGTGGTGTAGACGTTGACTTTTTCAAAGTGAACCAAACGGGCCAGGTCAGTGGAGGACTGAAAAAGAGAAAAAAAAAGCAACGTCGTGACAGGCACAGACACAAATGTTCAACGGTCGCCTCGCTAAAAGCCTTTTTTTTAAAAGCAGACTTTTGTGACTGATTAAGAGCAGACAATGTTGGCCATTCCAAGTCCTTCAGAAGAAATGTGTTTTATTTCAAACTCATTGTCTCATTTTAACTCCAACAGAGTGATCTGAATCAAGGTCCTTTTTTTCATATAAAGCATTTCAATATTAATTCCTAGTTGTTTCTACCCTCTAACATTATGCTAAGGTTAGCGGCTAACTGTAGCTTCACATCAGTACAGAGTGGGTTTTTTTTAGTTATTCCATTTTATTTTCAACTCTTTGGCTATATTAATTTTCGGCAAAACATCCATTGGAAACAATACAGCTCTTTTAAAACTACATGAGAACTTATATGAAAGCTAGTTTAGTAAAGCATTAGTTAGCATTAGTTTGGCATTTTTTCTGTTTGTTACTATCTTAAAATACTACATATAACAATCAAGAGCAATTATAAAATAAAAAAGTCCATGATTTTCTGCATTTATAGATACATAAATAATTACTATTGGCCAGTTATATCTGAGGTTATGGTTGATGACAAATAAAGGGTCCTTTTCCTTTACCCTTTTCCTTAGCCCTCTTTATTTCCACCATACCTTTGTCTTTCCTTTGGGTACGTAATAGATGCCCGAAGCCCTGAGCACAAAGTAGCGAGCTTTCCAAACCTTCTTCCCATCCTCTTTTAGGTACAACATGCCCTCCAGGTCAGGGACCATCACAGTCGAACCCCCAAATGATTCCTGCACAATGGGAACAGCCGAAATTCACAGCGATGGGAGACAAAGCAAACCGGAGAAATGAGCCATTTCACTGGCACGTTGTTGTAGTTGTGCAACTGACCTTAATCAGGGCCTCTTTGGCCTTGCTGTTCATCCCGCTCAATTTAGATTTCTTCTTTTTCCACATGTAAAATAGCTTCATGTTGACAAAAAGGAAACAACACAATGAGAATTGCACCATGCAGTCGGGCTTTGGGGTGAAGGAAACTAGTCTACATCGCTCACCTGAGGGTCTGTGAACATTACGTACTTCTGGGGCCTCGTCACAAAATAGATTTTGTTCTGGCTGTTGCGAGTCCAGGCAGACAGGCGCTCCACTAGATGTTCATGATCCTCAAAGCCTCTTTCTGGATGGTGTGAAGTAGATCGCGTGTGACGCCGCGGCTGGTCGCACTTTAAAGTGTGTGTGTGTGTGTGTGGGTGAGTGACCTCACCGGTCAGCAGCTCGGGGTTGGTCTCGCACAGGCTCCAGTCCACGCCGCGCTCACAGTGCGTCTTCTCAAACAGGTTGTCCAGAACGTCTCGCACCGTCTGCCTCTCGTCCACCATCAGAGTTTTGGAGCTGTCGTCACTCATCAGCACCTTTATTATCAACTGACAGAGGGGGGGTTTGGTTACTTTCGAGTTGTTAGTCGTAACTTAGACGCATTGGCTTTTACCATGGCCTTCTACCTTCCTGAGTTTGGCTTCTTTCAGCTTTTCCAGAGCCAGTTTGATTTTCTCCGCCTTTGTTTGGGCTTCATTCTAGAAAAGAACATAAAGAAGAATGATTTTTTTCAATCAACACTCTGTCTCTGTGAGCAGTTGAAAACATTTTGGGTCTCACGGTTTTAATCGGCTTGGATGATTCAGCGGGGGGCGCAGCAAGGGTGACTGCCGGTTTGATTTCCTGTGCCACCGGAGGCGGAGGGCCACGGTCAGCTGTGGGTGACTCTTGGACGGGCGATCCTGACCTCAGGTCGGCCACCAAAGCATCCAGGTCGTGGTCCTCCAGTTCATTTAGAGATTCTAGCAAGAGGAGACATCGTGGCCGTGGCTTCCGGGCAACTTCGAAAAGCATTTTTATCAGGGTCACTGGCCGAGCTGCATTTGCTAAGCTGTTTGTGCTGGGGTATGGAGGTATTCAAAGAGAAATAATTCAGAAATGAAGTACAAGCAACGTTGTTAGACTTGATAATGTCACAAAATTGGTGTCGCGTTTGCAGGGAAATGGGATTTGCTGCTCCTTTCTGCTTGATCTTTGGAAATCAAACAAAGACAATCCTACAATATATCACATTTGTCTCTTTTTGCCCACCATTTATTATTTGATTTTAAAAGAAAAAATGGGTATCTTAAATTTTCATGCCGAATTTTCTGCTAAAACACTTCACAGTTGTCTCCTTGGTCAAGCAACATACATTCTAAATGATTTGAAACCGTTTTAAATGGGTTTGGTGTAGGTGCCTTTACCCTCTGACGTGCTCAGTTTTCATTTTGACAAACCAAAAGCAGTCAGCCACAGCCTCATATCTACCCTCACGCATCTCAGTTTCAGTTTCTATCTGGACAGTTCGAGGCTCCCTCTTTTCTGGACTGCTAACTCGCTTTGACTGAGTAGGGCTGTTTGACGGAGCGAGCACTCACCCCTCAGGTCGGTGAAACCGATGGACATGGGGCTCTCCTGCGCATCAGCGTCCCCCCCCGATCCGTCGGCCGCGGGCGTTAGACTCTGCAGGGAAGGAAAGGTACACAAAACGCATTCACACGCACAGTCGGAGTGGACTGAAGTTAAAGCTGTAATGTTGCAGAGCTACAGAATCTGACCGTACGATGCTGATCACTCAAAAATCACTTGCTCTGCACAGAACAGACTGTAATCCACATTAATGCCGGCCAGTGTGCAGTTTAACCCCGTCTGAGAATCCATTTCATCATACTACAGCTGCTGCTGATCACACATTGCCCCCATTTTTGGTTTTTGGAGCTTCCATGGAGGAATTGGAAATAAACAGTAAGGCAACATGTTTCATGCAGAAGTTATAAGTATGCACTGTTTTTTTTTAAGCAGATGCAAGTCATCCAGGAGCTGTGCACGTGTGCTAAAAAGAGAACAAGGTCTGCAGAACAAGGTCCCACCAGGTAACTCTGACCTCCTGGTTCATATTCTGCACAATCACAAAACAACGGTGTAATCAGATCATTTCCACGTCAGCGGAGAGAAAAAAGAAAAAAAAGAAAATCCAGTGATTTGTCTGATTCACGTCTTTCGACCTGTTCCCATTTGCAGCCTGCGTATGGAAGCAGTCCGAACAAAAGAGTGCCAGAGTCTCAGCTCATCTGGTCCGGTTTTAAGAAAGAATGCGAACGCTCTGAGAACCATTACAGTAAACTTTGTACAGAGTATTGTCAGAGATTTTGCTGGTGTGGCAGCAAGAGAGGTTTGGTTAAGGATCCTAGAAAGAGATTTCGGACATTTTTCAGCATACATTCAAAGCTTCCATTTGATTATATATCAGGGCTTCCAGATAACATGCCCTTTAAATCAGGATCTAAACAACAGGATTATGCAACCAAGACATGCATAGATTTAAACAATATTACTCATTTCACCTCAACAGTTTACAACACGTCTCTTGACACACAAACGTAATCCTTCTAGGACTCTTTCGTGGTCATCATATTTGTTTGGCTGTACGTGGGCTCTCACTCGATTTACTGGAGAGCCAAGCAGTTCTTCCCTGTTTTTCGAGAACTCGAAAAGACTCCTGTTGTCAGTCTTCTCATGTGTTTTTTAAAAGGTGCCTGCTTTGTTGGAAGCAGCAATAAGACATGTCATGCAACTAACCATTTACTCTGCTTTTTCATTGGTGAACAGTAACAGAATATATGGAAAAAGTACCCATGGGCAAAGGTGATATGTAAGAAAATTGGCACGAACATGCACATAATTCAGCTGCAAATTGGAACATTAGGAAAAAACTTTTTTTTTTTTTTTTTTGCTATAATATGATGCGAGATACCCTTTTACCTCCAAAACTGCTCATGATGTTCAATGGAGAGCAGAGACTGACGATAAATCCGCTAAACATTAGTCTCAGCCTTCTTTTTAAAAGCCCACTGACCTCAGAGAGATGATTCATCTCTACGAGCAGGTGACTGAACATGGCATCCAGGTCCTCCATCTTCCTGCGGGAGCACAAGAAATGCAGGCTTGAGCTTTAAGAGAAACTAAGAATCGTGTGTTCACCTTCATAAAGAAAAACTGGTGAGCACAAGGAACTGAAAACGCAGCGTTCTCAGTTCAGTTTCAGGCTGCCAGTGCTTCGGCTCGGGTTTTCGGTTTTAAAAAAAACTAAACAAAAAACACTGTGCATCAACAAATGCGTTCTTTGGGATGCTCAGTTCATTTCGAACCATGTTTGGGTGCAGAGCTAAAGCAGATACACGTGCAAAAGTGAATCACCCAAACTAAAAAAAGGAACTCACAGGTCATTTCTACCTCTAAATATTATCAGTGTGTCTTCAATTCTTGGTACTGTCAGTGGGGAAGCCTCAAATAGTTTTCTTTGGCTGGGCTGTGAAAAACATTTGTTTGCTAATCAGCATCCTCATCTTCCATTTACTGTCATGGTTCTATCTCTACCTTTCCATTTTTTTCTCTCCACACCCGTTTTCTATAAGAAAATGAACCAAAGTCCATTAGCTCTTTGGGCTTGGCTGACCTCCCCTGTTAGAAGACTCCATTGAGATGAAAGACTTTGTTCAAACCAAGCTTCGTGAGCTCTACAGCGTCGGGGTTTTTTCCATATGCTGGCAGCCTCCTGCCAACTTTAGGATGAAAAAAAAAATACATAAAGAAAATAAATCTTTCATGTGGATCAGCTTAAAGAAGTGAGCAGAAGAATGAGTTCTCGGCTCATGCCAGCTCTGCAAGACGCTTTGTGTGGTTACGAAGAGCAACAATATATAGAGAGGAAACAGCACGTAGTAAATATAGTACCACTATCTGATTTTTTTTTGTTTGTGCTTACTTTGCATAGTAACGTGTCTGTTAAGCACATCAGCGCTATCTTAGCTGCTCCTTTTTTTGGCCACATCACGGTTTAGGCTGTTCATTTTTGTGATATTGCACATCAATAATGTTTTTTTTTGTGTGTGTGGTGAAATTGTATTTTTACAATAGAGAAGTTGTTGTCATATCAGCATTTAATCATCTCTGTCTCCACCTCGGAATGCTGTAAAAATGCCCGTTACACTTCATTGTTTTGGCCTTTTGAGGACTTGAAAGATCTTATCACATTTTTTATTAATTTCATCAGTGCTTAAAGTTACTTTCATCATCTATGGTGCATACATAAGTAATCGTGATGTTAAGTACGGTCACAGTAGTACCTGATCTTTATATATTATGCACGCTCAGCAGATCCAAATCAGCAAGTCGCTAATTTTTCTGCAAAAAATGCATCACAAACATGACTTTCCTGATACATTTGTCAGTGAATATGCTGAAAGTTGACCTTGGCTGGAAAGAAATGTTCCAAATGAACAACTTCTGGTGACTTTTTTTGCTCCAATGTGCATCTTTTTGTGAATCCCCCCCCCCCCCCGGCCGGGGGCTCGGCCTTCTGTCTGCGCCGTGTTTATGCTAAATCTAAACAGGCCATCCATTACAGGCTCATGATGTAAAAGGGGAAGAGTGGAGGGGATTGTTGTGGGCTGGGTATTGTTTCCATATGAAAGCGAAATATGTGGATCGCTTGAGTGTACTTTCTACCTTTGTGACCTCACGGGGCCTCTGCCGTGCACATGTGAAAGCTTTTCTTAATGCCCGTCCACAGCATCCAACCACGCATTTTAGCTTTGTCCAACACTAATAACGATGATTCAGAGCAGAAAAGAAATGGAGACCTAGAATAGAGACAATCCCCCATGGTCAAATTCACAATCATTGTGTATTAGAGCAGAAAAACAAATACAAAGTTTGAATCAAACCATGTGACCTGTTGGCAGTCACTGTTGAAAAGTGGTGCTTAGTGTTCAGAGACAGTGAATGATGCATTTCTAAAACCACAGCTATATTTACGGGGCATGTGTTGCTGTGGTCTCGCGCCTCAACAAAAACTTGCGAACACGCAGGCACGCCGGGAAAAAAAACGCTGATTTACCGGGAGGCAAATGCTCACTGCTCGCCCACAGTAAACCGACATGTTTGCTGGTTTACTGCGGTCGAGTGTTTCTGGCTGTTTTGTAATGAGTTGCACATCCATCCACTGGCTGCTGTGGGGGAACATGTTTGGCTTTCAGAGAAAATAAAAAAGAAGAAAGCTGATGTTGCTCTAAAAGTATTTAACTCTTAAAAGCCCCAAAATGAGCTGAGTGTTTTGTTTAGCATTTAATTTTTAAGTTGCTTAGAGTGTTAAAAATCACTTTAAACTTTGGAAAATGGGGAATTTGATCCAAAAAACGCCACGAGCCTTAAACCTAACACCTTCAGACCTTCAGAAACCAGACCAACATGGTGACTTTGTCAGAAAGCATTCATCACAGCAGTGCAAAACTATCGGTAAAACATTTGTCTTTGACTAATCGACGTACTCTCTTAGAGTTCTTACCTCTTGTTCCTTTTTTGATGGGTGGAAGCATCACCGAGCGTGTGAACACTAAACCGGTCTCGAGTCATCTTATAGAGTAACCACATGTACACGTGACGTAGTTGGAACCGGCTTTTGCAGAATCAGGAAGTAAATCTAATTCTTTCACACAGCAGAGGGAGGTTCATATTTGTAATTATTTAGCATGCTGATGTAATGTGTGTGAGTCTTGTTTCACAGCTGCTTTACTTCTTTTTTTTTTAATTGTGGCACATAACTGATCCCCGTCCCACAAAACGTTTACTTCTATGAAGTTTAGCCAAACAGCAGATGCTCTTACAGGATGGGACAGTCTGAAACCCTCCCATGTGAATTAAATGTGTTAGGGTTCCGTACTTTAAATCCATGTAAATGACAGTATAAGCAGAGATGGAACGGAAACATAAAACCTAGAAAAGTATCACACGAGGAATTGTTCTCAAAAGAAATGGGCTCAGAGACACGGTGGTAGTGTATAAAACTGGGTTTAGCTAAATGGGAACACAGAAATAAGGTTTCATTTCTGTACCGATGGTTCGGTTTTGGGTTTTTTTAACCAGCCTGTAAGATACAGAAATGACCCTGTGGGTAAATGCTACAGCATTAGTCAATCGCCAAGTTCTGAAACGTCTCTCCGAGTTTCACCATGCACAAAAGAACAGGCTTGGATAGGGTCTGGCTGAAGTTCAAGAGGGGAGAGATGATCCTGGGAGACAAGTGTTTTTTGCTAAGTATCGTCACATCACTGCAATTACACACACACATACGTCTCATGAGGGGGTGGGAGCTGAGTTAAGCATTAAGATGATCCATTATATGTGAAACAGGGAAGTTATCGGGTTTCCTATGCATTTTAGTTTATATTTTACTAGCTCTCCATCCCGTGAGTCAGAATTTAGAGTGTGATCCAATGACCAGACGTATGTTCGTTTAAGCTGGAGGATCTCTCTGATCATCCAGAAGAATAATTCAGTCTTTTAATTATGCTTCCCTAACTCCTGAACTCTGTTCATGCATTCATGTTTAAACTGCTTTCTTGTCTAATGTGAAATAATTTGACTTCAAACAAGCATAACTAAAGGCTACTGTGTGGATGAGCCTTTACATGGATGCGAATAAAGGGTTAACGCAGCATGAGGTTGTTAAAAAGCATACCATCAGTTGTGATAACTATTTATCTTTCATTTTAAATAAACAATTTATTATTATTATTACCCTCAAGAGGCTGTGCAGTGAAATTCACAAGTAGCTGCAGGGAACTTGTTTACAGGACTGTTACTTTTTAATAGAGACCAGGTCTACGTAGAGATGACATCACAAACAAATCCTGTAATTCATCCCATTAACCAAATTACTGACTCCAGTTTCTCCACAGAACCTATCCGATAACTTGCAGAAAGGAAATACTTGTCTTTACGTGGTAATGCACGTGTTTTTGGTTTTGCCTGATGTGAAGTGGTAGCGACAGGACTAAACTGTTACAGTTTCTTTTTTGGTCATTTCTGCCCAGCCAGATGTTACAACGGCCCCTCTTCGGAAAAAAGAAGAAAAAAAAACTAAAAAGGAATCGTTCTCCTGAAATGCCGAAAGACATTTCAAAGCTCTTTTCCCACACTGCCTCAATAATGTTGAGGTCCAGGACTTGGGGAGGGTTCATCCCTCGTTTAGCTCTTTTCCCCACTGATTTTTGGTCCATTTCTAGTGTCATTTGGCCGCAGCCTTTCTTTTTTTAAACAATATATATACTAAAATTCTTTTTGAAAGGCACTCTATCTCATGTAGACCAACAGAGATGGATCAGATGATGGGTTAACTGAAGTTCCAAATGCATTTTTCAGGTCCTGTTTCATGTCCGGCCTTGTTTTCTCCTCTTTCTCCGTCACATCACAATCAGAAGTTTCCTATTTACCCAGGATGAATTCCGGTTTCTCCTCCAAGAACCCCATGTACCACACGTCTGTGTGTTTGTGTGCAAAAAGGCTCCTAATTCAGCTAAAGGCCTTTAAAGAAAGTCAAACATTTCCATCTCAGTATACTTCAGTGAATGAGTGTGTAAATGAAATGCCACTTTGCCGTTAAAAAGGCTAGAAAATGGAACATTTAGACGTCTCTAATGTGGTTGAAAGCTTGAACCAAAGCCGTGTGTGGTCAGATGGAGGAGATGAGAGTGGCAATAAACTGAAATAAAGTTTACGTTCATTAAGAGAGAGGCTTTTGGCTCTGACGTGACAGTATAAGAGGGCTGTGTTTTAAAAGGCCCACCACAGCTCTCTCATCCAGCTCTGCAGAGACGATGAAAGCCTCTGAGCCTTTTAAAGTTTGGGGGAGTTTTTAATTCTGATGGGCCCATTAAAACCTAAAAGCCCGATCCTGTTATCAAAGTTACTAAAAAAAAGGAGCAAATCAAACTTTTGAAAAAATACAGTTTTTTTGTTATATTTGAAGAACTATAACCAGAATTTAGCTGGTTCATATTGGTCTTACCGTGACCTTTTGGACAATAAACTGCTCCTGACCGGTGGGCCAGGATGAATAATGTCCAAATACCCCCCCATATGCACCGTTTGAGTGGGGAACGGTGACTCCGCGGAGTGGTATGTCCGGGGAAAGCCACGGGTTAATTTAAGACTAGGAGCAAAACCTGTTGCCAATTAGAAGCAGTGAGCGCCACATGTGAGCGAGACGCAGCTCTCCGCAGAGAGGCGCGTGGAGGCGATACGAGGAGGCTGCGCATTCAACCAGAGCCGCAGGTACACGTGCACAGGCCAGTATGACGACCCAACAGGGTCCAGGACACTGAGGGGTCATCTGTTGACATCTGAACTGCTTCTGACCAGCGGCATGGCTACTCTTTTGGAATTTATCCTCCTCTTTGCCATCATCGCGCCCACCGCGACGCAATGGAGCAGGCCGTGCGTCGGAGCGCACTGCCAGGGGCAGCCGCACCCCCCCGCGCAGCCCAGGACGGGTCAAGCCCATCCGATCTATCAGCAGGACGCTCGTTTCGGTCAGCACCGAGCCCGGAGCGCGCCCCTGTCGCCCTACGCCGTGCACCAGCCCCCGCGCGGGGGCTTTACGCAGCGCGACGGCGCCAGGAAGACCAACCCGAGGACCATCACGGCCGAGGTGTTCCACCCGGGCTGCGCCGGGGGCACGTGCCCCTCCACCGTCTCTCATCACCCCGCCACGCACGACGACGGCAACGCGCGTGACTGCAAGGGGTTCGGGTGCAAACTGCCGTCGAGGATGCGCCAAAAGCAGACGCCGTGCCTTGGAGAGGGCTGCGTGGATCAGGCGGCAGACCCCGGGAGGGGGAACTCCTCTCCCGTCCACGTGACGGACAGAGCCGCGCAGTTTCTGGGGGAGCTTCCGGACCTGACCTCGGATCGAGGAGCTTGGATTCAGCTGACATGTGACATGAAGCCAGGTCAGTGTAATTCATTTAGACGAGCCAAATTCAGAGAAAAAGACACATAATCTATATTCTTTTTCATCTTTATATCAGGGTCTAACGAGGTTCCCTCTGAGGATGCTCTCGTCCTGCAGCTGCAGCTCTCCAAGAGCCAGGAGAGGCTGGTGGAGGCCCTCCAGGACCAGCAGAGCGAGGTCAAAGAGCTGCAGAGGCTCCTGGCCGAGCAGCAGGGGACGCTGGTCAGCCAGCAGAGGGAAATCCTGGAGCAGCAGAGGAGGATGTACGAGCAGATGGAGCAAGTATGGCCGCCGTGATCGATGATGATGGGGAGCCTAATCGCATTCTGTTCCGTTACTGCGCAGCACGAGCCCCCAATCTTTGAAAGTTTCATTTTGATTGCTGCTTGACCGAATCCATGTGCAGATCAGAGGCAGAGAATGTTCTATAACTGACCACAATCAAGATGAAACCAAACAGTTGGTACTTCTATTTTGTATGCAATCTAATCTTAATTGTACTACTCTCTGTTTCCAGGTAAAAGCCCAGTACAACGTACTGATGGACGGTATCAAACAGACATCTTTCCAGAACCTCCAAGGGGAGCTGGACAGCCACATGGAAGCGCTGAGCGGGCAGGTCAGAGCCCACCGGACGCAGCAGGCCCTCTCCCTGCACAAGGTGGACGTGGAGGCCAGCGTCATGGAGGTGAGCCCGGAACGAAATGGAACCACAGTCTACGTCCATTAAGGAAAATAAAATCAATCTGACCGCGCGCTGTTGCTACTTTCGGGAGCTGCTGGTGATGATGATGATGATGATGATGCGTGGTGCCTTCAGGTGGGCGGGGCCCCGCCGGGCTGCGGCGGCTGCGGGCCGGAGGAGTACTGCAGCTACAGCGGCCGCGGCCCCCGCTGTGAACGATGCACCGTCTGCCCTCCAGGTTTCTTCCTCGTGGCCCAATGCTCGGTCCACGCGGACCGGATCTGCCAGGTCAGCATCTTTTATTTGTCGATTTAACTCCTCTAATTCTAATTCTGGAGGTAAGTAACAAAACTAAGCAAACAAAGGAAAGACTTCTAGATTAGATTGGTGTTTTTCCCCTTATGAACCCCCCCTCCCCCTTAATGCTAACACCTTTTAAAAGCCTAACCAGGGACGAAGGCTGCAAATTAGCTCATGGATACAAGCCTTATGTACTTGGGACATCGGCCACCTGTTTGGTTGCAATGTTTAATTGTACAGTCCCTGTCAAATAAATAAATAAACACTTTGGGAGGAGACAGGTCGTGGGCCCGTTGTTAATCGTTTTAGCGGGTGACTTAAAGCGAGGGTCCGGTTCTCATTACAGGACAGGGACGAATGCCTCGAAATAGCCGATATGTGCGGAGATCAGCAGAAGTGTCTCAACACCCCAGGTATGACCGGCCGTGTGACGGGAAATAGATAGATGGATAGATACTTTATTTATCCCCAAGGGGAAATTCAAGGTTTTTTTTGTTTGTTTTTTTTAGATGGCTAAATGGATAATGGTTCCCTAACAACGCTTACATTTCTGAACTTCACAATATTTTCCCTCCTCTTGACTTTTTCAACAGCTCATCAAAATCTCTCATTTTTTAGACCACACTTTTCAGTCCGGTGGTCCCATGCTGCTTTCCTCATTCCCTCCCCAGGTGGATTCAGGTGCCACGGTATGACCGTGCGAGAGGCCAGCTCCGGGATGTGCGGCCACGGCTACTTCTTCAACTCGGACGCGGACGAGTGTCAGGCCTGCAGCGAGTGCGAGGGGGGGGCGGCGCCCTGCACCTTCACGGCGGACGCCGTCTGCTCCGGCCCCGCGGGGGGGGGGCGTCGGGGGCGAGGGCGCCCTGTCCATGTCCTGGTCCGGCGGCCTGAGCCTACCGGGCGGCGCCCCGCCCCGCGCCTTCTCCGCCCTGCAGCTCCGCGTCCGTGGGGATGGTGACCATGGCGACCAGGGCCCGGTCTCGGCGGAGGACGGGCGTCTGGTCGTCCGGCAGCACGGCCTGCTCTGGCTGGACGGCGGCCTGGCGCTGAGCCACGGCTGCCGCAGCTTCGTCCAGGTGTGCCTGCGCCTCAACGCCAGCGATGGCGGCGAGGGCCGCGATCTGAGCGGCGTGCGGGTGGAGCAGCGCGAGCGCCGCTCCCTCCAGGGCGCCAGCCTCAGCGGCGTGGCCGAAGTCTCCCCCGGCCACGCCTTGACCCTCCTCCTCCGGAGCGCCGGTCAGCCCTGCAACCAGAGCGGCGAGGCCCTGCAGCTGTACGACCCCGCGGCGCCCGCCCTCAGCCTCCTCTGGCTGTCCCACGACACGGGCGCCGTCGCCATGACGGCGCAGGCCGCCGTGGCCGCGCACTACCACACCAGCTACCGGCCGGCCTTCCGCACCACGTCCACCTCCGACCCCTACGTGGCGGCGCTGACCCACGACGGGCGCGGCGTGCGCTTCGCGGAGGCCGGCGCCGTGCGCTTCGTCTTCCAGCAGGCGCTCTACTCCATGGGTCAGGCCTGCGTGGGCGAGGGCTTCCAGCTGGCCGCCTACCTGAGCCGCAACGCCACGGCGGTGGAGCTGACCCGCGCTTTCAAGCCCGGCGTCCACTACCGCGACACGTCCGTCTCGGTGGCCGGCGCGGCCGCCGTGGAGCCCGGCGACACGCTGGGCTTCGAGATCCTGGCCCCGGCGCAGTGCAACGTCCGCTTCTTCGCTGACCAGTCCGGTGGCGTCAGCCTGCTGAGCCTGGTCTGGGTCCCCGCCGCCATTTCCTCCTCGCTGTCGGCCGCCGTGTCCAGCGTGGGCCTGCCCTCCGGGGCGGTCAGGAACAAGCCCCTGCTCTTCCGCCAGACCAGTCCCAGAGTGGCTCAGATGGGACTGCTGACCGCCACGGGGTCCGCCGACCAGAGCCGGGATTTCGTCTTCGCCCAGAGCGGCACGGTCAGCGTGGTTCTGGACCTCAAGCTCATTCACTCCTGCAGCCTGGTCAAGGTGACGCTGCACAGGCGAAGCTCCCCCCAGGGGCCGGGAGGGGGGGGCGGCGGGGTCGGGGGTCAGCGACCCGTCCCCCTGGCCCAACAGGTGGATGGCCAAATGCCCGAGGGCAGCCAGTGGGCCAGCCTCAGTCTCCGGGCGTCCTTCCAGGTCCATAATGGCACGGCGGTGTTTTTCTTGCTGGACTGCGTGCGCGGACGGGTCAACCACATCAGCCACGAAACAGGAAGTGGGGTGTCGGTGCTCTGGGTCGCGGCGTGATGACCGAAAGGCAAAACTTTTCTCCGCCGCTTCCTCCCAGCTCTGCTGTGTCCGTCTGGATGTGATTTCGTTCTGAACGAGCTAGCTAAGCATGCTAGCACAGCTAAGCATAGCTAAGCTAAGCATGCTCACTACGGCCACACAGAGGAAACGTTTCCATGAAGGACCGTGTCTTTCGGCAGTCTACAAAACACACAACACTGGTCCAAACTTTATCTCAAACAATCTGAAAAAAAAAAACAATCCAAAGGCCCCGTGTCCCAGAGGGTCTCAGCTAATCTGGACCTTGATTTTAACGTTGGGTTCCAAGTCCATAAGACCAGATTTAAAAGCGTTCATGCAATAAGCTAATTTGATTGTCTCGGTTCTAGATGCAAAAGGAATGGCAAACTAGAGTTTTCCATATGCAACAAATCATACACAGGCACCCTTAAGACCTTATTTGTTAGATTTAAAGGCCAGGTTTGTTCATTATGTCCAAAAGTGGGCAGAAAAAAATCACCAAAAGTGTTGTTTTAAAAAAATCTTATATGGTTCTGCCCCCAATATCTGATAGGTCCAGCTCTTTTCAAACTGCAGCTTTACGTTTATCTGACAATATAAAGCTAAAAGATTTTTTTATTTTTTCACCAACTATTTTTCTAACAGAACTATTTACACTTGAGCGTTTCTTTGAAGCTCAACTGTTTTCTAAATTTAGTCTCACAGGCTATGAGCCCTACATCTAGTGCTTCTTTAATGGCTGCCTCGTGAGCAGATGTGCTGCAAGCCTCTGTACACATTCGGGTTGGGTACCATACAATGCTATACCCCACATCACTGGAAAACCAAATTCCAAATGCCAATCTGATATCCAAAACTCAGAGCAAAAGCCAGCTCTGAGGAGAATTGGTACCACGTCTTTATTTCTTTACCCACATGTAGAAGAATGGATCTGGAGCTACTATTTAACATTTGTATGGAAATTATTACAGGTCTGTCATTTGTCTGGCTTTCGTTTATGTAATTCAGTTACTTTTTCTGACGCCAAAGTACATTCATATCATTCCGGCCGCGACGACAGCCTTGTTTTTTTTTTTGTAGCTGGGGCTGGTTTGTATTCGAACGTGTGGTTTCTTAGGAGCATGTGTTTCACGTTAGCTGCCATTTTCTTTAGCGAATATCTTCTGCATGCTCGCCCATAGACCACCTTGCACATATAGACTTGAAGAGAGTCACTAAGGTTAAAGTAGTTATTTAAATATAAAAAAATATTACCTGATAGTGTTAACCCAAAGCAATATGCAAGAAAGTGTATATTTGATTTTTTTTTGTAAACCTAATAAAAAAAAAAGTTTGTTTTTTCACATTTGTTGCTGCGGTGCAATGTGTTAAGGATTAGCTTTGTGGAGGATGGAATTAACTCAATTGTATTGTTTTACTTTTAAACAGACATTTGCAAGACTTTTTTATTGACTTGTGCAGAGGGATTTTTACCTGGAGAAAAATCTAAATCAAATTTATGATGGGTTGAATTAAATGTCAACAGTAACGGCAATGGCATTATAAAAAAAAAACAGATTGCAAAGTGAAGAACTGTCAAACACAATAACGTGTGTTATAAAAATACACAGTACAGCTCAAACCGCTATGCACATTCTATATTTGAGTTAAGTTTAAAAGTAGCATTTAGCTTCACTTGCCCATGAGAATTGTTCTTTGACTTTCCAAATGTGCTCTAGAAGAGAGCACATCATCTATTGACGGTCATCTATTTTCCTTTTAGCACGTCCCTTTATTGGCACGTTTTATTATTGTCAACTTGTTAGAGCTTCTAATAAAAAATGCTTTCTTATAGTAATATCAGTAATGATGGTAAAATCACTCATCGCCAGCTATTGTAAAGCTTATCGAGATCTACAGTGTCGGGCCTTTAACAAAATCTGATCAAATGAAACCAAATGTAATGTAATATTCCCCAACTTTCAGTAATGCTTTTATTTTAGCTTCATCATTTTCAGAACAGTGGACTTATCATGTAAATGTGCACCTTTTATAGAAGGGCCTCTTCTTTTATAAGTCTCTCAGAGGTGTGTGGAGGCTAAATTGAACATGTTACCCACTCTAGAAGTTCTCTACTGCTCTTCCAAAAAAAGACAAAGAAAAAAAATGTCATTAATTCAACAGCTGAAATTATATTACAGGGGAGCTAACTTGCTAATGACTTCTTTGCTCCAGTCCCTCTCAGAGAACTGAACTTCTTTGGCCCTAGATCAAAAAGCAAACTCATGATCCGGGGGCATGGTATATGAAAACCAGCAGGACCCCCCCCCCTTTCATTATTCTATTCTTTGAAGTCTGAACTTCCTGGTTGGTGTGTGTAGCCGATTAGTTGATAATCCCAATCTCTTTGGGGCGGGTCACATTAAAACGTGGGTTCAAACGCCTCCCGGTCATTAGCACTCTCTCATTCAGCCTTTATTTTAATCCCACGAATGAAACGAGGGGTCGATGGAAGTACTGCGCTGAGACGGGAGGTCAAAGAAAGACAGAACCCACCTGCTGGGTAACGGGCAAACCGGCTGGATGAATTATGGTAGTAGGAGGGGGGGAGAAATACTTAAAGGGAAAAAGGTCATAGCCCAGCCCTATAGACAGAGGAGCTCCGTCTGGTGCGAGCAGAGGGCCAAAACACGAGCTCTGTGGGTAATGGCGTACAGATGTAAGGGGGGGAAAAAAAGAGCATGTGCATGTTTCGACCGGGTTCGAAACAATTCGAGGGGCAGCGCATGTGTTTGTGCAGGGACTCTATTTCAGTCCGAGGTATTTTTAGTGCTGATTTCGGGCCCGCTCCCCACCACTTGTGTCATGAAATGTCTTCGTTTTATTTTGATCTGGAAATATTTCAGGAGCCCTCGTGCTCACATGTGCACCAAGATGGAGTTTGGATAGGCCACAGGAGGTGGTCTGTGAACACAAACTATAAACACACAGGTAGCAAAAGTGTGCAGGGGGGCAGGTGCAGCCTGAGGCAAACAAAAATCAGCCAAACAAGCCATGAGACCTTCCGGGGAAAAAAGCCCATGCCAGGCAAAAGAAGGTGAGAAATGGACTGCTCACGCGTCAGAACATCTGGAAGCTCTTCACTCTTTGTTTTCAACTTCTCTTTCCCAGTATCCACTTCTAACCTGTTGGAGGAATAAACCTAAATGCAATGAAGCTTTTGCATTGGGGCCACAATCCAAATCATTTCGAATGCTGACAATTTCAGGAAATGCCTTAATGTAAGATTTGAGGAAGTAGTTGTAAAAAATTTGTCAAAAAAGCCCATTATACATTTTGGAAAACCATATGGAGGATAAAAAATATTCTGTGCTACATATCTAACTGTAGAAGGCTCAATGAAAATCAATTTCTTTCCCCTTAAAATAAAACAGCACAAATGGTGCAAGACTGCCCTCTAGAGGGGAAAAAACTCATGCATCTGTATTAGTTAACGTTTATTGACATTTTAATGTATTTTGTAAAGATAACAAATTTTAACTGACCTTAAAACATGTTAACAATCAAAGTTTTCATCTGACACTATAATGGTGTGCTATAATAATTTCTAATTATTTTAGTTTAGGATAAAAGTAGTCAGGACTGTTACATATGTGATTACATAGACTGACTTTTTTCATGGATTGGACTTCAGGAATTACAACAAAGGTCCTCGATATAAATAATACAGTCACCAAGCAAAGACAGGACATGACCAAACTGTGTTAAAAAATGCAAAGGCAAGGCAGCTTGTGAGCTGTGGTTGGAGGAAAAAAAACAACAAAAAACCTATTGTAAGCTTTAAGGCTTCTGGCCACAGAAAGAGAAATCCTAAAAACTGAGAAGAATGTTAGAATACGGTTATTTTTAGCATATTAATATATAGGGGATTTCAGTGATAATTCGGCACTTGCGTGTTGCAGCAGAAAGTAAAATTGCATCGCTTTTAATAAATATAAGATGCGTCTGAGGCAAATGGTGAGTTATTGGATAATGAATGGGAGAAAAATCTTGCATGCTTTATTATTTGGATAACTCGAATGTATATGAATGGTAACTAATAGTGACATGACAGATATCTTTGGATTAAATGTGAGCAGGATGCTATGATGTGCACAGTAGTTCTGTCAGGCTGCCATAAGATTGTTACAATTACACCGAACACTCAACGCGCCTCCACTGTGAGACGGAAAGTTAAGACGAGACGAAGTTTTTTGGCAAAAAAAGAACAGGTTAAAAAACTGTGAGTTTACCACAGAACTGTATAAAGAATCGGTTGTTTTTTTTGTTGTTTTTGGTCTGTGCTGCAAAGAGATCTGACTGTCTCTGAGAGTGAGAAAAGGCAAGTGTGAATGAGTGAGCTGATAAAAGACAGACGGGGAAAGGATTAGATAGCACAGAGGAACGACGGGTTCACGGGGGGAAAAAAGGCCGGTGAGAGAAAAGTATGGAACGACTCAGTGCAGGATCTCGATGAGAAGCCGCTTAAAGTCTCCGCCGCACTCCGAGTCCAGAGCGTCTTTGAGGGTGGTGTCGTACTTCTCCAGATACATGTCCTTCACCGTCTCCAAGTCAACCTGTGGCGTTGGAGAAAATGGTATTCATTATCAAATTGGGCACTAATTACTCGCTTTAGCATAGTATGTTATAACTTAATCCATGTAAATGACTGATTGTCTTATTCCTTTTTAGATTTATATTATTTCCTTTATAATTCTACTTTTGGGTTAAACTCTCTGGTTGTGCCTACTGATCCTCCTCCTCTCTCTGTTACAGTAGATCAGTGTTTTTCAACCACTGTGCCTCAGTACACTAGTGTGCCGCGAGTGATGGTCAGGTGTGCCGTAGAAAATCATCCTATTTCACCTAATTGGTCTAAAAAGATTTTTTGATAAGGAATTAATTATCTGCAAATATCATTGCCACTTTTGACTGTCTGTGCTGTAGTAGTGACTGGTGGCGTATTCATGTAATAGTTATAATTTGTATATAATTTTGTATATTGAAGTGAACATGTTAAGTGCAATTTGAAAGAAGAAATATAAAATATGATAAAAAAAATACATTTTTGTGTTTATTTGATTCCTATTCAAGACACTTAAGATAAGAATACGATAAGAATAACTATAGTGTAACTATAGGCGGGTACAGATTTGTTTAACAATTTTTGGTTGGTGGTGTGCCTCGTGATTTTTTCGATGAAAAAATGTACCTTGGCTCAAAAAACGTTGAAAAACACTGCAGTAGATACACGTCTTCAAGGTCAACATTCACACACACTTTCTTATCACATTCCGACGAAATCTGCGTGAATTAGGAGCCTCTGGCCTGTTCTCACGTCCGAGGCCCAGAGGAAAACTGTCCATCACACCCGGAAATCGAGGCTCTGTACTGATATTCTCTGGTTTATTCTCAGGCTTCCAACTAAAGAATCGGGCTAACACACTTCCTGCTTCAGCTCCTGTTTCTTAATGTTGATTACTGCTTTCATCCCGGCCACAGGTTTAGCGGGTTATGTCCCAAAATGCTTTAATAGCACGGTTCGGTCTGCACATTGTGCAATGTTTACCTACAAAGCTTTCACAACAGCCTGAAAAATACATAGATGTTGCAATTTCACCAGATGGGTGGCTTCACCAGACAAGGAAAACACACTCGCCTCGGAGCGTCCCACGATAATCCGGATCAGTGTGTCCTCGTCCGTGCCCAATCCCTTCATGGCAGCGTTGAGGCGGCGGGCGAAATACAGCTGGGGGTTCTTTGCGCACCTCACTGAGAAGCAGGAAGGAGGGGGGAAAGCGGGTGTTTAAGATCAGATTTTGAGATTTTATTGACTTTTTGCATGACCCAGAGTCCTTATTACCCAGAGTAATGTAGCAGTCCTTCAGAGTTCCGGTGGCCTCAGAGTCTATGGTGTCCAAAATGTCGGTTCCTGAAAGCTGAAGGAAAACAAAAAGAAACCCTCAACTGTAAGGACCTTTAACTCAGAGAGTCCCATACTGCCAGAGTTTTTTGAGCATTTTGACTGATATTTCAACAGCCACAGAATAGTTTGTGCTATGACTATGTAAACACCGAACACACCAAAAGAAAGAGTAGACTCTCTTCTTTCATCAGGAAAAAAAATGCGTTTCTACCTTATTCCGTTCTTCCTCGACTTGCGTCTCACCGGCGACATGTTCTCTCATAGCGAACCGTTACGTTTTTCTTATTTGCCTACAGTCTATGCTCATCTCCGATCAAAAGTGGCACTGCCATCTAGAGGGTCAATTTGTTACTACATACTCTGTCTAGAAGCCGATATTTACGGACAATCTTCAGCGGATCGTCCCCCAAGTCACTCGCGTTGAAAAACATAAAAGACGTCTATAGACGTCTTTGGCAGTCAGCGGTTGGATTTGAATTGACGTCTATAGACGTGTTTGGCAGCCAATGAGTTAATAGCAACATCATCTGACATGGCAATGACAAAATTCCTTTCGGCAATGTGCGCAAAATGTGTAAAAATCATTTTATTTCGATACATACCGACTCGTAGGCTTTAAAGGTGGCCTGGAGCTGCATGTAGTTCCTGTGTGTCAGGATGTAGGTGAAGGTTGACTCGTCCGTGCCAAACCTGCCCTCTCCTGCCTGGTGAGAACGTTTGAAAAGTGAGAACCATAACCCCCCCTTAATGACAATTAAAGTGAACCGCTGCTGGCCGGAACCTTGTTTGCAAAGGTTAAGCCTAAATCAAACGCCCAGCATGTGGTAGTGCACGTGGAAAGCTTTCAGCTTCATCCTCTGGAATAAGAAGCATGTCGACAAACAAGCTAAAGTATCTTTATCTGGGCATACATGTCATAAAGGTTACCAAGCAGATTGACTTATCGTCGCTAACCATATCCAGAAACTTCATTTTTGTGTTGCTAACACACCAGGAGTCAATATGCAGTCTGTTTATGACAGGCAGCTGCAGTCCCGAGCTAAATGCTAACATCCTGTTATAGGTGAGCATAGTGTATATCTTTAATAGATCTTCAAAATGTCAATATAAGGCCTGAGTCCCCCGATTGCACGGTTCTGTAATGAAAGCTGTGATTAGAAATCATTTTGCCATTTTCTAAACGTGTGGATATTGCGTTACAAGTAGAGTAATGTTGAATAATGTCACTCGGGACAACCACCAGTCTGAGAACACACCTCAAACAAAGACGCGGCGTCTTGTTCGGCTAAACCTTCATCCACCTCGTAGCCCTCGTCCCGGCTCGCCTGTGACAGAAAACACAAAGGACCGTGTGAGGGATGCGTGTGAGGTTTAGGGGAACAGAGAGAGTGAGAAAAAAAAAAACCCCAAAGAGATTTAAATTACAAAAACAAAACAAAATAATCCGTTTATTAGGGATAAATAATCATCTGTTCCACATTATAATAGCTGAGGAACATGGCAGCTCATAGGAATGGCATTGCTGTGGTGTGGGATGAGTCACAGGATTTGTCTTTTTCTCTCTCTATTTCCAGAGGAAGGAAAAAGAAGGGAAGCAGAAAAAGGGCGGGGGCAGCAGGGAGCGAGACATAAAGACCCTAAACAGGCAAAACAATTTGACAAATGTCCCAGTGGGCGAGCACGAACACAATTCTGCAAAGTCACCGTGGGAGGAAAACAAAGCCCGGTTTCTGTCGCCCCCCCCTTAAAAGCCTCCCCCCACAGACGTGAGCACGCATGGTTGGAGGCGACTGTTGATTTTTTTTATTTTATTTTATTTGATTTTTTTTATACTTATTTTTTAGGCGTCAATACATTCAACTTCATACACAATGTTGGAGAAACGTGTCCAGATTTAGCTGGGTATCAGAGTGGCATTCTCCTTGCGTCTGTAGTCGCTCCATTTTTCCCATTTAACATCAAACTTGTCCTCCTGCAGTCTTAGTCTATGTGTGATTCTCTCCATTACGAAAATCTCTTCCACAATGCTCAGCCACTGCTCCACTGCAGGAGGGTCATGTCTATACCATCATTTTGTGATGGTTTTCCTTGATGCAGAAAGTAATATTTTCAACAGATATTCATCGTCCTTTTGAATTACATCGTGTGTGAGGCATCCCAGGTAGAGTGTTCTACATGATCTGGGTATTCCGTATCCCAATATGTTTTTCAAGGTAAGGCTAACATTATGCCAGTATGTGGTTTGCTTTTGACAAGACCAGAATATGTGTGTGTGGCCTACATCAGTCTGGCCACAGAGTCTCCATTATGGCTGTGAACTGGATACCGTCCCAGACTTGATCTTTGGTGTTATAAAAAATCTAATCATGTTTTTCCAATTAAATTCCCTCCACACACGGGAGCAGGTGGCTGTGCACTGCATTTTACACATTTTTAACCATTCCTCCTCGCTTATGTGCTCCTTGTTGTTTTTTGTTTTTTTTTTGTTTTTTTTTTACCTGGAGCAGGGACATCAACAGGTTCCTCACGTCTCCGCTGGTGTCGTCCTCGATATCCGCGTCCAGGTCCCGCTCGTGCACTACAGGGGGGAAGATCCACAAGTAGCTAAGTCTGGCTACTGTCAGAGTCCTCCCAAAAACTCACAAACGAGAGTTAGACTTGACCTCCGTGTGGACACGGTCAGATGGACTGACCCCAATGAGCATAGCGAGAATAACACCATAGAGAGAAAGGAATATCATATTATCTGCTGCATGGGGGAAACATACCCTGGACGTATGCCTCCTTGTATCTCAGGATCTCCTGTGGGCAAAATGAAAAAAAAAAATAGAGCTTAGTAGAGTAAATATCACAAATCCTCTCAGAATTCCTTATGAGAGACAAGGATTATGATCCTCGGGATATTTTTTAAACCCTATTTTAAGCTGAAATCCAAAATAAGATGACTCATAAGTAATAAACATATGTATTCTTTGATGTTTAAAGGTTATTGTACTGGATTTGTCATATTTGACACCTATAATGTCTGAAATTTTTTGCATAGGACAGCTGTTGCATCACTTTATGATAAAAATGTTTGCTTGAAAACCCTGTTAAGGACAATCTGATATACTGACTGACACCAGTGTGCAGAAGGCTACACTACAATCACTAATTATTAGCATTACCGCATGGAAATAAATTATTAACATGCATTTTTTTCATATTTTGTTAACGGATCAAGCTGTAAAGGGTTAAAAGTGGAATTGGAGGCGGAGCTTGTGGTAATGAGGAAGCCCAATAGATCTTATAGACAGGGTTTTTTTTTTTAAACCTGGAGATAAAACTCATGTATTAAACCATTTGTTCTTCTAAAAATAAGCCAAATAGAATCGAGTTCAGAGAAAAAACTAATCCCAAACTGACCGACTGGGCTCGGCCAACCTGAAACAGTCCACAAAGACAAATCTCCCACTCTGCGTTTGTAACTTGAGCCTCGGCTCTAAAAGGATGACCCGGGCGGAGGGATGTAGGGCGCACCTCGTTGGTGGCGGTGCACAGGATCTCGATGAGCACGGCCTCGTCGGTGCCCGCCCCTTTCATGGCCTTCCTCAGCTCCTTGGCGAAGAAGACCGGAGGAGCGTCCAGCATGGCGACGATGGCTTTCTCAAAGCTACCGGTCAGCTCCTTTTTAATCACCTCCTCCAGCTCCTTAGAGACACGTGGAGGATAAGTACGGTGTGTGTGTGTGTGTGTGTGAGGAGAAAAACAAAGAGGGGCAGGTGGGCGGGCACTCACGTCGTCATACTTTTCAAAGTAGGCCTGTTTGATTTCCACACGCTGAGCCGCGCAGCGATTGGCCAGGATTTGGATAATGGTCTCTTCATCCGTGCCTGGAAAATAAAAAAACAAATTCAGAGATAACGGTTTGATTTGAGTCAGCTAAAAGCATGGCACGCCTCGCTACTTCCTGTTTTGTCCTCCACTAAAAGTCAGTCAAACTGTCCCATTTGGGGGATTTTTGTTTAGATGTGGTTGAATAAACGGAGCTGCTTGTGACAAATTGCCAAAATATACAATTAAGAACCGGATCTTTGCCAATTTTACTATCATATATGGATAATACTGGTTCATCACTTGAGTTAGGGGCTTTTTTTTAATGAAAAAGCCTCAATTGTTCACTGCCTGTGTGTTCAAAGTCTGAAATTCTGTGGAACTGCCCTTTACAAGATCACTCACAAACTGAGGAAAAAGAAGCATAATGCAATGTTAAAGAGAATAATCAAAGAAAAATAAAAGCTGGATGTACTCACCTAAGCCTTTGCATGCTTTTCGGAGAGCTTTTATATCGGCTGTGACGTCAAACTCCTCAAATGGGACTAAGGTGGGCTAGATAATGGAAAAACATTAGGTGCGCATCATACAACATTAAAAAGTACATAGTGTACAACATTTTCTTTTCCTCCCTGCTTCATCTCGGCCCATTGAAAATTTGACTTCTCAGTTTTGTTTTGTGGTGTTTTCTGTTTATTTATTTGTGTTGCACTTGCTGCTCTCTCTTTTTTAATTGTCTATATACTTTTTTTAATTTTATTATTCACATGTTCTTGTACCGTAAGACGGAAGGATGTGGATTATTACTGATTTGTAGCATAATCTTGTAGGATTGGGGAGGGCTGGGGAAGGGAGGGAATGATGAGGGGTTGTTGTTTTTGTAAAAATGAAAAAATATATATATATATATATTTAAAAAAAAGTGAAAAAGTCACCAGAAGAGACATAAAAATCGTCTCGCGTCATCATCTGGAAGTGTTAACACCCAGACAGGCCTCGGTTTTCACATGCTGAGGTCGGACGGGGCGAGGCTGTGTGTGTGTGTGTGAGTGTGTGGGGGGGGGGGGGGTTCTGATCCGGTGACGCATCCCGGCCTGTATACTCCCCGGTGGGGTGCCGCCCGTGTGTCTGGCCGCTGAGTCACGGATCAGCACAACAAAGCCTCCACAGAGAGGCCTTATCGACCAGACTGCTAAAAGCCCCCCCCAACCCCCCTGTTTCCCAACGGGAACGCGCTCTCCGGCCCCAATCCACTGCGCCATGGACTTTCCAAGCGCTCCGGTTCGCCTAAAACCTCCAGTTTTCATCCCGCCGGGGAAAACGTTACAATAAATCACATTTGGACGACGCCTGCGCGTCTTCCTGGTGCCTCTGGGAGCGTTTCCTCCTGCTGATTTCCACTACTTTAAACCCACTAACTTTTCAGCCCTGAAAACTGCGCTTTTGAGCGGAGTGCGCACTTTTTGGATGGCTGTTCAGAGACCGAAACCGGGGTATAAACAAATCCGCGCGTCTTACCTGGACGTTGCCCATGTTGGTCACCGTGATCCCTGCTGCGAAGTGTCGGATGAGGGCTGGACTGCTGCTGGGATGGGAGGCAGGATGGGAGGACGCAGCCCCGTGCGCTGCGGCAGCGATGACGTCAGCGCAGATGGAGGCCGGCAGGTGGAGGCACCAAATATTTGCCTTTCAGTCTCCGTGTGACCCGGGAGGCGGTTTTTTTAATGCACATTTCCGTACTTTTTGTCCGTCTATAACTCAGCAAAGGTGACAAAGAAATCTGTTATTCTAAGGGTTAAGCCCACAGAGACCAAATAACTAAAAAAGCAGATTCTTAGGCCTTAAATTGAGGTAAACATGCCTCAGAGACAACTGAGAAGAAAGAAAATGATTCCATAAATCAAAATGCAGAAGAGATTAAGCAACAATAATCTTAAATTATCGTTTTTTGCTATGCAATAATGCTATGCTCCATCTCTTATTGAGTTTGGAGGTTTTTGAGGTTGTTGTTTGCTCACAGTTCTCTTGATGTCATGACTTGGACTTTTCTCTTTTTCCATGTTGTACCATGTGAAATCTTAAAACGTCAAGATGGAGTACATTTTTTATGCCTTTATTTACACTGTTCACTCACATGAAAGGCAAATATAATTATTATATGATAAATTGATAGACAAAATAATTAATCGTGTGCATTTCAACTCTAGGCAAACTTCCATCGTGTTTTATTTTGTTGTTTCAAGATTCAAGATATTCAAATATCCCTGCACAAACACATTTTAGTTTGTTTCAGTGGGTGACAGTCTTTCTTCTTTGGTGGTGAAAAATGTATTATCCCAATTTTGACTTTTGTTTTGGTCACTAATGACGTCCATCTTGCATCTCATAGCATCACACTTTTATATTTATGCTTCACTGTCTCATATTCACTGAGTGGATCCTGGTTGGTTAGCATCAAGCAGACTCATCTGAAGGAAGAATGCCCAACCCCTCCTCCCCCAGAGCTATGATATTTTCTTTAAAAAAAAGTTATATCAGGCTATTTTGCCCCCAAAGAGTAAACAACAGCTTTTTCTTGGCTGCTGACGATAAATCTAATAACCTCCGCTGTTGCTTTGTTTATGCCTCTTAACCTCAACTCCCATCAACTTTCTCTCTCCCGAAACTCAAACTGAAACATCTTTAAGGAGAATGGACATGTGGAAGACAAAAGCAGAAGTATCAGGCCCCACGGGGCCTTGATCTCAAAGAGATGTCCCCCAAGAAGGAGGCAAATATCTATATAATTCATAAAGGGAATCCATAAAGAAATAGAGTATATCTCAATACTAGTTAGAGGTCCTGATGATTCTGGTGCTCAAAAGGCCTTTTAAAAAATCAAATTCAAGCAGTAAAACTCATACAGAACAGAAACTGTAACAACCCGCCTTCTCCACATGGAGGCAGCGTCGCACCAAGGAAAAACACACACAGGTGGGTTTTATACAAACATTTAATCGTTTTACCGTATGTACATGCAACACAATATGAAGGTATAGTAGTATAAATAATCCCATGTGTATGCTACTGCAGTTTGTAACGTTACTATAAAACAAGCAAAAAAACAAAAAAAACACATGTGGTGGGAACATCATGATATTCCACCTTAAACAGCCCCAAACCATCAGACAGGAAAGAAAAGTTGCAAACGTTATAGGATCGAGGCTCTTGTTTATTCACCATACCTTTCACATCAAGTGCACGGTAAATACATCTATATCTGAAGAATCGGAGCTGAAAGTGTTTCATACTAGATGCCATGATGTGTTGTTGTTTTTTTTTTTGTTTTTTTTAAAAGCCTTCCGGTGAATTGAAGTGGTCCCCGAATTATTGCTGTCATGCACACGCGACCAGAATGAAGCCGAGCTGACAAGTGTGTGTGCGTGTGTGTGTGTGTGTGTGTGTGTGTGTGTGTGAGGTGGGCGGCCGATCACAGCCCAGAGAGGCCTGGACGCCGTTGTCGTCGTTTGGAGATGATGCTGAAAATGATAAATGACTCATGTTCCGTCAGAGAGACGGAGTGGGGCTTTGGTCATGCAACCGTTTCTCTGTTTTTTATTTGCCGTAGAATGTGTGTGAGGATTTCAAGGAGGGTGCAGTCAGGCAGAGAAAAATGGGCAGGAAGGGGGATGAAATGTATTATTCACATCATCCACTATAGGCAGGCTCAGGGTTTTTTTGTGTGTGTGTGTGTTTTCTTTTTTTTTTTGGCTCTTGAAAGACTTGGCAACGTTTTCAATACACGCATAGATACGCCAACAAGCGATGAAAGACTGTCCTCTGCTAAGGGATGGGGGGGGGGGGGGGGGCAACCAAACGCTAAATGTCACCCTGGCTGGCGTTTTCGGGACGGCTGAAACGCCTCCGTCCGTTTCCGGACACAACGCGCATCGTTTCCAACTCGTCGCGGTGTAATACAAGGAGACGAATACTGTAGGCCACGACACCAAAAGTTCCACTGTCATATTTGAGAAACGAGTCGACGTTTAGTCACGTGATGCTTGATAGTTTGCCACATGCGATGGCTTTTTTAAAATCACATTTATATATTTATATATATGTATATCATTTTTTACAAATCTTTTTAAGAAAAACAAACTTTGTATTGACAGCTTTTATGAATCATTTCGCCTCATTTAGCGGTGATACAATCGCGTGCTTCTGTAATCTTTTCATGCCATGAACAACTTAGCCTGTTTCTGGGGCTTTGGTTTGGCTCCTTAGAGCTCATACGTTATCCCCGATTTTTCCTGGGTTCATAACTCATCCGATTGCTTTTAACAACTCCGACTCAAAGATGAAACTGACTTGAAGCCCAAGCGCAATTCCAAAAAAGTTGGCTCTGCGTGTCAAATGTAAATAAGAGCCAAAGGATTTCCATTACACATAAACATTTGGTCCACAACAGAACCTGAAGCTGTTGAAATGGAGATGTTAGGTCACTGTGAAATATATAAACTGAGCTTCGTTTTGATGGTCGCAACACAACGTTACACAGTAGCTGGTGCGAAAATACACCGAGCGGCTCTTAGGTCTGTTTCCTCTCGGCATGCGAAAGGTCACGATCGGAAAAAAGATGGCCGCCTGCCTAAAATTTTCAGGCGCTCGGGAAGCATGGGGGTAAAAAAGAAAAAAAACACAAACAAAAAAACAAGCATGCCACCACGTGTGCTCTGGAGTTAGATATATCACTGAGCTGACGGAGCCACCCATGAGTACAGGCTAAAGCTGCAACATGCTAACAGGATGCTAGATGGGAACAGACATCCAGACATCTCCCAAAGGCCTCCGGACTTCTTCTTGGATCCTGAAAACATTTAACCTCTCGTCTACAAGGCTTCTTCAGCTCCAAACCGCATGGCGGGGAAAGCAACCTTGTGGTTGAGAGTTGAAAGGTCTATAAAATCCATGATGGAGTCCAACTGGCTTCCCTCAGATTATAAGAGTTACACCAACGTTATCCAGATGTGCTGCTGTGCGCTGTAGATCAAAGCTCATTTAAAAGGAATTCAGGCAAAGTAAAGAACTGTTCACCTGTCAGAAATACCAAAATACCTTTTTTTAAAGTCATGCCCTGTCCCGTCTGTGGTAGAGAGGACATACCTTGTGGCATGTTACTCTAAAAGCCTCCATCTCTGAGGGTGGGGGGGGTGCAGCTGTGCTTTTAGAATCGGTGACTTGCACAGCTGGAAAGGCACGCTCAGATTTGGCAGGTAATGTACAGGTTTCTAGAGAAATGTGTGTTTCCATCCAAAAAGTTGTTGTTTTTTTTCAGAGGAAGGTCTTGCTTATTTGAGCAAGACTATGAAAAAACCACATGCTTCTAATTTGAATTCAGACAAGAATTGGAAACCTTTCGTCCCCAAAAGGGATGCAGCTTTTATGAATTAATCTTTTTTCTTTTTAAGTTCCAAAATGATTACAGATTTAAGTTAAAATAAGTAAGAATGCTACTCTCTGATAAAGCTCATCCTGTTCTAACTTCTGTGAGATTTGCTTTTGCCATCAAATTCAAGATGATGAATTCTATTCAATGAAAAGTAGTAATGTCTCATTTTGATCATTTTAGATTATCTATTGTAGCTGTATTATTGTTGTTTTATATTTGGACATCACTGTCCAAATAGCTTTGGAATTGAGGTTGTGGAATTAACAGCATAACAGGAAATATATTCTGTTCCGTGAGCTCAGGTCGAGAGAATCGCTGGGTTTTTGGATGAAAGATTGTCTGTTCTGCTGGTCAACACAGATTTGAATCTTTACAAAGGTCCTTGTAATAAATGTGATAAAATATACAAACTATGTAAGTCTGACAAATGTGCAAGAAAAGATGCAACGAAAAAAAGAAGAAAAAAAGTCTTTGAGAGGTCGATTTCACTACAATCTAACAAGGAAATGTCCGGTGTTGTGTGAGTCCACATGTAGGATAAATGTTTCTTTCCTTGTATATATTCCCTTAGATAAGCCCTCTGACTGAATACAACATCTTATCTCTCCGCTCTGTTCTCCTGGGAGCTCAAAAAGATCAAACGGACCCGGCGGTCATCACGCCCTCTCGGCCGAGTCTTGCTCTGGAAAGTCCCAGGGGCACACGTCGGCCATTTTTGTGCCGCCGGGCGCCGCGGGCTTGTGACCTCCGCGCGCCGGGGAATCTTTTTTCTTCTCGGGGGATTTTTTAGTCTGAGCCGGGCAGCCGTGCGCGTGCTCGGCCTCTGACCTCCGGCCCTCCGTCCCCTCCGCGTCTCTGGTGGAGCTCCTCCGGCGCTCCGGGGCTGACCCGCCGCACTCCGAGGACTGGCTGACCCGCCGCCTCTCCGGGGGGGGCTTGCTGGACGAGCTCCGCCTCTCCCGGCTCTTCTCCCTCCCTTTCTCCCTCTCGGACCGGTGGCCGGACGACGAGGAGCCCTTCCGCTTCTTCTTGTGCGCGGTGGGGCTGCTGCAGGTCCTCTCCTGCTTGGGCGAGGGGGGGCCGTTGTAGTCCCACGGGCAGATTTCCACCATCAGAGACGGGGGCTGCAGGAGGCTGCCCGTGGACCGGGAGTGGTCCGAGTGGAGACCTTTCGGCTTCCCGTCGGTGGGCGTGACGCTTTTCTTCCTCCGGATGCGGTCAGGGGAGATGGAATCCGTCTCCCCCCCCAGCATGGGCTGGTCATCAAACTCCCACGGGCACACGTCTGGCTTTAGGGGTAAAGGGGACCTCGGGGGGTGAGATTTCCTCACTTCCCTCCCTTCCTCCCGCTCCCCCGCTTTGTCTTTGGAGCGGCGCTTGTTGGAGGGGGACTGACCGGTCTTCTGCCTCTGCTGGGAGCGACTGACCTTTGAGGTGGCCGAGCTGCCGCTGCCCCTCCGGCCGGCGGTGGTTTCCCCGGGGGCGATGGACACGTGCTTCTGGGCCTTTCCCTCGGTGGGCGTCTGGACCTCCTCCAGCTCCCAGGGGCAAACCTCGGACACGTCCGAGAGGTTCCTGCCCGTCTCCGAGCAAATGGACGGCTGGCTACCGCTCACCTGTCACAGAAAGAGACCAGATCGGAGAGTAAAGCGGTCAACTATGACCATGTCAGCCAACAAACTGAAAGATTTGTTTCTTTACAGAGAGCGTGGAGACTGGTTCGGAATTGTTTCCCCTGCCTGCAGTTTTTCCATCTCATACCAAATCTTTGCTGCAACTTTCCTCTTTATGGGATTTCTGTTCTCCAGCAGAGTTTGTATTGCTTATTCCTGCTCCTTATAGCTGAAACACTGTTATTCCCCTCTCAAAATCTGTTCCAAAGCCATAAGGAGCAAGTGCTTCATTTAGAGTTCCTGTGAAAGCTTTTTTTTTCGTTCTTTTTTTTGTTTACCCCCCCACTCAGAAGCACTCAAAGAGTGACTCAAGTGAGCAATCCATGCTTTCTTTTCCAAACAGATGCCTGAAGATGACTGTAGTTTGAGCTGCTGGCTGGAAACTGGCATCATACTGCAGCCTGATGCCTTACCAGTCCAGAATTGATAACAAGCAGCTTTCCTGAGAGATTCAACCACGCACTCTTCAGAAAGGGCCTCTTTTTGCCTGATTTTCTCCGCCCACACACAGCATGGCATTGTCACGACAAAGACAGGTGTCCACTAACTGTCGGATTTCTGAGGAAATGCGACTTTTTTGTTTGCTGGCCTTTAGAAGCGAGCCAATGGCGCAAACTCCTTTCGGGAGTTAGCCACCTGATGCGTGATGGCCACATTTGATACAGTCTTTTGAGCCTTCTATAGATATCGACCAGTAGGAGGAGCCACAACAAGCAACATTGTGAGCTGTTTAGAATTTTAAAGCCTGAGACTACATTGCTTTTAGCTACTTTAAGTGCGTATTGTTAGTGCGAGGACTTTAAAAATGTCTGGAATCCATTTAACGGAGCTAGCTGGTGGATACAAAGCCAGACAGCAGCGTTCAACTTCTTCTTCTTCAGGACCTCCTAAACGTTGGACTTCCAGAATATTTTTTTTTAAAATCCCTCTATGAAACAGAATTTTGACAGTGCTGAATAGCTTAATGAAATCTTAGTGCTCAAAGATAGTATAAGGATGAGTATGTACTCATCCTCCATCCAGATTACCAGGATGTAATCGTGTCTTTCTGCCTCAAGTGAGGTTGATATGGAGATCAAAAGGAACCCGAGGAACTGTGTTAATACTATTTAATGTATTTATCAATTCTCCTGGGATTGCAGAGGAAGAGTTTTTACCACTATACTGAATGATTACATGCATACTTTTAGTGAATGTTTATCTAATTGCATGCAATTAAGCTTGAATAGTTTTTGACAAAGATTCAATAAGATGAAGTGTTTCCATTTGAGCCTGATTATTGTTTCCGTTTGAGCTGTCTTGCTGATGAAGTGGAATCGGTGATGACATGCCAGTATAATGTTGATGATTCCCAGTAGTTCCCCACATGAATGTTGGTCGTGTTCAAAATTCTGATTCAACTGCAACCCGAACTCACGTTTGAATCTGGACTGAGACTTAAACTAAGAGGTTTTGTGTCATTAGAAAAAAGAAAGAAGAAAACAGACTGTTAACTTTTGCCTTTCTCTTTCCTTTTCAGTTATTTTCATCTCTTGTGAGAGTAAATGTGGATTATTTCCCTGCCTGTGAAGCTAACTGGCTCCCCTTTCCCCCGACCACTGCCCTACCTGCTGCTTCATTATGCCCATCTTCATGGGGGTTTTGGAGTACTCCACCGACTGGCTGATGATCATCTTGGGGAAGTGCTCGGGCGTCTCGTCCACCTCTGACAGCACTCGCCCGTCCTGCCCCTTCTGGCTCTTCTTGCCGGCGTCCTCCACGCTTTGGGTCTTGTTGGCGATGCCCGGCATCTTCTCCTTGGCGCTGGCGATCACGCTCAGGGACTTCTGCATGATGGAGGTGCGCAGGTGCACGGGCCTCTTCTCGTGCGTGAGGTTGTGGGCGCTGGCCGACTTCCAGAAGAGAGGGACGGACTCTGTGGACTCGGCCGGCTCCAGCCTGGGCGGAGTCCCCGCCGGCTCCAGCTGCTTCTTGCCGGGTCTGCGGCCGATGAGGGATCCCAGGATGGAGCCCTCTCCGCCGTTTCCCACCGGGGTGGTCTTGTCCCCCGGGACCGAGCCCGTTTGGCTCCCGGTCTCGGCGTCCTGCTCGCAAACGTGGTCGTAGCTGAGCGACTTGGTCAGGCCCATCACTTTGTTCCTCAGGGAGTCCTCTCGAGCTTTTCCTGAAAGGAGATCGATAAAAGAAAAACTGGTGTGAGAGCAGGGACGATTTTCCTCTTATTTAAAGATTAAAAACTGTCGCGTCTGGGGGAATGTCTGGTGTCTCGTCATGTCTTGATTACCTATTGTGTACACCTGGGGTTCCCCTCCCTCATGTGTTTAAATAGTCCTCGTTTCCCATGTCCTGTGCCAGTGCGTTTTCGTCTTTTCGTCCTTGTTTCGTCTTTTTGACCTCGTCACCCCTCGCCACGTCAGGTTTGATTTTGTCACAGCCATGCCATAGTCTTATTCACTTTATTGCCATAGCCACGTTTTTGCCACAGCCATGTTAACCTTGTTTGTACTTTTGCCAAAGTCTTGTTTTGATCCTTTGCCACAGTTTTGTTAACCTTGCTTTGTTACTTTGCTCATAGTTTTGCCAAACTTGTTTTTGAACCCATGTCTGCCATCCACTCCTTTGAGTGCCTTTTTGTTCCACTAAATTTGGGATTCTTTGGCCGGAGGTGTGATTCAGGGGGTGTGAGTGTGCGAGAAATCACTGCTTACGATCCGTTCACATCCTCCGCAGAAAAAAAAAGAAACGTGCACTAAACAACTGTCCAGTCAGCACATTTAGGCCTCTCCCTGGTTTCTCACACTTTGAAGGGGAAGAAGGGGACGTCCTCGTGAAGGGGTTGAGATTTCAAACTAACGGGTTATGGGTATAATCAGCGTGCCCGGTTGGATCCTTAAGCTATAAAATACACTGTGTTTGCATAATTACAAAGATCAGTAGTAAGCTTGGACTTATATTGTGCCAGGACTAGAAACAGGCCGCCTGGTGCCGTAGCACTGGGCATGCTATATGCCTTTCTTGGCATCTCCCGAAGACTTTCTAAAGACCTTCTTCTTCTTTTTTTTTAATCCCCTCTGAAAGCAAAGACCTGATCATTCTTCCTTTTGGCTTGGATGCCCGAGCTGCTGGGAGGGACTTCTGTTAGTAAAAATCTTCTTTATCATCTGTCATGATGCATAACCATGGCAACAGGAAAGTGGTCAACCTGTTGGCGCAGATCAGAAATTTTCCGGAACCCCGACTAACGCTCGTAAAAACACCCCAAATCAAGACAAATTTAATGGGGAAAATGGCAAAAGAAGGTTGGAAGACGTCCGGCAGATTAAATAGACAAGCTTGGGTACCCTGAGGGGAACACAGCAGGAAGATCTTACCGTGATGAGAGGGCTCGAACGGGTTCCTCCTCAGCGTGCTGCGGTTGCTGCCGTGCTCGCTGCCGTCGTCACGGCTACACTGGCGGTGGATGTGCATGGTCTCCGGGATCTCCGTGATCCGCTTCATCAGGGTGCGTCC